ATAGATAATCAATGACATTTATATATAAAAGAAACTTAAATAATACCATCCCATGTGAATATGTTGAAGCATGTTGAAACTACAATTCCCATCACCCAACTAGACATGCTGAGTATATTTTCCAGGAGTTGTACACACAATACATTTAAAGTGCAAGAGATTATGGAAAACTGGTCTTTGAACACAGGTGAATTGATGATTCATGTATGCAAAAAATACAAAGCAGAAATTGGAAAATTGTAACTGCTGGTCAGTTGTCCTTAGAATTTACTCAATTTCTACTGAAAGTAATTAGTTTAAAGTTCTGCTGTTCCAACAGTGTTCCAAGAACCCAACTCCATATATATTTAATACTGGTCATGAGCTGAGTCTGAGACTCACGTACTTTCATCCATCAGACTACGAGGCAGATCAATATCAGTGCTAAGCTTTAGTGAAATTATTTGTTCTTAATCTTTCATTCAAAGACTTGAGAATATATCAGTACTAAGCCATTAACAGAAAAATAACACCAGGTGCCATTTTATGCTAGATAATAATTTTAAAATATAATTTATACACGATTAAGTCTTACACAATTGAACCATAAAAGAATGTGAAAGTATAGTTAGCAGAAGAAAACAAGATAAAATATTAGATACTCATTATTTTTAGAAATGTATATATGTGGCTGGCACTTGTGGGTGCTATCGCTAGTTGTTTGACAGAATAAACGTTGAATTAGGGACTCCATAAGTCTCCCCATGACCCTCCTAGCCTCAATTTTGTTATGCCCAGAACTGCTCAGGATTGAATCACTGGATTTCCGTAGCAAATTGCTAACTTTCACTGGTGATTGAAGTCAATAAAGTAGGACTTTTTTTCTTTCTTCCCTTCTCCATATTATAGCATTTACAGATTTAAAAGGACCAATTGTGTTACGTTTCATGTTTCACTAATAACCAAGAACAGTTTCCACCATGTCAACTTCCTGGGAATTCCTTCTTTCTGGTTTTATTAAGCCTTCTGAATGCTCTACAATTATGAAAATCCTTGCCAGATGGAAATTCATCAAATCAAGATAACTTCAATTTGAATTCGAAGAACCAATTACTGTAAAGTAGAATGGTAAGGGTAGCATATTTTTAATCCTGATTTTGGTTGTGCTGAAACATAATTTTATCCCATGCATTTCACTCTTTTTCATGAATAATGTACATGAATTAGTCTCTCAGCAAGATTAGGCTGAGAGACAGCAATTCTTTTTATGATATTCAGTGAGTTTCATGTCACAGAAAGGATTTTAATTGAATTTTTAGTCATTTAAAAATCCACCACTCTATCTACAGCTTTTCAAATTGCAATAGAGTGTGTATGTATTTATGTATCTCCAATGAAGCTCACATGGAATTCTCATTTCATTTTTTCTTGATAGGTGATCGCAGAGATTTGAACAAGTCATTCGCAAATCCAATTTAATGGCATAAATTAAACAGTATTCAGAAATGTTAATATGTGAAAATGGGGGGGGGAGTTCATGAAAACCCTCAAGAGTGGAGCCTTATCGTAGTAGCCAAATAATGGGATAATCAGGAATACTAGGGAAGATAGTTGGAGAATCTAATTTGAATTGTTGGATAAAAGTCAGGTAGATAAATCTTACAGTATCTCACAAAACCACTACTGAAGGAAAGAGGTCCACCACAACCAGAAAGAAAAAAACTGGTGATTAGAAACAGCTAAGGATAAAGCTCTGCAATTACACAAACAAAGGGTTTTTTTAAAAAAAAAAAACGAGAGGCAACAAGGATAGCAAAGAAAACTCAGCATCTTAACTGGTACCTGACACTTAAAGATTGTTAGAAAGAAAGCCTCAGACATCCTATTTACAACACTGCTTCCCTGTACTTCTAACTTAAAGATAGATCCTATTTTCTTTAAAAAATACACTTTATTTAATGGGATGGGATTTGCTATAGAGAAAAATACAAGGCCCCTAGCATTTTAATTTATTTTTCTTTGGCACCCCAAGTAGGTGTCAAAGAGACTGATTACTTTCTTTTTTTGTACTTGAAGGTTAAAAATAGATGCATTAAGTCTCTGCAATTTTAACACATCTATTTTTAACTACTGAGCCAATCTCCCCTTTAAAAATCTAAAAACAAAGAGTCAAAAAAATGTTTGGTTTTCCTCACTGGGACAGTCTCATGCCACAAGTCATATTTTCTGCAATCCTTGAAAAACTAGAAAAAAATGTTGGAAAAAAGTGTCAGCCTTCCTTCAAAAAATCTGCCTTCTTTACTCCACCCCAGATAGATACAAAGAGGCAAGCTTAGGAATTTGATTTTAATATCTAGCAGACAACTTGTTTGCCGAGGCACTTACCCCATCTGTCAGTTTTTTGCAGAAACAAAACAAATAGCAAAATAATAAAGACATTCATTCAACTGCCAGAGATCAAAGTAACTTATGCATCTACTACACAGTGAACACTTGCTGATATTAATAAGGTATGCAGGATGCAAAAGAAGTTAACAAAAGAATCCCAAAGTACAGTTTAGTAAGAGATTTTATTTGAAATTTGGTACTGATAAATCCTCCACAAGCCCAGGGGTGCATAAAGAATATTAACACTATTTAATCTGGTGAGAAGTCTGATGGGCTAATCGTAATTTGACAGAGATATCAAAACATGTAATATAAAAACTGTGTGAATAATAATCCTTCAGTTATAAACAGTGTGTAGGATCTATAATCTAGGGATCGCCTTGCAAACCAAGAAACTCCTGCCTGCATAACACCAATCAGGATTCACATGACACTTTTGGGAATGGAACATTAGGAATAAATATTGAGATAATGCTAAGTGGATTGGAAGAGAAGGAAAGATATGGTGGGAGGTTGTGACCTGGTTGTCACAGGGAAAGGATGCAGGTCACTGGCTGACCTCCATTACTTTCAGGTGGCAATCTAAAAAAGAAACTCAACAGTATATATGGCTTCCAGATGGTTCATCCAGTTTACCCAAAATTTGGGGCATGTGTCTACTTAAGAAGAAAGTGTTATAGGAACTATTTGTGATATTTCATCAGGGTTTTTTCTTGGGGGGGGGATTTGACTTTTCAAAACTTCTCAGTTTTCATCTACTCATAAACCTCATTGTTTGAGATCTATAGAATGTGAGACTTTTCTCTGTCAAAATGAATACTTCTATTTCATTAAGATTGAAGAAATATAAAACTAATTAATTTAGTTTTATCAAGGTCCTAGAGAGCTTCTATCGAAGTCCACAAATGTTTAATGAAGAGAAGGACGAGGGGGGACATGATAGCAGTGTTCCAATATCTCAGGGGCTGCCACAAAGAAGAGGGAGTCTAGCTATTTTCCAAAGCGCCTGAAGGCAGGACAAGAAGCAACGGGTGGAAACTAATCAAGGAGAGAAGCAACCTAGAACTAAGGAGAAACTTCCTGACAGTTAGAACAATTAACCAGTGGAACAACCTGCCTCCAGAAACTGTGAATGCTCCAACACTGGAAGTTTTTAAGAAGAGACTGGATAGACATTTGTCCAAAATGGTATAGGGTTTCCTGCCTGAGCAGGGGGTTGGAGTAGATTACCTCCAAGGTCCCTTCCAACTTTACTACTACTACTACTACTACTACTACTACTACTACTACTACTACTACTACTATTATTATTATTGCAGTCTATCATTAATAAACATTCTCCTCAAATTAAAATGGGAAAACAAAACATATGAAACCTATTGTGAAAATATTAGCAGTACTAATTAAAATCCTCCAGCTATCGATATCAGAATACATGTAGTACTGATGAATCTACATATCATAAAGGCCTGCAAAAAGGCAATTTGATGGCCAAAAAAAAAAAAAAAAAGATTTCAAGAAACCGACCTCCTTATGTCAGTGGCATAAGGTACTGTTCATGTAAAAATCTGAAGATTTGCAATCTAATGTTTTGGCAGCTCTTGGTATGTAATACAACACAGAAATAACAGAGCACATTTTTGTAGTAACAGAACAGAAGGCTTAGCCACCTGTGAGTATAATTACAAATAGAGAATATAAAAGTTCCAAAAAGAGCATGATTTTCCAGGGCTTCAAGAGTAAATAATTGAGCTATTATGAATAATCAATTATAATAATCAATAAGCAATTATTTAGAAAAAAAACGTGAACACAAGAATGACAAGAGGGCACCCTGTGAACTCCAATTACCCCAACTTAAGTGGAGAATTCTGAAGAGTATTTTTAGATTTATATGCAAATATGAACTCCATAACATCTAGAACTATTTATGTGAATATATGCCATAATCACCTGAAGCTAGGAGATGAAACAGTTGGCCCTACTATTCAGATATATATCCCAGTATATTAAGAAGGTAATAAGAATCAAGGCACTTATTAATCTCCCACATTCCTTCTTCTTTCTGAACCAATTTGTTATTAAATGTTAAAGCCATGCAATGCTTGAGGGATTCAATTGACAAAAACTATTTCAGAAAACATGGGAGCACAAAGGCAACTACTATACATCTCACTAAAGCAACTAGGTCATTTTCTTCTGATCATATTTCTGAAAAGAGGTGACCGCTATGAATTTCAGACAAGTGTTGCATTTACAGCCCAAGTCATTCTGAAGCACCTCTTCCAAAAGAATCTAAAGTACTGCACAACACATACAATTACATTAAATATCAGTAAGACTCCCAAATAGAGGGACACATCAGTGCAAATAGTTGCTGAGCTTAGGCTATAAAACAATGTCCATCAGCTATATTGTCAGAAGGCAAAATTACAGATTACAGTATCAGTAGTGAATTACAGATTTTGTATAATATTTGCATTAATTTTCATAAAATATTCATGTATTTGATTTTTTATTTTGCCTTTTATTACTTTATGAAACTATTCCATTAAAAAAGATGAACTTTAGACATCCAGGCAAAGGATATTTCATATACACACATCAAAATCCCAAATACAATTAGAATGATCTTTAATTTAAGAAGAAAAGAATATCTTTATTTTAAATAACTTATGGTAATATGCATATGCATGTAAATGGACAACATTTCCAGGGTAGCCAAAACTGAGAGATTTTCTTCACATCTAAGAATTTTGTTTTAGGTTTGTTGTTTTACAGCTCATTGTAGGTTTGATGTAGTGCAGAGAATATTTTACAATTAGATGTTTCTTTTCCCTCATGGCAGATAGCTACACTGAACAATCATTTGTAGGGTTACCCACAGAACAGCTGCTCCTTGTTTATTTAAAATTAATCAGAAAACGAGGAAGGGCAATTTTCTCCCATATTTGTTCCACAAGTTTGGTGGACTCTGCTAGGGGATGGAGAAGCAATACTGCCCCCCAACACAGACAGAAATCTCCTCCCTATTCTGCTTATGAATGTTTTCTGTTATGGATATCACCCAAACAATCAATCACCCTATTTAGTTACTCTGAATCATATCCAAGAATAGGTCCAAGCCATTTTTCAACTTCTGCCACAGGCATATTTTTTCTTAAGGCATAATCTTCAACCTATAGAACAAATAAGAGGATGACTAATTAGCATTTTAACTTTCAGATCTTACACTAATCAAAATATCTGAAAACTATATTTCATTTTTTTCTGAATAGAAAACTATTCTACAATTCTGTGAAAATTTTTGAGTTATTTTTGGCATTTAATGTTATGACAGTTTCTTGGAGGTTCTATAATATATAAGCAGAATTTACTGTATTTTCCGGTGTATAAGACGACCCCCGACTTCGGAGAAGATTCGCATGGTTTAGAAAGTCATCTTATACGCTGGGAAATACAGTAAGTGAACAAATGACAAATTATGCTTTTATTTATTTCATAAATATAGTCATTCAATGTGTACTGGGTCAGTGTGAAAAACTATTCCCCCTTAAACAACTTACTGTACTACCTTCAGCTGAAATCTGGCTGGCTGGCTCTTGGTGTTGTATGAGCTTGCTTCTCTTTTGCAGACATGTCATTACCAAACTAGGCAACATCATTGTTGCATGGGTGACTGCCATTTGCTGCTGTGTATATGTGTAGCTTGTCCCACCAGCTTTTATTGGGATATTGTTTTTCCCTTGATTATTTTTGGAGTGACATATTGCTTCTTTTATTGAAGAAGAGGGTGTTCAGGACTGTTTGCCTCTTCATTATTTTTGCTTGCTTTGTTTCTTGAATGGTTTGTAGATGGAGCTTATTCCAACATGCCTACTAATGACCAATTCATCAGAGTGCCATGTCTCCAGGAATTCTCTTGCATTTTTGGTGTAAGATATCTACAGTTTCCCAAATGACATTTTTGAATTTGTTAGTGTATTTATGAAATTAAAAAGTTTTCATTGTGTGTTTTGACAGAGTTCTTACATAGCTTATTTTCTGTACTACTGGATTGTTAGTGTAATAGTTGAGTACTTGATCAGTGCAGACTTTTTTTTACAATACATTTGGATTTGTGGTTTCTATTGCTTTCTTTACTGTTTTTTTCACATTGGCACATTTCATGCTGAATATTTTTTATAAAGTAAAATATAACTTATTTAGTTACACTTACTTATTTAATCTTATTTAGTTACTCACACTCTTTTTATATATCTATAGGCTTCACAGAAGCTTGATGCAATAGCAAAGATATTCTAAAATTCAAGATAGGTGGCATACAAATTTGATAAATAAATAATTCAATAATTCTTAGTCACAGAGCTAGCTATGTTTAAATCTTCAGGTAAAAAACTATATTTTTTAAAAACTTTTGATTATGTTTGATATGACAAGCAATACTAATACTAGATCTAAAATAACTCAATATTAGGATTTCATAAATTACATTAGTAATTTTCTGCTAATATCATTGATAACCAGTTTCCATGTTTGCAATATAATATGGTGTTTAACTACAGGTTTCTGAACCTTGCCCCCATTTGCTCAGTTTATAATATTTAACAAGAATAATTGGTACTGTTAATACACACAAAATACTTTCTATAGAGCTGGAATACCATATTGATTAGTGTAAAGGAGATGGTATCAAAAGTAGTATATTTCTATATCTGATTCCCATTTCCAGTTCTCTTCTTTTTAATGCAATTTCTGTAACGGCAAAAATGCTTTACCTGATCTTTCAATATTTTCCCAACAGCAAAATATCTAGAAGCTGGATTGGAAAAGTAGAGACCAGATACTGCTGAGGCAGGGAACATTGCCAGGGATTCGGTTAACTGAATACCTGTAAGAATCAAAGGAAATGATTTTGTTCGCTTTTTTGGAAGACAGATTCTATTTTGATTTTAAAAATTGTCAGTTTCTGAGAAAAACTCTTTGGGAGCTCAGTTTCCTGTCAAAATCCAGTGCAAATCTCCTATTATCGTTTTATCAGCTGTGCAATCATTTAGCAAATTATCAATACAGTGATTTTGTGAATTTATTAAAAAGAAGCTTTCCTCAAGCATACACTAAAAATAGATGATGATTTAATAGTCAACAGAGTATGAGGAACATGCACAGAATCTTGGCCATATGCTCTTCCACCTGCACAACTCATTTAGGAAGTCTGAAGAGGAGATGAATGGGCATCCCCTCATCTTTATAAACATCTCAATCATCAAAGGAAGATAATAAAACAAAGCATTTATAATTTCTCTCACCGCCTATTTTAAGATAGAACTTCCTAGTCAAACTTCGAAAGATACCTGTAGCTTCCTCAATATTGGCAAGTCTCCACATAGTGATTTTTTCAGTGTGGTCGGGTTGACATGGATAACCAGGTGCTGGGCGTATGCCATCATATCTTATCTTACGCAGATCTGAAAATTCCAACTGTTCGTTTTTACAATAAGCCCAGAATTCTTTCCGAACTCGTTCATGAAGTTCTTCTGCAAATGCCTTAGAAATAAGCAGAAGCAAGCTCTAACGTTAGTGTTGCTTTGTCCAAGTGCCTAATTTATTTTTATATACATTTTTGTATAAATGTACTATGTGCCTACCTTCAACTTAGTCTTAACTCCTGGTATCTACATGGATTCCTGGTGACTACTCAGAGAAATCTGTGCAGTTTTCTTGGTATTTTTTTGTAGATATTGTTTGTCACTGTCTTCTTCCTGGCACTGAGAAAACTTCTCAGGGGTTACTAGGCCTAAAACAGGAGTGGAACTCAGGTGTCCCTCTCCTAATCCAGCATCTTATCTACTAAACCAAATTGGCTCTCAATTTACCATTACCTGTAACTGTTACCTTAATACTTCATGGCTCATTTTTAAAGGTATCCCTGTACTTGCTGTAGATACTGTACGTTGCTGTGCTAGAAGCAGGACATTTTAATTGATCCATTTATTTCTCACACTTGCACACATAAAAGCAAAATGTTTCTTTCAGATTCCCATGCTTCCTGCTTATGATGTTTTACAGAATTCCCTTCCGCTGTGAAGCAGGAGAGGATAAACAATAAAAATTGATTCATTCTTTCATTTGCTGACAGAGGCTTCCAAAGAATCAATAAGACCTCTATCGTAAATGACATCATTGGATAAAACACTATGTAAGTTATCCAATATCACAATACATTTGCTACATAAAAGTCTTCTACTTCCAAAAGAGCAGCTCCTTCCTTCCTTCCTTCCTTCCTTCCTTCCTTCCTTCCTTCCTTCCTTCCTTCCTTCCCTCCCTCCCCTGTTCCCTTCCCTTCCAATACATGAATAAAAATAAATAGAATCATGTAAAAAACAAAACTATGATATATTACCTCTGCTAACCGATCTGCTAGTGCTTTCACCATAATAATACTGTAGTCATCTGACTGTTTTTCATATTCTTTACATAGCTCATCTACTCCAAAGCATGCCACAGCAAAGAGCCCCAAATAGTCAGAAACACCAGACTCCAGGGGGGCTATAAAATCAGAGAGGCAATAATAGGGATCTGTAGAACCAGAGTCTTTTTCAACCTACAATGATAAATTGAGCAAAATGTTAAATATAAAAGACCTAACTATAATACAGGACAAGATATTGACAAGTGATTCTCCCAATCTACAGTAACATGCAGACATCTGGAGGAAAAGGTATGGCAGCATCCTGATAATCACAAGATTTTCTTTTCATGCTATTCACATTAATTCCAAACTTGTCAGTGGCATATCTGCATGCCAAATACAATATCAAGTACAGAAAATTCAATGGGTTAGACTTCCAGTTTCGCATTGTAGCAAACTGGACACAGGGAAGAAGGGCTCTGCCTCCTGCGTTTGAATTCGTCTTCCTGGGGGCCCGAAAAGGGTCTAAAGTCGCCTCAGAGAGGTGACAAAGAAGGAGGGGGCCCTCTTAGATCAAGGAGAGATGGCAGTCAATCCGTTTGATCTGAGGAAGTCCTCTGAACCAGCAAGTAAAAGACTGGCTGCAGTTCGGCAGCCAGTTGATGAAACATTTAGAGTCAATTCAAGTTATGCAAGAAGAAACAAAGTCCCTAGAGAGGTACATGTTAGATTTGTCAAAAAATCAATAAGAGGTGAGATATTAAGAAGAGTCAGAGATGACCCACTGCAATACAAGGAAAAAGAAATTGTAGTCTTGAAGCAGATACCTAGGATGATAAAGGACTCACGAAGAGACTATCAATTCTTGACCAAAAAATTAAATTAAAAAGGAGTGAATTTTAGATGGCTGATGCTGGAGGGGATACTATTCAATTGGGACTCCAAAAGATACAGATTGGATTCTGTCTTTAAAGCAATGGAATTTTATGAGAGACATAGAGCTTTTTTTAAAGAAGGAAGCTCGGAATTTCAACCAGAATGGGAATTTAGAAAACAGGAAGAGACAGCAATAGAAGGGGCAGCCAAACAAAGGGAAGAAGAAGACACAGAAAACATAAATCAAGAAGAATGGGCAAAGGGAAAAGAACGGAGACTGATAAGAACAACTAGAAGAATAAAACCTAAACATAATTGAAGAAGATGGAGAAGGATAATGGGATTCTCTCAATGAATATAAATGGATTGAATTCTCCCTTAAAAAAGAAAAAAATCTTTACATGACTACAAAAACTAAAAATGGATATAGTTTGTCTTCAAGAAACACATATTAAAGGACAACATTATAAATTTCTGGAATGTCCGAAAATTGGGAAGCTTTTCTTTTCATCAGCACAACAAAAGAAAAGGAGTAGTTTTATATATGAAAGAAACAATGAACCCCAAACAAATTTATCCAGATGAAGAAGGAAGAATACTAATGGTCAAAATGACATTAACCAAAAACAGACATTGATGGTGGCAATTTATGCACTGAATAACAAACAAGAAGAATTTTATCAAAAATTGCATAAGAAAATAATGGAAATGGGATATCAAAATATTTGCTTGGTAGGAGAGTTTAATGCAATTGTAGATGGAAAGCTAGACTACAGAAGTAGTAAAATAGAGAAAAGAGGTAGGAACATTTTACCTAAGGCTTTTTTTTTAAATGGCAGAAGAAATTTGTATACAGGATATGTGGAGAGATAAAAATCCAAAGAAATCTCAATATACATTTTCCTCAAACAGGCATAAATCATGGTCTAGAATCGATATGATATGGATATCTGCTGAACTAAGAATGAACATACAAGAGATTGAGATAGAAACTAATGTATGGGTGGATCACAATCTGATAAAGATGACATGGAGAGGAAGAAAGAAAAAATTAAGATGGACATTGAATCAATCTCTATTGAAAGAGAAAGAATTTATACAAAAAGTAGCAAAGGAAATGGAAAAGTAGCAAAGGAAAAAAACCAAGAACAAATGAAGCTAAAGGAAGAATTGACGAAATTAGAACTAGAACTACAAAGAGATCCACAAAAGAAAATGCTTAAAAAACAAATGGAGATAATAAAACCCAAATTAAATTTAATAGAAGCTGAAGAAATGGCCCAACAAATTAAAAGAGCAAAACAAAACTTTGAAAATGCCAATAAGCCAGGTAGATGGTTAATAATTAAGCCTACTGATAACTACCCTTTCCTCCTCCTCCACATTGGGACGAATGACACAGCTAAGAACTTGAGTACAATAGTGAGAGAGTACAAACAGCTAGAAAAAGATAGAATAGACAACATTGCCACCAGATGGATCTGTAGCTGGCTGGCAAATCATACTCAACAAGTAGTCCTCAATGGCACTACATCCACATGGAGAGAAGTAAGCAGTGGGGTACCACAAGGTTCCGTCTTAGGCCCAGTACTCTTCAATATCTTCATCAATGACTTAGATCAGGGCTTTTCAACCAGTGGTATGGGTACCACCTGTGGTGCATTGGCACCTGGCAGGTGGTACGCGACCATCCTAGAAAAGTAGCGGGGGAGGGGAATGAGCTGAACCGGTGGTAGCACCGCACAAGCCTGAGCGAGAGATGGCTGGAGATGCAGGGCTATCAGGGCTCAGCGGAAGCGCCAGGATCAGTGCCGCTTTCCAGCTGATCGGCACTTCTTTGGGTCTGTCAGGGCTCAGTGCTGAGCCCCGAAGAAGCACCAATCATCTGGAAAGCAGCACTGATCCTGGTGCTTCTGCTGAGCCCAGAAGAAGCCCCGATCAGCTGGAACGTTGCAGCATCTTCAAGGTCTTGTGATTTACATTCAGATGCTTGACAACTGATTCATATTTATGATGGTCACAGTGTTCCAGGGTCATGTGAAGTGACCAAAACTGCTGCAACCACCCAGCAGACGGGGGGAATAAATACCAAACACCACCCCACCCACCCCCACTGCCAATCCTCAAAAGAAATACTCACAACAATGAAAACCTCAGACAGGAGGAAGAGTGCCGGGCAGGCAGGTGTCTTGCTCGACTTGCCTTGGGAGATACTTTTTCAGTGCCATTGTAACTTTGAACAGTCACTAAGCGAACTGTTGTAAGTCGAGGACTACCTGTACTTTATCACTTTTTTCCTTTTTTTTTTTTTTTTGATCATCAAGTTTTTGACACCTTGCTAGGTGACTGGTGGTACTTGGATGTTGCCATATCCTAAAAGTGGTACAATGGATGAAAAGGTTGAAAAGCCCTGACTTAGATAAGGGAATTGAAGGGGAACTCATCAAATTTGCAGATGATACCAAACCGGCAGGAGTAGCCAACACCCTAGAAGACAAACTCAGGATCCAAAAAGATCTTGACAAACTTGAACAATGGGCCCTATCCAACAAAATGAGTTTCAACGTGGACAAAAGCAAAATTTTACATTTAGGCAGGAAAAATCAAAGTTACAAGTACAGATTGGGCGAGACCTGGCTTAAAAACAGTAATTGTGAGAGGGACCTTGGAATCCTAGTGGACGATCACTTGATTTTGAGCCATCAGTGTCCAGCAGCAGCCAAAAAATACAATCCTGAGTTGTATAAACAGAGGCATAGAATCAAGATCATGCGGTATTAGTACCGCTTTATAAAATCCTAATAAGACCACACCTGGAATACTGCAGCCAATTTTGGTTGCCATATCGCAAGAAAGATGTTGAGAGTTTGGAAAAAAAATCATAGAAGAGCAACTAAGATGGTTAAAGGCCTAGAGACAAAAACATACGAAGAACAGTTGTAGGACTTGGATTTGGCTAGTCTAAAGAAAATAAGAAATAGGGGAGACATGAGAGCAGTATTCCAGTATTTGAGGGCTGCCACCAAGAAGAGGGAGTCATGTTATTCACCAAAGCACTAGAGGGATGGACAAGAAACAATAGTTGGAAACTGATCAAAGAGAGAAGCAACCTGGAATTAAGGAGAAATTTCCTGACAGTGAGGACAATTAACCAGTGGAACAGGTTGCCTCCAGAAATCATGGGCAGATCACAATCTGATAAAGATGACATGGAGAGGAACAAAGAAGAAATTAAGATGGACATTGAATCAATCTCTATTGAAAGAGAAAGAATTTATACAAAAAGTAGCAAAGGAAATGGAATTTTTCTTTAAAGAAAATAAGAAAGAAGATACATCACTCCAAAATATTTGGGACACAACCAAATCATGGGTGCTCCATCACTGGAGATTTTTAAGAAGAGGCTAGACAGTCACTTGTCTGAGATGATATAGGTTGTTAATAAACATGTTGTTTATTAAGCACTAAAGATTTGTAACTATAAAAACTTAATAAAATATCTATTAAAAAAATTCAGTACGTTAGATCCCACCTTGATTATAATATCTGATTTAGGAAGGCACAATTTAAAAAAAGATTCAGACTAGGCAACAAGGATGATCAGGGACTAGAAAATAATTCCATGAAGAGATTTTGCAGAGATTGGAAATATACAAAGAAATATACTAACTGTTCAAATTCCTGAATGTCACAGGAATAATCAACATGTTTCTTATCGTACAAGAGATAAAATAATGGGCTTGTGTTATAGGAAGGCAGATCCTGTCAGAACATTAAAAAAATATCCTTGCAGTAAGAACAATTCAATACAAGAACCAATTACTCAGAAAGATGATGGGGTCACCTCATTGAATATATTGGAGATTATCTTTCAAAAATGTAAATATATTTAGAATCCACAGAAAGATTCACTTTCCAACTTTTCTACGCAGCATTTCCAATAAGGACCCAAAATCCAAGTACTACAGTTCACTTTTTGTGAAATGTTTTTGTTTTAATTTACTGTTATATATCTTCATAAGCTTACAGAATACAGTACATCATTATCATTTTGCTAACTTTTTAAGACAATTATCTTCATATTACACACACATATATGCACACATACTGTGAAGGTTTATTACATAAATGCAGTCATCTTTTCTTTAGCTTCTTATATAACTCTTCCATTTTTAACTGATTTTAAAGACAAGGTAGGAGGTTGCATTACTATAGCTCAAAGGAACAGGTTTAATATGATGACAATCTAGCAGATAAATGATCCTGTATAGACTTTTATGGAGATATAAAGTTAAAGGCAGATCATTTGACTTAAGATACAATGGCTGCATAACAGGTTATATTTGCAGGTTCCCTAGCTGCAAAGGTGTTTTTTTTAAATGTTTTTCAGATTAAAAACAAAGCTTTCAAGTTGGTAAAATAATTAAAAGTGATGTTTTTACATCTCAGAGATGCAAAAAACAAACAAACACACAAAAAAAAAAACCAGTCAGTCAGACAGGCATGTTTAAAGAAAACAATGCAAAATGAGTGTATAATTTGTAACTCTCAGATGCAATCAATCTTATCCTCTCCAAATAATTCCCCTATCTTATAATTCTTGACAAACCATTCTGGAGGCTGGGATTTAGGAATTTTCTAACCAAACATCTGTGGATCCCAACTTGCTTGCTCTACATAATTAGGAAATGCTTAAAGATTAGTTCAAGCTCACAATCTGAATTAAATAACATTTCATTTGAGTAGAATATAATCAAGCCATACCTGTTGTCGTAAGCCACAAAACTTAGCTATTGGTTCCAAATTTTGTAGTTTTTCTTCTGTATCATATAAGTAAATGTCATCTTTAATGCTACGAGCTGGCCAAAATCCAATCAGGCCTTTGGCTTTAAGCTTATTTTTTGTAACCAAACTTTTCAGCAGGTTTTGAGCTTCGTTGTAGACTTTTTTTGCTTCTTCTCCTAAAAAAGGAGAAAAAAAAATGATAAGAATGGCTGGATAAATCATTTTGAATAAATTTTAATGGTTGGGTTCACACACAATACAAACTAAAACTAAATAAATCATATTATGCTTTACCATGATATGTCAACCCAGTCATCAAAACCTAAAATAAACTCACAGAATTTTTAAAGAAAGTAATCAAAGTTTGAATTTTTTTTAACTTCAATTTTAAAATAACTGTTTTTGCTTTCTTTATCACATCTGTTCAATGACTGCATTGTTATCCACAGGCATTTGGATGAAAATAAATATTTCAGAAAGAGTATATGAATATTGTACATTTCCTAGGGATAGTACCTAAATATACAATTTTCTCTTATTAAGTTAGGAAGATATAAACAATCTTGTAAATTTTTATCCACACACTGATTACAGGTGGCCCAAAATAATATCTTGCCATGGCAGAAAAAAATGATTTAATGACTGGCTAATCACAAGCCTTTAAAATCTAAAGTTGTTGATGGAATTAGTTGTGTTCACTATATGTCAAGATAAAGACAACATGAATTTACTCGTTACATAATTGTTTTATGGATAATAAATCTATTTGCATCTCATCTGTATCATTAATTCCTTTGCATATTTACACAACTACAGGCATTTTAAATAATAATTAACCTAGTTTTTAGATCCTCCACTAAAGAAAATGCTATTGTGCTTACCCACTACTTTATCATTGAAGATTTTAGGGAATCCCCGGTTGGGATATCTGCCTCTAAGCTGCCAGACATCAAAAAATGGTTTCCAGTCAATGTAGTCCACCAGCTTCTCTAAGTCATAACCTTCAAAGACTCTAGTGCCAAGGAACTGTGGTTTCACTATGAAAGTTCAACATGCAAATTTTGTACTTTAACATACCGGTATGTTTTTTACAACAGACTATTTTAATATGCTTTTAGTACAAACACTTAATGGCTAAAGGATTATCATATGCTTAACTTCAGTTAGTTGAGGCTGTGTCTTTGGACCCTATAGAACAGTGGTTCTCAACCTTTTTAATGTCGCGACCCCCAACCGGTCGTAAGCCGAGGACTACTCAACCGGTCGTAAGTCGAGGACTACTCAACTGGTGCAGCACCATTTGCAGAATGGGACTTTTGGCGAACTCAGCAGGGCAGAGACAGCCTGGACAATTCCTATTGGCTTTTGAAAGCCAATAGAATTAGACTCTATTCAAGAGAGTCTATTCTATTGGCTTTCAAAAGCCAATAGAATAAAAGGGAGTAGCACAGCTAAGGAAAAGGGGAAAAAAAATGGCGGACTGCGTTGTTTGGCGACCCCCGTGAAATGGTCGTTCGACCCCAAATGGGGTCCTGACCCACAGGTTGAGAACCACTGCTATAGAAGAGAATGCAGGGAACATCAATGAATCCAACGAATAGGACCACTACTGACTATACATTTATTTCCTTTAAACTAACCAGCTGGAAATAATAAGAATATATTATGGTTTTTTTGTAGTATGAGATAGCAAAAAAGAAGTAACAGAAACAGTAAACTATTGCATATGAAAAATCATGCCTTTACAAATCCTTTGATTACTAAAGCTGTGGTGCCTTTCATCTGTCAGGGATGCTTTAATCTGGATTCCTCATGTCAACTTTGCAATTAACTGTTCATAGAATATAGATCTGATTCACGGGAGCTGTTTATGATTCTCCAGGAAAATTCCATATGGCAATTTTAACTTATTTGCTACTTACTTCAGATAAGGCAGACACAGATCAAGAATTCTTTTCATATAACTTTCTCTTAATGTTTTTGGAATCTTAATTATTCTAAATACATAGTACTCCTTTGAAGGTGCTAGCAATGAGCATAGCAGATTGATAAGAGTAACTGATTTAAGTATTCATCAGTAAATAAATAGTAAGTAAGAATCACATTTCTATCCTGCAATCAAATGACTCTTAAAGAAAATGTAAAACTGATAAAATATTCACTGTACAAAATTCCATAAAAACACTGTAAATAAACACCTAAAAATACAAATAATAAAAAAGAGAAGTTAAAGATGATGTGATAACATCAGGGAAAGACTTCTCAAAACAACACTATCTTTAAAAGTCTTTGGGGCTAGCCTGATGTCAACGAGGAAGCTATTCCACAAGGTCAGCATTATCACTGAGAGCAGCACCTTCTGGCCTCAGCATCCCGAAGCTTCATAAAATGCGGTAAGAACAACAGTTTCTCACTGTTGGCACTGATTGGCTGGGCCAATTCTTGCTGAAGTGAACAGTCCTACAGAAATCTATAAGCCATTTCTTAAGGAAAGCAGCCGACTAATCTTTATAATACAAAACAACCCTATTAATTCTTATATATTTTCTTATTTATTAATTCTTATATATTTTCAACGTAGTTTAAAGTTAAAATATAACTTAATTTTAAATTAAAATAAAATTAATTCACTAGAGAGGCAAGAGAGCAATTTATAACAGTTCTCCAAGTAATTCTTAACAAAAGTAGAGACAGTAACCATTTGAGTTTCTCTTCAGTTAAATACTGAAAACTAAATTAAAATCCAATTTCAATTCACTATGGAGTTTTTTTCCCGAAAATGCCTGTGTTCCTAATAGAAGAAAATACATCTACTGTAGCTCAGTACTGTCGAGCACTGATGATGTTACCTACTTCAGTAATGAAATGTCTCCAAGGAAACAACCACGCTCAGAGAGCACCAAGGAATGAATATATATATATATATATATATATATATATATATATATATATATATATATATGCACAAAACAGTTTTAAAACTTAACCTGATTTAGTCTCAGTTTTCCAGTCGTAATAGAAGCGTTTATTTCTTGCTTGCTCTAAAGATAAGTATTTTCTTTCCTGCGTATGGAAGAAAAAAACCTGGAGATTATTGTTGTGTGGTTTACGTGTAACAGTTAATTTAGTCAAAAGAGAGCAAATAGAGCTAGCAATAATTAATATAAGCCTGGCAGGCACCCTTGTAAGCAGGAAGAACTAAACGCTTTCTCCTAGAGTCACATAAAAGTGAGACTGACAGTTAGATATATCAAATAAATCAATTATAAATAAATAAATAAAAACTTAGAGATTCCCAATAAAGATCTCCAGGTGTAGACTGTAGATTAAGAATCCACATCCTCGCCAGGAAAAGATGCTTCCTGTTATATAGACAGAAACCCATCAGTCCCACCCTCTGGCAGAGTACAAAAAAATACAAGTCCTCTTATAAACAAAAGCAGAAGTCAAGAAAGAAACAGGAAGAAGTTAGAAATGAAGATTTGAAAAAGCTTCAGCTAAGAGTTTCCCACAACTTCAGATTAAAATCTGAAATTTCAATAAAAAAAGAAATCGAGACAGAGAAGCAGAGGAGATAGTGTTACTGAAATTATTTTCATGTTTTGCTATTTGACCTTTCAATCACCAGTAAGTATTACTGGTGATGTGACCATATCCCTCAGTCACAAACTGGGGTTTGAGGGATGATATTAGGTAAGATGTCCCCTGAAATATAAGTCATAGCAACCTGAATTACCAAGTTGCTAACACAAAGCAGGAGACAGGACCAGAGGTGAAGACCCAATGGGCTACTAAGAGAGGTTTGACATGGCCAGCCTTACACCCTACACAATGCTCCTGTGATATTAGAACATAGGTTAACCACTATTTACCTTGAGTGAGTCATAATGATCCTGTCGAATGTCTTCATATTCTTCTCGTATGTCTTCAAAAAAGTCATCTTTTAGACTTTCATCTAAAAGCTGAGAGCACTATAACAAATACAACATGATTATTAAATCTCTAATTGAAGTATGCTATGCATTATTTTTAAAATTCTCTTTTTTGAGAACTTACAAACCCTAATGCACTAATAGTTCAAACGAATATGTGCAACTTATTTTGTTAAAATCACAGAATTCCTGATAGATACATCATATTTTTATTATGAATACTATTTCAACTAAAAGGATGCCAGGTGAATGTATTATCTGCAGACTTCAAATACGAAAAAATGAATTAATTAAGAAAGCAAGTCTAAAATGAGAAGATGATGAGGAAGATTTTTCCTTCATTCCTGGATGATATGAAAGCTATTCCCTTGAGCTGATAAAATCCAGGGGTACCTGATGAGATGTAGAATTTTGCCCTGGAACTGATGATTAAAAATTTCCTCCTATTCCCTCCCACTAGTTGCCCTGCTGCCTTAAGAAAAGCCTCATTTAGGCTTCCGGTTCTGCGCAGTTTAGCGCAACAGCCGAGGGATTGTGGGCTCCGCACCTTACGGCTGATTTCTTTCTGTTTGGCGACTCTAAATGGGAAAAAAGCCACCCCAGAGAGGTGGCAAGGAAGGAGGGAAGCCCCATCAATCCTGGGGAGATGGCATTCGATCCGGATGTCTGGGGAAAGCTCTCCAAAAACCATCAGAAGAAAGGCTAGCGTCATTCATGAATCTAGCCCAAGCTACATGCAGCCGAAGCCAACAAACCCACTAAACTAAGTGTGATTGTAAACAGCGTGACTGAACTGGGTAAGAATATTGATTTTCTCTCTTCTACCTGACTGATTTCCTGAGAAAAAAAGAAAAACCCCAAAAGTAAAAATCCTCCAAAAGTGAGGAGGGTGTCTTTGTTCCACCCTCCTCTAAACGGAAGCAGCGAATTAAGTTTACGGGGAAAAATGAAAGATGGACTGGTGCTGACATCTAGTGGTAGATGAAAATAAAGCCCTAAATATACAGCCCAGAAAGAGAAGCCTGTTGTCATGACCTTCAAGGTGTTGATCAAACAAAGAACAGTTGGACTATCTACAAAGTGAGAACCACAAAACTTAGAAAAAGTTGACCTTCCTGGATTATAAATATTTTTTAAATTGTGACTTTAAAGTGATTGGTAGAGAAAGGACTTTTGGTCATTATGGAGCATCAGAGATCTGCAGAAAGAACATACCAAGAAAAAATAAATACTTACCAGGAGGAAATGTTTGTTCTTTACAACAAATGCAAATAATATTAATTTCAAACCATGAGGAAATTAAAAATGGATTTGAAAATTTAAATAAATGCATTCTTAATTTAATGTCAAATAATCAAATGATCAGAAAACAAAAAATGAGAGAGATCATATAAAGCAGACAACTGAACATAAGCTAGTGGAGATTCAAGTGGAGAAGGATTTACAAGAATCATTGAACATTGAAAAGATAACTCTACGATCACAAACAAAATTTGAGGATAAGGAAAAAGATTTGACAAAATGGATTGCTGAGCCACTGGGAGTACCACAAGAAATGGGGAGACAGAAAGACTCTTTGATGCAACAGAATATATTGATTGGGAGAGATGCTTGGCAAAAGAAAAGGGCTAAAGTGAGAATTGAGGAATCAGAAGATGGGATGTATCAGAGGGAATATTTAAAAATTAAACACTTGTTTGAATATGGCTGAAGAAATTGAAAGATTTTAATTTAAGAGGGATGAACTCTCTAAGTAAAACAGTACCTTGTTTTCTTTTTTTTTCTTTTGTTTTTCAATATGAGAACTATAAAAATGTGTAGGATGATTAACATAAAGGAAATGTTTTAGATATTTAAATGTAATTGATTTTAAGAAAATTCCAATTGATAACTAAAAATGGGAAAAATGTTTTGAATAGAGTTAAAAGATTAGATGATTGGATTTATTAAACGGAACATTTAAAGATTAAACATAGGTTTAATTATGGATAAAAAGAACAGAAAGAATTTGGAAATAAGTATATACTAATTCAAGAGAGATATATATTTTAAGTAGTATATTATTTCCTTTTTTCTTTTTCTTCTCCTTTTTTCTCTTTTTTTCTCTCACGTCTTTTCTTTTTCTATGTCTTTCTTTTGTGTCTTTTTCTTATTTGTTTTTTAAGATATGAAAACAGATTTAAATACTTTAAGGTAATTAATTCTGGAAAAATTTTAACCAGTAGAAATGTTTTGAACATTGTAGGGAAAATAAATTTAAATAAGAATTGTAAACAGGATTTGTGACGAGGCAACCAAGATGACCAGATAAAAAAGAAGCATGATATTAATGAGATTATTAGTGGTGGGAATTTTAGAAAAACCTTTATATTTAATTGTTACTTATCAAATTAATAAGAATTGTATTACTTTAGGTTGCAAAGAGGATATTATTGGAAGAAGAGAAAATCAAGCAAAGCTATAATGTGGATTTTGGAATATAGAAATTAATTGATAGTGATTACTTTGTAAATATAAACCCAGACAACACGCTGTTTACCAAATATCAAGATATTTATATTAAAAAATCAATAAAATATATTTTTTAAAAAAGAAAAGCCTCATCTAACCATATATACTTCATACGCTTAATGATCCCACTGAAAATGTATTATTGATGTGATGTCAGACAGCAATGTGAAAATGCCCAACTTTTAAATCAGTCCCTACACCAGTGGTTCTCAACCTTTCTAATGCCGTGACCCATAATACAGTTCCCCATGTTGTGGTGACCCCCAAGTGGGTGTGGCCACCAATAAGAGGGAGTAGGACGGCTGGGGAAAAGGGAAAAAAATGGCGGACAGCGTGGTTTGGCGACCCCCGTGAAATGGTTGTTCGACCCCAAATGGGGTCCCGACCCACAGGTTGAGAACCACTGCCCTACACTATACTACACTATACACTATATACACTGTACACAAGAAGCAGGCTAATGTGGACTGAGACACTGCTTATAGTCAATCATGGCTGAAGAAGAAATACAAAAGTCTAATCAGTTCTGTTCTTAACTGTCTAGAACATTAAAAAACACCAAAAACTGCTATCAGTTTTTTTTTTCCTGAATATACAACAGAGGAAGAGGGTGGTTGAGTTTTTTCCTTAAGGTCCAAAATGAAGAAAGGAGAGCTCAACAAGTCTGAAAGTTCATACTGAGGGGTTCAAAAGAACTTCAAGGAATACAGAATATTTACAGACATTTACAAAGAAGTGGGTTTCCATAAAAAATCTTTCAAGACATTTGAAATAAGGTTTCTTTACAAATGCAAAATTGTTCAAAGACCAAAATTAAAAAAATAAATTATTTAGATGAGCCAGCTGATGCAAATAAGAATAAATTACTATAGCCTATTTGTTCCATGCATGCAGATATTGAGACCACTCCTTACAGGATTCTGTAAGAGTAAGAGTTGTTGCATAGTAATTAGGGTCCCTCAAGTTAAAATCCAACAACATTTTAGCAACTCATGTCTAGGAGGAAAAAGCAGAGATCTGAAACTAAGGTAGTTACTACTCATGTTCATTTGGACTATCGCTTCATGAGAATATTACTTATTACAGATTTAGGGGATTACAATTTCCAGAATTACCAATTATATAGCCAAGGCGCTAGGAGTTATAATCTTAATACATCTGGGATGCACCAAATAGTATAAATTTTCAGATAGAAATTTTATCACAACTTACAACCACCACACTTTTGGAGGCATCCAGGACGTGAATGACAGGAGCACTATACCGTGGAGCAATTTTTACAGCTGTATGAGTTCTGTAATAACATAAAAGGAAACCTAAGAAAACAATAACTATATAAAAAAACAGTCACAACAAGCATCTTAATGTACATATATAATTATATTCTGATGGGAAATCTCTAACTTCTTGGTAAATTCATCTTCTCCTTCAAGGAAATGACAGCCAACTGCACATCACAAAGAGTCAAATAAATATATCCATTATATAGATGGTTGAAAAAATCTTTTATTTTCAAGAAGTTCTAACATAATATACTAATTGGTAACTAAAAGGTTACATTTCTCAGATAAATTCTCCCTGCCTGAGGCTTAGGTGCCTTCCAATTCTATCATTCTCTGAATCTTCCAGATTCTCCAGAATGCCAGCTTTACATGTTTTAAAAACTATGATTTCATTTTCAGTGCTGCAAAGGTAATTCTCACTACACACTGGCACAAATTTACAGCATATGTGTCATAACCAAATCAGGTACTTAATTCATTATCGACTGCTATAGAACAGCCATTTATAACTAGAAGAAATAGTTCGAAATAATTCTTATAGTTTAGGCTTTCTCATCCCATTACATTTTTTTAATCTTCAATCTACGACTTATTACAATTCTCCTGGGACCTTTGCATGCAAATTTAGTTAATGCAAACATGTATTGATTCTCAGTGTTGCAAAACCAAATTCATTTTTGCTAGAACAAATGTGTATTCGTACCGAAAATAAAATCAGTTTCATACATCTCTTTTTCAGTGAGGAAATCAATAACTTCTCTGAAATGTAAATTAGGATTCAGGCACCTGATTTTTAAACTTGGTACTTTTATAATGGTATAAATAAATGTATCTAATAAGTATTGATTAAAATAATCTAAAAGGAACATAAAATAGTTAATTTTAGAAATCATATTCTTTTTTACATAAGCAGTTCAATGTATTTAGATTAACATCCCCTGCCTATAGCAAAAAAAAAAAAAAAAAAATCCCAACTTACTTGGAAGTAGTTGCTCCTCCAATCAGCAAAGGAATCTTTATTTCTAGCCTCTCCATTTCCTTGGCAACAAATACCATTTCTTCCAAAGATGGAGTGATAAGACCAGACAGGCCAATTATATCTATAAATATAAATAATTAAATATTTCCAACTTGTTCTCTATATTCTCAGAATCTATGTTAAACTTTAAGGTAAAAATGTGATCCACTTGTCAAATGAAGCCATGGCTCGAACTTAGAACTTTCTTCTAACTTTATGAATCTAGAGATATCACCCTGGATATTCAACTCATGGGTGAAATGGGTAGGATTAGAGCTTCTAAATATCTCAAATGTGTATGGTGAACACAGCGTTGTTGTCTTTTTAACACCAGATAATTATAACTTTATCCTTCCAGACATTTTAAAAATGAATTTTTTTAAAGTATTTGAATTTTAACTTACTTTTTAAACCACCTTAGATATTTTGGTGAAAATAAACATAGAACCTATCCTTAAATAAATAAAAGAAAATTGAATTTTATAAGCTGGCTACACTTTTACATGGTAAAGTAAATCATTGCATTGAGGTTGAGCCAAATAACCACATCTGCCAATGGATTACTTAATATCAAATGAAACTTTTATCCATTTTTCAAATTTACTGTCTCCCAATTTTTCTGACAAATCCTAATGTATTTTAAGGATTCTGTTTTCAAGAAAAAATAAAGATTGTACCAATGATCACCTTAATTTGCATTTTAATTTACATTTTTTTAGTGAGCATTTGAAGATGCACATTTTCATATGATGCAAATATATTCTTGAAATGCCTCAAAACTGGACATATACAAATCACATTTGTGTGTACCTGCTTTGTTTTCAAGAGCAGCTTTAAGTATCTTGTCACATGGTGTCATAACTCCCAAATCAATAACTCTGGGGAAGGAAATGGCAGTTTGCTAATCAACATGCACATACGCTCAATTAATCCATTTCTGTTATCATAGTGCACAAAAAAGATCAATCATCCTACTAGGAAACTCAAGAGAACAACACTTGGCTTGTAATCTACCCTTATACCGGAGCCTTCTTATAAAACACCTGCCCCATTCTTAGTTATTACCCCACTTGCTTGAGTTACACTTTCTATTAATTCCAGCGATTTCTTATTTAACAAGAATAGATAATTGAGAAATGAACTTCTTGGGCAGTAATACTGCTACCAAACATTTCAAGATAACTTGCCATATTGCAAATCCTGAGGACTTTGACCTATGAACTGGCTACTCAACGTCCAGACAAAAATTTCCCAGATTAAATATATATCTGAATATGCCCAGTTAGGGAGAAATTAAACAGTTTCAAATCAACCATGTACTTTGATCAAGTTTCTGCAGAGCTTTTATGTTCGCATATATACTTTCATGTTTTACTCCAAGCAGTTCTTGAGAGTAAATTTAAAATATTTGATGCCAAAAGCGTCTGCCTTTGTGGTGATGGAACAGTTAACTGGCCCATGTTTTTATTACAGTACACAGTATCCTGTAGAGATTCATGCAAGTTTAATACATTTATGAAATGATATGGCTGCCCAACTCCTTCACAACGACTCAGGGTGGTTTACAGAAATAAAACCCCAAATACAAAACCCAACAAAACCTCACTGCCCCACCCCACCCCGATAGCAACAATTACACAAACTACTCCATATCATCCTGGGGTACCCAGGTCTGCTAGCAAAACTATTATGTCACCCTTTACTAAATTTTTTCCTGTGTGAACATATAAACTTCATGTATACCACCTGGTTTTTAGACTTGGTACTTTTTAAATGATATAAACAAACGTATTTACTAAATGTTGATTAAAACAATCTAAGCTGCCCTTAGAAAGCTAGCACTTTAACCAAGTTATTAAATGTCCCACTTGCAGGAGATATTTCTAGCCTGTCAAATAATTACAGTACAAGGAGGTATGTGCAAGATCAAAAGATTGAGTCTCATTACCTGAAATTATTGCAGCCCAGAACTACTCCTACAATGTTCTTGCCAATATCATGGACATCACCTTTCACAGTAGCTAACACAATAGTGCCTTGATAAGGATCCTGCAAAAATTAAGCCATTTTTAGAATTTATATAGACTTCATTTCTGAGCAATTCCTATCATATGAATGACTGGCTTATTGCAACAACTGTGCAGACAAATCCATATGAATCTCATGTATTTTTTTTTATTTCTGAATAAAGTTTTACTTAATTCAGTTAAATCACAGGATGGTAATTCTTCAGAGGTCAAAACAGCCTGCCTCAAACCACTTTACATTTTGGAAGAAAGCCCCAGCTGACAGACACAAACTAATATATTGACATTTAAGCAGAAGGATGAAAAAGACTGCTTCAGTGCCCCTACAGCCCAGTTCCCTACATCGGTGGGAGAACAGTATGATGTAATGGTTAAAAGGAAAAGCTTGGAGAACTAGGTGGACCTGGATCTGTGAAAGACCAGCTACTGACTCTTGGGCAGAAGAACTGCTTTTGAAGTGAAAAGGGTGCAATAGTGAAGGAAAGGCAAGCACAGCAATTAGCTACTGTTAGAGAGGATTGTTATTGAATGAAAAGAAGTAGATCAGAGCACTGTAACACAGTCTTCTCCAACAAATATGTTGGAACCACAATTCCCTAAATTCTTGTCCATAATGGAAAAAGCACTGCCTTAGCATTTTCTCTACTGAAGCCCTTACTTCTAGGATCCCATGTTCCTCTACTGATTTATTCAGTGAATATTTTCATATCAATGTTTATACATATTAATTTCTTCAAGGCAAAGTGTCATTAATCTATACATGATAGTGGCATATCCATGTTTTTAAATTTGTTTCTTCTTATGAAAAAAGTGCTGGGGAAACCAGTTTTTTAAAAAAACAGAGGCACACAAATCAATCTATGCTTCTTTAGCATACCATAGTTTTGCTAATATTGGCATGTTTTGCTCAAATGGGGCTCTCGTGTTCAAGCTTTAAGACATTATTATTAAGACTTGCAACCTTAATACCCCTTGTGGTTATCCATCATTAATGTAAACAAAAGCTTTGATGCCTGAGGGTTTCTGTGTTACTATAATGCTTAACTTTTTCTGTCTTCTTAAAATGTAGCAGAATTTGGGGGAAATGAACATCCAGAATATGCCAAGGTATTGCACTATCCAGCATAATTATGCATTACACACATGAAAACCTGCATGACTGGAGCTGAAGGGCATGCTCATTTAATCAAGCCAGGGGGGAAAAAAATCACAGTGGAATGGCCAAACAATAATCACAGGCCTAATTGCTAGGGGAATCCTAAAACTGATGAGAATGGGGAAAAAAAACAAATGGGCTAAGCTCAGAGTAGGCTGCAGCGTGGACCAGTGCATATACTGTATTTATTGATAAGACATCTTTGGGATAAAAACAAGATGATTTCTAACATTAAATGATTTGAAGCAGACTAATTGGGAACAGGTCTAAATAGCTTTCCTCTTCAATCCTGGCACAAGTCTGCAGCAAAGCCATCCATTTTGAAAGATAATAACCAGTGTTCTATATTTGCTGTTCTTCTGGCACTATAGCGAGTATTCTGGGAGGTAACTGCACTCAGGAGAGCTTCTATGCCAGGAGATATGCACCTCATTTTGAGATAGGACAGCAGCAAGCATCACAATGATAAAATTCATATTCAGAGGCCAGCAGATTCCCACACACATTAGAATAGCAGCATTTAGAATTTCCAAAAGACTGTAGCATATACCAACTATTAGTGAGTAATGATACAGGACTGGCCTAATTCCATACTGATTCACAACACATTCCCCCCTTTTTAAATAAACACATGGCTGCTAAATAAATACATCTTGAAGCTAGTAAGCTTCTTGATTGTTGTGTTTTTCACTCAGCGTTTTGCTTTACCTCATTTCACTCCCTTCCCAAATGCCAAAGACAGCATAAAATTCACAATTTGTTCCTAAATCAACCCAGCCTTCGCAACAACTTGAACTACAAGAACAACTGCTGCTATTTCATTTTTTTCATGCCTATTAGGAATGAAAGAAATCTGCTACAGCACAAAGCATCGGGTTTCTTCCAGCCTCATGACTGCTTCCAATGAACAACTACACATTAGTTTGACAGATGCTTCCCAAGACAAGAGCATGGAAGTCCAAGGATTTTGTTTGCTGCCTTTGGAAGTGAACCAATCTGATTCACACCTCCCAAACTAATTTGCATGTCTCCAGAATCCATTTTTCAACTTCAAAATTGTATCGTGTTATATACATAAAACCACAAAGTGCTTTTAAAATAAAAACTGCAGATTTTTTTAAAAAGGAAAACGCCAATAAAGAGAGTAATAGGATTGCACAGACTTACTAATGCATTTAGTGACATGAATCCTAAAAGGTCTGATTCATCCAACTCTTCTGTGCTGATTAACTGGGACTCTCTAGAGTGACAATATTTTGAAGTGAGGCCGTATGAAATTGTATAGGTAGGCAATCCCCAAAATTAGCTTATAAAATGAAGGGGAGAGCTACCAAATGGGAAGAAGGGGCGCTAAAACAAAGCTGACAATGGAGATAGACAAATCAGTGGAAAACTCTTATCACTGAAAATGATACTATGAGAAAAATTCAGCTCAACAGATAGAGGCAAAAACTGTTCTTGCTACTGTTATTTATTTTTTTTGTCTTTTGAGCATTCATCCAATTAAGTACCAAGTTTATGATTATGGATCTTTATGTAGCATACTATTGCTGTTTGTTTTATTGGCAAAATATCAAATGGACAACTTTATGTTTTCCAATCAGCTGCCCATTCCTCTGACTGAGAGCTCATATAAGAGGATCTATTTATTGCAGAAGTTGCTGCCATAACGTGCCATGAATTCCTGACCCACACAAAAATCTATAACGCAACTACAACAAAAGTTAATTTAAGAGAATCAAGGATTGAAGCTTCAGCCTCACCTCTTCCTCTGTGCTACCAGACAATGCACGTAACTCTTCTCTTTCCTTCTCCATGAATGGGATAAGATGACCCACTGCTTTCTTCATAACTCTAGCAGATTTAATTACCTGTATATTCAGATTCAGAGAAAGAACCATGAGAATATAGCAGCACTTCTCTCAAAGAATAAGAATTGGAAGAGACCTTTGAGGTCTTTAGTCCAAGCTACTGCTCAAGCAGGGGACATATACCATTCCAGACAATGGAATATCGAGTCTCTACTAAAAGCTTCCAGTGATGGAGCATCCACAACTTCTGAAGGCAAGCCTTTTCACTGGTTAGTTGTTTTCACAAGTCCTTAGTTCTAGGTTGCTTTTTTTCTTGATTAGTTTCCATCTATTATTTGCCTTCTGATGCTTTGGAAAATAGGTTGACCCCTTCCTCTGTGGCAGCCCATCAAATACTGAAACACTGCTATCATGTCACCATCCCTAGTCCTTTTCACTAAGCTAGACATACCCAATTCCCACAAACATTTGTCATATGTTTTAGTCTCCAGCCCCCTAATCATCTATATTTACCATCCATTTAGACCAGATGGTCCCCTTGGTGTGGTTTATAGAACAGTGGCCACAAGCAGAGCCTTCTCAGAGACAGCATCCCCATTATAGAACTTTCTCCCAAGGAAAATATGAACAGTGCAACCCTCACCCATTTAGAGGCAGCTCCAAATACACTGTTCAGCTAGGCATATGTAAAACAACAACACATTTTATGGCCAAACAGCACTAGTAAATTACTACTACTATTTTTCTTTCTTAAAATACATACTTTTAATATTGTTTTAAGCAGTGCTTAAAATCCTACAAGCTAGACTCCAGCAGTATGTGGATTGAGAACTACCAGAAGTACAGGCAGGATTTCGAAGAGGCAGAGGAACTAGAGATCAAATTGCCAACATACGCTGGATCATGGAGAAAGCTAGGGAGTTCCAGAAAAACATCTACTTCTGCTTCATTGACTATGCTAAAGCCTTTGATTGTGTGGATCACAACAAATTGTGGCAAGTTCTTAAAGAGATGGGAATACCAGATCATCTTATTTGTCTCTTGAGAAACCTATATGCGGGTCAAGAAGCAACAGTGAGAACTGGACAAGGAACCACTGATTGGTTCAAAATTGGAAAAGGAGTCCGGCAAGGCTGTATACTGTCGCCCTGCCTATTTAACTTATATGCAGAGCACATTATGAGAAAGGCAGGGCTAGATGAAACGAAAGTTGGAATTAAGATTGCCGGGAGAAATATCAACAACCTAAGATATGCAGATGATACCACTCTAATAGCAGAAAGTGAAGAGGAACTAAAGAGCTTCTTGATGTGGGTGAAGAAGGAGAGTGTAAAAGTTGGCTTGAAACTCAACATTAAGAAAACCAAAATCATGGCATCCGGCCCTCTCAATTCCTGGCAAATAGATGGGGAAGAAATGGAGGTAGTGACAGATTTTATTTTTCTGGGCTCCAAGATCACCTCAGATGGGACTGCAGCCAAGAAATTAAAAGACGCTTGCTCCTGGGGAGGAAAGCTATGGCAAATCTAGACAGCATTCTAAAAAGCAGAGACATCACCCTGCCAACAAAAGTGCGTGTAGTCCAGGCCATGGTTTTCCCAGTTGCAATGTATGGCTGTGAAAGTTGGACCATAAGAAAGGCTGAGCGCCAAAGAATTGAGGCCTTTGAACTATGGTGCTGGAGAAGACTCCTGCGAGTCCCTTGGACTGCAAGGCGTTCAAACCGGTCAGTCCTAGAAGAGATCAACCCCGACTGCTCTTTAGAAGGCCAGATCCTGAAGTTGAAACTCAAATACTTTGGCCACCTAATGAGAAGGAAGGACTCACTGGAGAAGGGCCTAATGCTGGGAAAGATTGAGGGCAATAGAAGAATGGGATGACAGAGAATGAGATGGCTGGATGGAGTCACTGAAGCAGTAGGTGTGAACTTAAATGGACTCCAGAAAATGGTAGAGGACAGGAAGACCTGGAGGAACGTTGTCCATGGGGTCGCGATGGGTCGGACACGACTTCGCAATTAACAACAACAACAACAAAGTGATGCTTTACAATAGCTGCCTTTGAGAGTTTTCTTGTAAACCACTCTGGATTTCTCAGAAACTTTTAATTTCAAATTAGATGTTGATTTAATAAATTAGGCAGAAGAAACAAATGCTTAAATACAGCTAAATCCCACAGACCTACTGCCTCCTAGGCGCATACTGCAGAGAAAATAAGGCATTGCATTTCTAGCCAGCATAGCCACAGGATGATGGGAACTATGGTTCATGACACCCAAAATATATTAGTTTGGGTAAGGCTGGATTAAATTATAAAAGATCAGATGAAGGGAAGTATTTTTGTCTCTAAAAAAATAATTGGGGGGGGAGTTGACTTGGCCTTTTAATTTCAACTCAAACCAATTCCTAACTTCCCATTCAATCCAAAGGGTTTTATTATTGCCTGGATTTTAGGGAGGGGAAGAGACAAGAATAGACCACAAAGATAATCTGCAAGTTTGCTCTCTAGCCACCTGCACACCACCTTCCCATGTATGTGTGTATGTGTATGAGAGACAGAGAGAGAGAGATCCCCTTTTTGTAAGTTTGCTTACTCTGCAACTCCCTGCTGGCTCAATCTCTCTCTCTCTCTCTCTCTCTTTCTCTCTCTCTCTCTCTCTCTCACACACACACACACACACACCACACACACAGAGGTTAATAAAAAAGAGGAGGGGGGAGAAAAGTGGAAGCTCTCCTTTTTTGTAAAACCTCGGCTTCCTCCTCCCCTCCTGGCTCTCTCTGTGTCTCTGTCTCTCTTTTACACACACACACACACACACACACACACACACACACACACACACACACACCCTTCCTGTTTTCTCTTCTTCCTCCTTTTTCTCAGCTGCACCTGAACGGAGTGGAAGGAAGTTAAAAAAGGGGGGGGGTGAAAGAATGGGGGAAGCTCTATTTTTTTGTAATACCTCGGCTTCCTCCACCTCCTCCTCTTCCATTCCTGACCGGGCCTGATGGGGTTAAGCTGGGAGGGGAGAGGCGGTCTAAAGCAACTGAGCTCTCGCTGTTTCGGCTGGCTGTTTCCTGCACGTGCTCCAAGACACCCTGCTGGGTTGTGGTGGGCCAGGGCTGGGGCAGCACCAGGGGGCCAAATCTGGGCCCTCCCTGGGCCGCATCTGGCCTGCGGGCCTTATGTTTGACATGTTTGTACTACAGCCATACAACATGGGTGAATATGTATACTTAGACATAAGACAGTACTGTGAGGATTAGGTGTTCAGCAGTGTGATGGCACAAGGGAAAAGACTGTCACTGTGTTTAGTTGTTTTGGCATGTAATAGCAGTGTCTCAAAGGGACAAATTGAAACTATAGCAGTGTCCTGAAGGGAGGAGTTGAAACAAATTATGTCCAAGATGTGAAAGATCTCTAGTTATTTTCTCAGCTCTCCTTCTGACCCGCACAATATACAGTACAGATCTTCTATGGAAGGCAGGCTGGTTGCAATTGTTTTTTCTGCAGTCCTAATTATCATTTGGAGTCTCCACCTGTCTTTAGTTGTGTGCCAAACCAGACAGATATAGAAGTACAAATGACACACTCAATCATTTCTCAGTAGAACTGTATCAACAGCTCCTGGAGCAGTCTCAACTTCCTGAGTTGATGCAGGAAGAACATTCTTTGTTGTGCTTTTTTTAATGATGGTTCTAATGTTAGATGTTCATTTCAAATCCTGGGAAATTATACAACCCAAAATCTGAAGGATTCTACTGCTGATGCTGTGCTATTGAATATAGTAAGAGTTGGTAGAATAGGAAGGTTCCTCCTAAAATCCACTCTCATCTTTACAGTTGTGTGTTCAGCTCCAGATTGTTCCAGCTGCGCCACAGGGCCAGTTGTACAACTTTCTGTCTGTATGAAGACTTATCTCCACCTCGAATGAGACTGTTGTATCATCTGCAAACTTCAGTACTTTAACAGAAAGATCCTTAGAGATGCAGTGATTGTTATAGAGAGACAAGAGCAATGCAGAGAGCACACAGCCCTAAAGGGTTCCTGTGCTAATTGTTGGGTGCTCAATATGATTTTCCCTAGCTTCATCTGTTGCTTCCTATTTGTCAAAAAAACTAGTAATCCACCTACAGTTACAGGCACAGGTAGCTAAATCAGTTTAGAGTGAAGAGTTTCTGGAATGATGTTATTGAATGCTAAACTAAAGTCAACAAAAGGACCCATGCATAGGTCAGTGGGGATTAAAATGTTGCAAGATGATGCAGTATCATACTGACAGCATCATCTGCCGATGTATTTGCTTGGTAGGCAAACTGCAAGGGATCTAAGAGCGGATCCATGATTTTCAAGTGGGCCAGCCTGGCCTCTTGAAGGCCTTCATAACTACAGATGTTAGAGTGACTGGTCTGAAGTCTTTCAGCTCTCTTAAAGATGTGGGTAAAGATGGGGATCAGTTATTCAGCACAGATTTTCAAGCAAGAAAGAGTTACTCCATCTGGGCCTAGTGCTCTTCCGATCTTTTGTGTATGAAATAGACCTTTCACGTCTTTTTCTAAGATCACCAGAGGTGGGGAGCCCAGAGGGATGGAGATAGGTGTAGGAGATTTGGCTATTGTTGTTGAATCTAAGGAGTAAACTGTACTGAGCTAAAATGGACAAACTGTCTGGCTTGGTGTAAGGCAATCTCCTATATTCTACTACAACATCCTGAAGCGCTAAAAACTGGACAGTGATCCTCCCTCAAGCCAAATAAAGCATTGGTGGAATGTTTAATTACATAACTAAATTGTGGTAAGCTAATGGAAACTTCTTTACCTGAGGAAGAAACATCTTGCCAGCTCCAAAAAGATCGCCAACTATTTTCATGCCATTCATTAGCGGCCTCTCAATTATATTCAGGGGTCTGGGATACCTCTCTTTGTTTTGTCTAGCCTCTTCGGTATCCTCAATCACATATTTCTCAATGCCCTGGAAGAAAAAAACAACCATCTGGACATTAAAATGGTTTATATCTTCCCACAACAAGCATCATTTATCTACTGCATTTTAAAAAACTGGGGCCCTCAAGAATAACCTTTCAAAAAAGAGACTGTAGTAATTCAAGGGTGTTAAAATAGGCTAATTATACTAAGAGCTGAATTTAAAAGTAAACCTATAGAATATTTAACGTAAAAAAACCAAGAGAAATAAAACATATTAGTAATATTAATTCATGCTGAAAGCATAAGAGGCAGTGTTTTCAATCTCTTTCTAAAATAATCCTGAAGGAGCCTGGCAAAGGGACAGGAGAAAAGCATTCACCAGCAAGAGGCATCCTCATTATCTCACTTTGAGTGTGGGTATTCTGAAAAGGATCTCTGAATTAAATTTTAAAATAGACAGACTGTTCTTGAAGTATTCAAAATTACACTTCCCTTTTCATATTGGCAGCTTCTGATCTGCTAAGTGCAATTAACAGCAACTGGTTTCCAGCCAGCTGCAGCAAGAAATTGTTATAGCCTTGCCTCAGTTGAACCTCCATTTTTCATTACAAGGTGTTGATGCTTTGAAGGGGGTTCTAAATTGAAGACTGTGAAGAAAGTTCACAATGTTTTTCAAGCGTGGTGCCTTTAAGATATGTGGATTTCCACTCCCAGCCAGGCAGCATTTTCAGAATTCTGGGAGTTGAAGTCCACCCATTTTAAGTTGCCAAACTTGAAGGACACTTTTCTAGATATAAATCAATGAGAATAGCCATTTATTTTTATTCTTCAAGACAAGTTCTGCCAACTGAGATCCCAAATGGGCCATTGGAAGCACACTCTATTTCTCAATCCATCAAGAAATTCTGGAAAGCTGAACCCTGACAGTATGACAGACTTGAACTGGTGCTCTCCAGCAACTTTTCCCTTTAGGATTAAATCTAGTCAAAGAGGCAACAGAATAAATTTTAGCTCATCAAACAGGTGATAAATTCACCTTAACAAGGGCATACTCCAGTCTTTCTTCTACAGATTCATTTCTCCATTCATCAGTCTGCACCACTTTTTTTCCTCCTTGAGCATGGGTCTGGAATGAGATTAAGACAAGTTAAAATGAAATCATTTGCCCCCCACCACTGTATATTGAAACTATCTTCATATAAGTGGAGAACTCTAACCTATTACTCCATATGTAAAAGGTTTCTTTCCCAATCAGATAAAACCTTTTGCCCCAGAGCTTGGAGGATCTTTAGGCCAATGGTTCTCAAACATGTTGGTCTCAGGACCCCTTTACATTCTTAAAAATGACTGGGGTTCCCAAGGAGCTTTGGTCTGTTTAGGTTATATCTATTGTTATTTATTGCATTAGAAATTAAAACTGAGAATTTTTAAAATATTTATTTGACTTCAGGGGCCCCATGAAAGGATATTGGGGATCCCCAGAAGTTCCAGACCATACTTTGAGAATTGCTGTTTTAGACCATTAAAGAGACATATCATCAATGGGATGTTGGGTCAAAGAGAGATGGCCTTCTTCAGATTCTTTGTTGATTCAAAATTTCAGATTCTGTCTACACCTCTATTAAAGTGAAGTGTGGAGTCAGAGAAACAGGCAAGAGCTACTATGAGAGCAACTCCTGGGAAACCAGATATTATTCAGAAGTGACTATGTAAGTATAGAGGCTCAATAAAGTATTGTTCTAGCCTTTCTATGGAGTCAAGTTTCCTGTTCTAGTCTACTTTGTATAGTTGACATGAAGACCCAAACTGTATGTTTTATTTGCCAGAATTATATTCTGCCACTTAGATAACTACATACAGTTTTTGTATAAACAGAATATTCAGTGTGTCACCTCAGTTCCAATAAGATTTTTGACTGAATATACAATATATTTAGCCACTTCCTTTATTTTATGTCTTTATTATGATCTTCTAGCCTCAGAAATACTATAAAAAAATAAGCAAAGGGCAGGGTGGAAAGATTCTTTACCTCAGCATTATATCATTAAGAACCCCCCCTAAAATCAAGGTCATGTTGAGGCAACTTCTTATATTTAGCTGCATAGAAGAAGCTTCTTGCAAACTTCCAGTTCCGCCTCGTAGAGACGCGGCCAAGAGATTGCAGAGCTCCACACCCCATGGCTGGTTTCGCCCTGCTAGGGGACCCTAAATGGGTCAAAAGTTGCCCCGGAGAGATGAAGGAGGGGCACCCCTATAATCGCAGAACAATCAATCCGTTTGATCCGGGGGAAGCCCTCCAATCTGACAGGAGAAAGGCTAGCTGCACATCAGTGTCTAGCCCAAGCTACCAGAAACCGAAGTCCAAAAGCACGAACCAGAACAACGGTGAACAGCGTGCTTGGAACTGAGTGAGAATATCGATCTTCTCTCTTCTATTTTGCAATTGATTGCCTGGAAAAGATCCCCAAAGCAAGAAATCCTCCGAAAGTGAGGAGGGGACTATACCCCCACCCTTCCATAGATGGAAGCGGCAATTTAATTTTTACAGGGGAAAGAAATATACTGAAATGAAATTAGCAATATTACAGTATGGATAAATCTGAAAATTAAGAAAACCGTTAAGATTTTACATCTGAAAGATTTTTGATGAAATTATAAAACAATAATTCTTTGTTTGAAAAGTTGGAAAATGAATAACTACTGACATCTAATAGAGGATTAGCGTATAGTACAACAGCAGCACTGACTCAGAAATTGGCAAGACACCCAGAAACAAAGAATAATCTATTCCCTTGAACCTTAGTGACCTTCAGCCAAATAGAAAACAGTTGGGAACAAGGAAAGAAAACATACTGGGCCACCTACTACAGACTAAGAACTATATTTGTTTTAAAAACTGCTGACCTTCTGGGATTATAAATATTTAGTGAATTGTGATCTTTAAGCTCAACAATTGTCTGCAGAAAAAGAAAAACTTTGACTGTTGGCTAATTTTCTAGGGGGGAACTTTACTGGATAGTCAAACATTCTGTACTGCAACTTTGGCTGGTAGATAAATTGTAAGACCCCTGAACAGAAGAACTGTTATAAAATGTTGCCCTAAGTGGTACTTTGACAATTGGAAATGCATTAGATTATAAAAAAAACTATATATAAAGATAAGAACTACATACGATTTTGTTGTTTGGACTCTAAGACTGGCTGGTTTAAAAGGCTAAACACAGAGACTATGATACCAGTGAAAGAACATCTGGAAGGGGAAAATAAAATGAAAGTTGCATACCTATCTAAAAGTGGCAGGAAACTACATCTAATATCCCCTTTTGAAGGCCCCAGCCTGGATCAGAAATCTGAGATCTGCAGAAGCAACACTTCAAGACAAGGCAAATACTTTCCAGGAGGAAATGTATGCAATGCTGCAACAGATTCAAATGACAATGATTTCAAATCATGATGAGATTAAAAAAACCTTTGATGGCATAAATGAGCACATTTCCAACTTAAACATACAAGTAAAAAATTTTCAGAAAATGATGATAAAGAATGAACAAACAAACCAAACAGAATACAAATCAGAGGATAGTGACCTAAAGAGGAAAGCTATAGAGCAGTGGTTCTCAACATTTTTAATGCCGCGACCCCCAACTGGTCGTAAGTCGAGGACTACTCAACCGGTCGTAAGTCGAGGACTACTCAACTGGTGCAGCACCATCTGCAGAATGGGACTTTTGGCGCGCTCAGCAGGGCAGAGACAGCCTGGACAATTCCTATTGGCTTTTGAAAGCCAATAGAATTAGATTCTATTCAAGAGAGTCTATTCTATTGGCTTTCAGAAGCCAATAGAATAAAAGGGAGTAGCACAGCTAAGGAAAAGGGGAAAAAATGGCGGACTGCGTTGTTTGGCAACCCCTGTGAAATGGTCGTTCGACCCCAAATGGGGTCCCGACCCACAGGTTGAGAACCACCGCTATAGAGGAAAAGAACTACAAATTAGTACAAATAAAAGAAATCTTGCAAGGTTTTGCCACAACAATGGAAATGAAAGATATCCTATTTTTCAGGACCTCAAAATCAACTTGAAGATTGGAAAGAAGACCTAATAAAATGGACTATAGATTTCTGGTTTTGTGCAGTAGCGACCGGCTTTGGCTTGCAGATTCTCTGCACTCCCGCAGCTAATTTTGCCCTGCCTGGAGACCCTAAATGGGTTTAAGTCAGGGCTTTTCAACCGGTGGTACATGTACCACTTGTGGTACATTAATGAGTGGCAAGTGGTACACAGCCCTGCCTAGCCAAGTGTAGTGGGGGAGGGAAAGAGCCAGCACAGGCAAGGACTTACAGTGAGAGAGTCCTCTGGAGCTGCAAAGGCCCCAGGCTCACTTCTGGCTCATCCTCTCCCATGAAAAAGGAGGGGGGGCAGAGACAGGAGAACCTATAAAAGGAGGCAGTTTGGGCAGGAGAGGGAGAAAAAAAGCAGCAGCCTTGGGAGGAGGCAGAGTAAGCTTTGCTAAAGGGGAAGAAGGAGGGGGAGGGTGTGGGGAGAGGAGATCAAGCAGGCTGGCCATGAGCCGATCTACAACTGCTGTGGCAGCCACCTGTGCTGGCAGCAGCAAACAGGCAAGAAATGCAGCGGGGGAGGGGTCACCCTCCAAGAGGAATGAAAAAAGGCAGCAATGACTGGAGGTGAGGCATGGAGGAGGGAAGGCGATGGAGAGTGGAAGGATTCTTATGTGCTTTTGTGACTTTGAAGTTCTGGGATTTGTGCAATGAGGGCTTTGTGTTCGTAAGGAATATTTGGCAATTTCTATTTGGCTGATGGCTGATGTCTCGTGTTAGCTTCTATTGCTCTGCTGCGAAAAGCTAAGCTGTGTTTGTAACCTTCAAAGTTTTAACAACAAAGAACAGCTGTGACAAAAAAAGACAATAATCTGGGCTGTAGACAAAGAGAATTATAAATTTCAGGAAAAAAATCTTTTTTGAACTATTTGGATTACAAATATCTATTTAATTGGGACTCTAAAGCTATTTGCAGAGAAAAGAAGGGAAGAGAAAAACTCAAATTCTTGGCCATCATGGATCAGAGACATGTAGAAAGAACATATCAAGAAAACATAAGTACTTCACAGGAGGAGATATATAGTATACTGCAACTAATTCAAACAACAATGACTTTAAACCACAAAAAATCCAAAATAACTTTGAAAATATAAATCAATCTATTTCTAAGTTAACTTTACAACAACAAAAAAATCCCAGAAAACAACAACAGAGAAGGAGCAGATAAAACAGATAAATGGATATAGAATTGAGAATAGAGACTTAAAGATGGAACTTAACAAAACAAGGAAACATGATTTAATCCTAGTGGAAAAAAATTCACAAGAATTGGAAAAAATAACTTATCCCTTAAGACTACAAAATAAATTTGAGGACAAGAAAACAGATTGGGAAAAATGGACTACAGAGCAACCAGGACAATCATTAAAGTTTGGGAGACAAAAAATACATGTCTTATCTAACTTGTTTTTTCTATTCCCAACATTTACAAAAATACAGGAAAAATCCCTGGGTAAGTCAAACACACTAACTTGGAAATCAGATCTGAGAGATTTGATGCGACTTACCAGATGGAATACTATATGATCAAATACCTGTTTGAACACAGTTAAAAGAATAGATAAATTATGGATATAAAGGGGTCTCACACCAAGAGAGATAAGATATATAAGTAGTATAGTAATATATGAAATGTAAAAATATTGGGATGGTGCACATGAATGAAAAGTTTGCATATTTAAAGGTTATTAACTTTTGAGAAAATTATGACTGATAAGAATGGTGTGCATACAGAGGGGAAATTAAGCTTAAATAAAAATCTTGAAAACAGGACATGTAGTGACCTAACAAGATGACTTTTATAAACACAATTGAAATAGAAACTGATAAGATGCTGATGTTGTTTGTATAAACACAAGAAAAAGATTTATATTTACGTAACTTTATATGTATTGAATTTTAAGAATATTTGCTTAATCTTGACAAAAGGAGAATACTATTGGATGAAGAGAAGATCAAAGAAATATATCATTAATATATTGATTATGGACTAGAAATTAATTATTATTGTTTTTTAAACATGAGCCCAGACAACACGCTGTTTACTAAGCACTAAAGAATGTTATTGTAAAAAATTAATATTTTTTTTTAAAAAAAGAAGAAGCTTCTTGCAGATCAATGCAGAGCTGCTTTGGATCTTTAGGGTTAGCATGTGTGTCTGATGATTTGGCACAATCTGTCATATCTCACACTTGAATACAGATAAACAGTTACTTGCATAGGACAGTGAGTGAAATGTATAGGCTGGAGTGTTCTGGACTACAAGCATTATCAAATTGATCAGTGTCCAGAAAATTTACGTCTAATGAAATTCTGACCTACCCTCTTTCAAGTGCCCTCTGGTCTTACATAATCATGGCATATGCCTAAGATACTCTACACATCCGAACACGAACGGCTGCTGATTGATTCCAGAAAGCTTTTGCTTCTAAAAGAGGTATGACAGGAAAATATAAATATTCCCTCAATAGAAATAAAAATGCCAAAAAAATGGAGCTTTGGATTTTTATTTCTGGTAATATAATTTAAATGTATCCCCAGCCAGTCTAGCAACACTTTATTTTAAAAATCTAATAATTTAACTTGGCTTTAGTACAGTCCCTCTTGGTGATCGCTTATGTTGTATCACGTAATGAAAAGCTAATGAATCAAATACTGATCTGAACTGGAACGTGCCCATCAGCTTAATAGAACAACCCACTCCTTTCTACTCTGCTCTGCAGTACTATCCCAGTCACTTTCCACTTAAAATATTTTATTATTTACATTATAGAAATGTACTGTGGTTTATGTCAACCAATAAATTCTGATTCCAAATGCTAGTTATTTTAAATGGTAATGTTGGCAAAGTTGCTCTTTCCCGTAGTATTTTCCTTGTAGAATGAAAGTAAAACCTACAATCCTCAACTTACAACCTGTCGCTTAGTGACTGCTTGAAGTTATGACGGACCCCCCCCCCCAAAAACAGGACTTACATCAGGTGTCCCTGTCTATAGTCACATGACCATATTTTGGGCTCTCAGCAACCAACCCACATTTACAGGACCATGATTTACATCATTTTCTTCACAAAGTGACATTTACTTATACTTTCCAGAAAGAAAACACCGCAAAACAAACAATGGATTTCCTTAATGACTGTTATATTCAATTAGTGACCACCATGTTCACTTAACAACTGCTGCAAAAAAGATCATACATTCGGCTGTGGTTACCGTGACGACCCGCATTATGACCCTCATGACTTATGACTGAAATTGCAGGCTCAATTACAGTTGGAAGTCGAGGGCTACCCATACTACCTGCTTGAGTCATCATCATCATCATCATCATTTTAGCCATTGTCTGTCCACTGCAGGACGGAGGCCTCTTCCACATGTTTCCAACCAATACAGTCCTGAGCTTTCTTTTGCCAGTTGGGCCTGTAGTACTTGCTGATGTCATTGATCCATCTTGTTTTAGGTTTCCTTTGTGGACGCTTTTTATCAAGTGGAATCCATTGCCTTGGTCCACCTGCCATCAGTTCTTCTTGCTATGTGACCAGCCCATCTCCATTTCAATTCTTTTACTCTCTTGATGATATCGTATAGTTTCATTTGTTCTCTAATCCATGTGCGGGTCTTTCTATCTTGTCTTGTAATGCTGAGCATTTATCTTTCCATGATTCTTTGCACCACTCGTAGCTTTTGTATCGATTGTGAGGCTAGTGTCTATGTTTCATCGGCATATGTTAGAACAGGTAGCACACACTGATTGAAAATTTTTCTCTTCAGGCATAGGGGGAGGTGGTTCCTGAAATAACCTTCCCTTATGTTTGAATCTGCTTGAGTATAAGGACAAAACAAACCCAGGTTTTGTACACCTGTAAGGTGGGCCACAAATGAATATCCTCCCCCCCAAAAGACAGTAGTGCTGTGTTTTCCAACCATTCCATCCCTTCCCCTTCTCTCACATCTTTGTGACTTGCTGCTCTTTATTAAAAATCCCAACATTTTAAAGTTCCACACAAAGAACAATAGGATCTCCCTACAGATGTATATTTCAAGTATGCACAGCTGGAGATTCAGAAGGCTGTGGCTTTTGAAGATGTTGGCATGCAGAAAGATTACTGGACCATTGTTGTTACAGTTGGACATGAATTTGTGCATTTCAACTCTGGGACATAACAAATTAGCATGCATCTTACTAAGAAAGATTTCACATGTTTGCACATTTATAACGAACACCATATTTTGTTATTAACTATAATTGTCCTGGGTTTTTGTTGCGTTTTATATTTTCTCTTATTTTTCCTTTGTTGTTTTAATAATTAAGTAAATTATGCCAGTGTGTTTTAATTCATACTAATTCTAATTAAATAAATGCCACTATGTTTTAATTCAAACTCTGAAGCAAAAATACATTTCTTGTGATGCTTATCTATGTATTTTCGTAAACTACAATTCTACTTTTTTTTTTCTTTGGGAAAGACAAAAAAGGTCAATATTTTTTCCCAGAATCACCCAAGCCCAGCATGATTTGATACAAGGTGCTTTAAGGAAGAGGGAGAAGCAAGGGGACATTTGTGGTTACATCCAAGTAAACAAACCAAGTCACTTAAGAATAATTCACAAAGCAATTCTTCAGGCTTTCAGCATCCATGTTTAAAAGTTAAGTCGTGCGTATTAAAAATAATTTAGGCAAAATATAACCTGAGCGTAATGCAGAAGCTTTTCTGTTGCATCTGGGTCTTTATTCCAAATCAAATCTTCACACAACTGTAAAAGTTCCTTTTGGATATCATCATATACTGGAAGATTTCCTGCATTCACAATCCCCATGTCCATTCCATGCTGAGAACAAACAAAAGGGAAAAAAAAACACACCAATGGATATTATAGCTTCTTCTACAACAGTATTTTTCAATCACAAACTATTTTGCCCAAACCATCAGATTACCTTAATTGCATGGAAAAGAAAAACACCATGCATTGCTTCTCGAATAGCATCCATTCCTCGGAAGGAGAAAGACAAATTGGAAAGGCCTCCACTTATTCTGGCTCCAGGCAAATTTTCCTAACAACAGAAGTCCCAGCAAGATAATGAAATGTTACAAAGAAAGAATAGATACTAAGTGTGGTTAGCATTGTCAGGTCACTGGAGTAACAGTACAAAAGAGCAATACACACATTATCTGACTGCCCCTTAAGTTATTGTCAAGGGAAAAAAATATGACAAATAACAAAAAAAAATCTCTGTCCAGAAAAATATTCATTTCAAGACCCAGCCTATCCTATATTCAAAGAGGTTTGTCTTGTATATCTTTCTATGACCATAAAAAATAAAAATTCACTGGAATTTTGTTTTTACTTCCTTTTCTTTTTGACTATTTTCATTCTGCTGTGAAAAAGTTTATACGCTCTTCAGAACTAAAGCTGAGGAATCTACAGATTATTCCACTAATTTCTTACTTGGTTTCTTTAGGAGGCAAATAATTTCTTACCCCAAAACTATCTTACTGGTGCCAGGTGTTTCTGTATGAATCTGAGCAGCCCAAAGAAATCAATATTACAATTGGACACCAGAGAACTGTGGTTGAATCCCATCCTAAGGAAAGTTGTATCTTAACCATTGCATAACTTCAATAGAGAAGATTAATTCATTGGTTGCTATCAATCTACCTAAAACATGATAGAAGACAATGGGAAGCATATACATTATGTATACTAAGAAGTCATGCAACATAGATATTCTTTTCACACAAGGAGATTCATTGTGTTACAGTCTACATATGGGCAAGATGTTAATTCATTTCTAGCAAACTTTTTCAAAGCTTCAGAACCATAATCCTGGAGAAATCATATCTCATTTCTATAATATTGACCTATCTGGTTTGAAGGGGAATATATAAATGTAGAGATACAGAGATATAATGTTAATATTACTTTTACCTTTTTATTAACTTTAAAAAATGATTGAGCTGTAACCTCAAATAATACAGACATAAATAGGAAATGTTTTTATCATATATCTATGGTAATTTATCACATACATATGCAAAAATAAAATCTCAAAAATATCCTGTTTACCATACAAACTCAGAATAGAATCACAGACAGTAATGGATCTTGTACTAATTGAATGAAGTAACTTTCATGATGTTGTCAAAGACCTTTTGGCCAAACTGTCAATTTTTGGCAAATATTGCTCCATTTAATTACTCTAAGTATACATACAATTCAGTTAATGGTCTGAGTTTTTTTAAGCAACTATATAATTTATAATAATTCTGCTACTGGAAGTAAAGCTGATGAAATTTTACAAGATAAAAAGTTGTACAGTTCTATTTAAGCATTTGCCTTACTCAACTACTTATAAAGGCCGGTAGACAAATGTTTAAAATAAAATCAGTAAATCAGTTTAAAAAAAAGAACCCAAATCCCACTCCCTAACTTCCTAGACTCACTTTTATTGTTTTAGTTGCATCGATATAGTTAACTGCATACAAATTATGTTCCTCCATTCCAGTACCTATAGTCAAAATGTTGGGATCAAAAATTATATCACATGGATTAAAGCCAATTTTGTTCACAAGGAGGTCATAGGCTCTGGTGCAGATTGAAATTTTCTCTTTTGTTTCTGTGGCCTGAAAAGAAAAATCAAACATGTGGAAAGAACAATAGTTAGTTTTTTTCTGTGGTATCATGTTTCTGTCCAATGTTAGCCATAGAGAAATTAACTTTGCTATTAACAATTAATTGAAGATGTTATTGGAAACTTCTCTACACACCTATTGCTACAGTTACTGTTGCATATTATTAATATGATTTAAACTCCGCTTGTTTGCTCAATGGAAAGCTGTTTGCTGAAGAAATGCATATAAGTGAACAGATCATGACTTCATAGGGAAATGGCTAGGAATGCCATATTCGCAAATCTGAGCCACTTAAATCAAGATAAGGATATAAGATTAACAAATAAATAATGCTTTGTGACAAGAAACAAAGGATGGGAACTAGCCAAGGAGAGAAGCAACCTAGAACTAAGGAGAAATTTCCTAATGGTGAGAATGGAATAGGTTGCCCTCAGAAGTTGTGGGTGCTCCATCACTGAAAGCTTTCAAAAAAAGAGACTGGATAACCATTTATCTGAAATGTTATAGGTTCTCCTGCTCGAGCAGTGGGTTGGACTAGAAGACCTCCAAGGTCCCTTCCAACTCTATTATTCTATGTTCTATATTCTATGGTGATGCTATGTTTTGTTTTGTTTTGTTATCAGTTTTGTGATGATGCTTTGTAAGTTCATGTTTTATTTTATTTGTGATAGGTTCAGACACTAACTAGTTCAGTGAATATTTCAGCATTGCAATTTAACTGCCCAAACTCATATTTTGACCTACAGGTAGTCCTCAAATTATGACCACAATTGGGACCAGAATTTCAGTCATAAATCTTTATGGTCATAAGTCAAGTCACTATGTGACCAGATCCAAGTTTATAACCAATTTTACAGTAGTCATTAAATAAAACGAATGGTTAAGTGAATCATCTGGTCATTAAGAGAATCTGACTTCCCCAGTTGAGTTTCTTGCCACAAACTAGCAAAACTGTTGCAAATCACAATCACATGACTGCAGGACATTGCAACCAGTTGTAAATGTGAGCCAGTTGCCAAATGCACAAAATGCAATCATATGACCGTGGTGGGAGGGGCTGACGGTCATAAATTTGAGTATGGGTTGCAAAGTACTCTTTCTAAGGCTGACATAGCTTTGAACCATCATTAAGCAAGGAGTAACTTTACTTTGTTTAAGTTACCTCCTATTCCTTTTACAGGAACACAACTAGGACAAAAGTTCCTATGCCCTTTTGGGCAATTTCTAGTGGGTCAGGAAAGTGTCACCAACCTGCCCCATTTCATCAAAGGCCATAACCACCACTGCTGCTCCATATCTCCTAATTGTTCTTGCTTTTCTTAGGAAATCCTCTTCACCTTCCTTCAGACTGATGCTGTTCACTATGCATTTGCCTTGCGAACACTTCAATCCAGCTTCTATTACAGAGAAGTTTGAGGAATCAATGCAAAGGGGCACCTGAGGATAAAAAAAGGACCAACATTAAAAAATAATAATGATCTTCGAAACCAATAAATAGCTAAGTCTGAATTGTGTGGATGCACATCCAAGGCAGAGAGAAAAGGTCTTGCAATTTAAGAAAGCAAATTGTCTATGTTATTATATTTACCACATAGGCTAGACCAGTGTTTCCCAAACTTGACAATTTTAAGGCATGTGAACTTCAACTCCCAGAATTCCACAGCCAGCGTTGCTGGAATTCTGGGAGTTGAAGTCCTCATGCCTTAAAATTGTCAAGTTTGGGAAACACTGGGCTAGACTAATTTCGTTCTTTCAAAAGATTCTTCCAGAAAACTTTCTTCAGATCGTGACATCATTTGGAAAAGATTCTTTGACCTAACAGCAATATTTGTCCAGGACTGAGGTTCAGACTGATGCACAAAAATTACAGCTGAACAAAACACTCTTAAGCAGAGGGGTTTCCTGCCAAGTTCCAAAGGCTTAGTGACCTCACTTCAGAATGAAGATCAGAAGAAAAACCCTTTTAGGTGAGTTTCCCTTCTGCCCTCTCCCCACAATCTGTGCTCTCAGAAGTGACAGTGAGAAGAACACTAGGACACAAGGCTGCCTGAAAAATAAGGCAGCCAATTTTTGGCATCTGGGGCAATCTGAAAGCTGAATTTGGTACTTTTAAAACTTGCAGAGACCAAATTTCATCTCTTAAAAACCTCAATAATGCTTTTAAAAAAACCTTTGTCTGCTGCTAGGACAGGGATTAAGAATACTAGAATACTAGTGCCTGCTATTCAGATGCATGCAGACTGGTGCCAAATAATGTCTGCTCTGAAGATGGACAATATTATATACACAGCGCTCATCTGATATCTGTGATATTTAGCATTATTTATGGATTTGGAAATTCAGGAATCAAGAATTGACTTCAAAAGCCAGAGATATTCTTATGAGAGTAAAAGACTCAAGGCCAACACTTTCCTCTGAAATGAAAACTTAACACTATTTGAGAAGGACACCGCAAAGGCTTTAACCATACGAGAACTATCTAAGATAGGCAAGGAGACAATAAATTAGTATCCCAAAACGTGACACTTATGTAAGCTTCCAACACTATAGCAGTCCAGTCCAGGTCAGAAGTAGGTTCTCCAAATACCACAAAAACTATAATAATCTTTCTAATGCATTTCTTCTGGTTTTAACACATCCTGTTACCATTTTTCCAGTCAGGCAACCTGCTGAGATATTGAGATACTGTGTAGTCCCAAGATATGTAGAGAACACCAAACACAGGAAAGCTGACTTATTAAAAGACTATCCAGTTAAATATATAACCTTGGCAATGTCAGGCTCCGAAGCAATAAAGTTGCAGAATCTGGCCATAGCACTTGGACCATCTAACATTCCATCATCCATGTTGATATCCAGGATCTGAGCTCCCATCTCAACTTGGGCTTTGGCTACACTCAAGGCTTCCTATTTTAAAGGAAAAAAGACATCAGTTCTAAATGAAATGCATCTAATTCTATTCAGTTCCCCCTTTTCTTTTTGTATTTACTTTGATGGCATTTTTTTTTTGGCATTTTTTTTAACCAAGCTGCTTTTATTATGTCTGTCTTCCCATAACACTGTTTCTACTTTTGTAGTCTATAAAATGTGTTTGAGTTTATTTACATTTATTCTGTAAAATATTTTAGCGGCTGCCATCATCACATTACTCAGAACTGCTTGAACCTCTCACTTCTACAAAAGAAGAGCTCAAGATTGTGCTTCACACTGTACTAAAACAAAACAAAAAAGCTATATTTATATAATGTATTTAGTAGAAACTATGCATCCAAATTCTTAAACAGTAGACCTATACAAAACTTTAATGCCAGTCCTGAAGCTTAAAAAAAGTTGGACCTACTTCATATTTGCCTGCCATTATAAGTTTGGCAAATCTCCTTGATCCTGCAACATTGCAACGTTCACCAATGTTAACAAAGTTGGTGTATTTTCCAATCCTGAAGGGCTCCAGACCTGGAAAATAAATTTTATATAAACATACATACATGCAAAGGGAAAAGGAATACTTCTCTGAAAAACTGGAATATACAATTTTCTCATTCCATAGGAACCTTTAGTTTTATGAAAAGATGTCCTTATTTAAATATGTGTGTTTAACAGAACTTTCTTACTGATCCATGTGGTCTGACCTTTAACTCTCCTTGAAACAATATAATATGGCAATACAGCAAAGAAGTAAAATAGAATTCAAATAAACAGCAGCTGCATTAAAAACATACCTGATTTAGATAGAATATTTTTGCAGCACATTGTGTCTATAGCAGAGTTATAACAAATGGATGAATGAACAAGGAAATGGCAAAAAAAGAATGAGATCCTAGCCATTCAGGTTCATCATTACACAAATGGGTTGTTGTTTGAGTCAATGTTGATTCTTAGGAACTGCTTGGCCTGGTTCCTGCAGTTTCCTCAGCAAGGTTTTTCAGAAGTGGTTTGCCATTGCCTCCTTCCTATAGCTGAGAACGTGTGACTGGCTCAAGGTCATTCAGCTATGCCTTAAGCAGGACTAGAACTCAGAGTCTCCTGATTTCTAGTCTGATGCCTTAATCATGACATCAAACTGACTCTTTAGAGCAGGCATGTCAAACTTGCGACGTCACGTGATGTCGTGCAACATATCGGGCCGGTTTTGCCATTGCCGGCAATGGGGTGGGCGTGGCTTCCATGTGACGCGTCTGGCCCGTGGGCTAGCAATTTGACACCCCTGCTTTAGAGAAATACTATAAGAAATAATTATTTTTACCCTAAACCTATCCACTTTTTTATTGGGCAGTCCAAGATATAAATTAATCCTAATCGTGTATGTTGAAGTAGAGCTGATTAAGGCACAAGAACAGCAGCATAAATCAGGCCCAGGGCAGAAAATATATGGCAGACACTTCTCTGCCATTAGAAAAATGCATTGCAGCATCTTCTTCACAGTTGATCTTTGAAAACTATAGAAAAATGCTCAATGCAGGAATCTCAAATGGGAGAAACAAGCATCTGCAAATAAATATCACATCAAGAGGGGAAAGGGGACATTATTTCTGTCTTAAAGTTAGCAAGGGAATAGATAAATCTAATCTTTGTCCACTACCATACATTTAATTATGCTTTTTTCCCACCCAAGAACACAGGAAAATTGAGAAATAGTTTAAAATTAGCATCAAGTGGAATTTAAGCCAATGTGGCATTTTCCATTGACACTAAAATAGAAAAATTCTGATAAGTCCTACCAAACGCTTGAAAAGGAAACCAAAGAAAGTTAATGTGTTAACAGCCATCATTGTGAGCACATGCAAAATTAGAGACTGGTAAAATGATCAACTAAGCATTTAATCAATGGTGGAACACTTTGTCTGTAGATCTTAAGCGCAGCTCTTAGTACTTCTGTCTAACAAGGATCCCGAATAAATGAAGGCTTCCAAATCCCAGGGTGCAGAAAGAGGGTGGGTTTTTGTTTTTTTTGAGTTGTGAGAGAACACACTTCTTTCAGTGTGTGTAAGCAACACTAGAATCAAGAGTTCAATGTCTGGTTCAATATAAGGCACATGTTCAAATGGCAAAAAAAGATACTGTGATGTCTCACCTCAGTCATAACAATTATACACTTTGTGATAGCATCAGTTCTATCTAGAAAGCAAAGGCCACACTGTTTATGGGAATCTTATTTCCAGGCATTCAGTCATGTAAAAGGCAATGATATGGTTCCATTGAAGGAATTGCCACCAGAAGTGGGCAACAGCCTTAACAATTTAGCAAAGTGGCAGTGTGGACAGAGATGAGGAGGTTCTGTGAGTAACAACAGAAACCAAACAGTAGACCTGCTGATAGAAAACCTGGTGAAGTTTATTCTTTATTCTTCCCTGTCTCTTAAGCATTCAGGGACAATAAAACAAATTTTACGGTCCAAACAAAAAAAATAAAAATAGCTCCCAAAGTAAAAATTCCTAAATAAGGAAGTAAATGAGTGAGCTGAAGTAGTTTGAGGCTTGTTCTCTTGTACACACATGTGCATCCCTTCCAGCCTCCGCTGTCAGCATATTGGCAACTCCTCACTTCAGTACAGGTGGTCGACTTACAACCACAACTGAGCCTGAAATTTCTGTTGCTAAGCAAGAAAGTTTTTAAGTGCAATTTGTCCCATTTTAGGACCTTTCTTGCCACAGTAGTTAAGGGAATCATTGCAGTCATTAAGTTAATAATATGAATAGGGGAATCTGGCTTCCAAATTGATTTTGCTTATCAGAAGGTAGCAAAAGGTGATCACATAACCCCAGTACACTGAAACTGTCATAAATTCATGCCAGTTGCCAAGCATCTGAATTTTGATCCCGTGACCATGGGGATGCTGCAACAGTGTGGAAGCAGTCATAAGTCACTTTTTTCAGTACCAATGTAACTTTGAACGGTCACTAAACAAATGGTTGTATGTCGAGGACTACCTGTAGTCTCTGGCCCCTTCCTTCCCTTTGAGTACGGCTTTGTCTATGGATAAAACACCCAGAAGCAAACTGAGCAACGTGGTATATGCAGTACAATGCAGTGAGCCATGTGCAGATCTGTACTTTGGGAAAACAAAATAACCACTTCATAAACACATGGCACAACATAGGAGAACAAACCCATCAGGACCAGATTCAGCAGTTCATCTGCATTTAAAAGACAAAGGCCACTCTTTAGAAGACAGCAAAGTCCATATTTTGGATAGAAGAGCACTGGTTTGAAAGAGGGGTCAAAGAGGCCATCTATGTTAAAACTGAACAGCCCTCTCTCAACAAAGAGGGAGTGATACGACATCAAACACCTCCAGTCTATAACACAATCCTTTCAACAGTTCCAAGAGGGCTCCACACCCATTTGTACTACTCAGGTGACCCTAATCACATAGATAAGCCTCCAGGCACTATAAAATAACTCTCTAAAAGAATGCAAACGACCAGCTGTCTGCAAGGAATATAAATGCTTCCATTCCCCACCATCCAGTCAGAGCTGAAGAAGCTTCTTGGATGAGAAGTGAAAAGTCTTCAAAGAAAAACAAAAGCCCAGTTGCTTTGTGAAAAAGCATCTTTGGGATGAGTAAGGCTTTGCTGCACAAGGAACCAATTCTTTTTTCTGCCTGGGCAATGAGCTGAATCCTGGCCAAGCAGCCCAGAAGGCTAAGGTGTTTGTTCATACAGGCCTGATAGAGTATTCCAGCAGGTGATTTCTCTATAAACTTTTCTTTGTGTCCTGAAGCCTTTTCTCCAGCCCCCATTTCTTCACAGGAGTCTTTATGCTTAGCAAGCGCTAAGTCTGCAGGCACTCACTGTCTGATGCTGTGGCCTACTCACAGGGAGCTGGTGTGTCCCCTTTACCACCAGCAGCCATTTTATAATGCTATTATAAACTAGGTCAGCCATCTAAGCTCTGCCATCCTCGTGTCCAATAAGTACAGCAAAATGAAGATTCCTCCTAAGAGCTTTTGGAAGTAGATTGAAAGGCTGTAAAATAAAAATCCTCTTCACCTAGTAGTTTAACCTAACACGAGTATCATATGAGGGTTTCCAATGTCTTGTAGGTGTCTTGAGGAAAAAATAAAGCAACCACAAAGAATTCTAAGATATAATTAAGAGATCCTAGTTAAGGAATTTTGGATCTGTTATTATCTCACCTGACAGCAGCATGTAGCCTTCAGAGACAGAGGCAGGGGGGATCCGAGGTTTGCATGCCTTTACTTCTTCAGCTATCTTCCTGCATTACAAAACAGCAAGATAAGAGCCCAGGGCTTTTAAAGAAGGAATGAAATTCTTCCACAAGACACTAGAAGCAAATGGGCATTTATTTATGTGTCTTTAATATTCTTTTCCAGTTCTCCTTTCTAAGTGTTAATCATATGAACAGTGATAAATAAATTACAATCATATGTACAGCAGTTAACATATTAGTACTGTACAGAAAGGACACAGGAGGCTAAACAAAGATAAATTAAAAAGCAAAGCAAATTATTTACTCGTTTTTGTATTTATAAATACAGCACTGCTTGGGAGAGTTCAGATGATCACGAGACAGAAGTAACTTGTGAATGGCTCAAAGCAACATGCCCTGTTCAAAACATCTTCTGGTCTCTAATCTCTTTTTAGTCTTTACTACTTTTTGAAGTAGATTCCTGAAGCAAATTAACTTTAAAAAATTCATGGAAGGGAAAATGTCCTCATTCCTCTCTCTCATCTGAATCCACCTAAAACCCTTGAAAAGATGAGGAAAAGGAGATTCCTCCTGAACAATCTAAGAAGTTACTCCTGGAAAAACAAATCACTTGTACCTGAAAATGCATTGATTTAATACAATTAATTTTAATATCAATCCTGTACCAGATTCCACGCTTTTGGAAGGGGATTCATTCTGCAAGGGGGCACAAAAGAGCTGAAGCAATGAGCACGTTTCTTCTACTGTGTTATCTTGGACTCCAAAATACTTGCAACTTATTTTTACAGTATTCAAGTATAAAAGAAACAAATGTGATCTCTTAGTAACTAATTATATTTGGAGTACTTTTTTAATTTAAAATTTTGTTAGTTCATTAAGAAACACATACAGAATTTTCAGCGAACTGTTGCAAAATATTCGCCTCCCTTTTCCTAAACAAAAGGAACGCAGAAGGATTCAATTCCAGTCAGTCTTCTGTTTCTGCAGCAAACAATAAGCTGTTAGGGTCATGAGAAATGAGTCCAACCTGGATTTTGAATGTGGCATCGGCTGCAATCCCAGAGCAGGGGTGAGTGAATGGCCTAATCATCCCAGAAATTATTATAGCTTTCAGGGATATTGCTCTGCAAATAACCAGATGTGAGATCCCGTTCATGAGTTTGGGCCTCAGGGGTCAGATGGATCAGTTATTACTTTACCACTATGTTTCCCTATCTAAGCTACTGAATGTTGTGGGTGGGCTGGCAGTGGAATTTCCTAGGATTATGTTCTTGCAAGTCTTCAATCTGCCTTTCTTAGGTGTGAAATGGGAAGCAACATGTGAGTTCATAACTACTATAGGCTGGCCAGATAACTGTGGGTCTGGCACACATATATTAGATTGTGTGTGTGTGTGTGTGTGTAGATATATGTATATCTGTATGTATGCATGTATATTTCATATACATAGCCTGAGGGTTATGGTAATGGCAGCTGGTATTGTAACTTGGAAGTCCTTCTTGGAAGTTCCAACACATTAAGCTAGTGACAGCTATAGCAACAGCACTTAGACTTATATACTGCTCCATAGTGCTTTACAGCACTCTGAGCAGTTACAATGTCGGCATTCGTTCCCCCCCCCAACAATCTGGGCCCTCATATTACCAACCTCAGAAGGATGGAAGGCTGAATCAACCTCGAGCCCTGTGAGGATCGAACTCCAGGCTGTGGGCAGTTAGCCTGCAATACCGCGTTCTAACACTGCGCCATCACGGGCCTATAGCTATCATCAGAAGGGTCTTTGCACAACTTTGTGCTTGTGTCAATTACATCTATTTCTGGACTGGGTGGCCCTTCTCATAATCATTCATATCTTAAGTTAAATCTCAGTTGGATTTCTATAATTTGCTGTACATGGACTATCTGGAAGACCATTCTCTCCAATTCACCTCACAGAGTTGTTGTGGGGAAAATAGGAGAAGGAAGGAGTATTATGTATGTTCACTACCTTAGTTACTTATAAAGTAGTAAAGGTGGGATAAAGAAAATCTAATAAATAAGCAGCACACAATTTATGAAAATACACATGACAAAATAGGCTCATTTGCCATTCTGGGTCAGTTCATGGAAGAAAAGCCAGGTATTTATGGTTCCACAAAAGAGTAATGGAGATGGGGCTACTCCAGCTTGGATAGGAGAGAGTTGCAGAGAGCATGTTGCTACTAGTGCCACCATATTCTGGACCATCTACAAATTTTAAATGACTGGTCCAAAGTCAGCTTTCTGATTTTGTGATTTGTTTTTGTATTGTGCTTATTTTCTTTCCATTTTTGTTTTCATATGCTACCCAGGACCACAGATTATGGAGGGCCAGCCTTAAAAATCTCTGAAATAAATAAATAAATGTATTTTTCTGCTTTCCCGTCCAAAGTGATACTCATTTTAAACCTTCTAAACAAGTTCAGTCCTCACTTATCTGCTCTTTTAAAAAGGAAGTTGGAAGTCTTACGCTTTTGTTCATACTGAAATTGCCTTGAACATGCTAATACTCTTTTCCAGAAATGCCATTAGTTCAGTTTCTGTCAAGATGGAGGCACCAAAAGAGTCATTGAAATAAATAGATATCAATTTTTTTATACCAGATTACCTATTCATTGGGAACTTTACACATTCAGAAACTCAGAATATCTAAAAGCATAATTATTCTTAGTTGCAAACCATCTATTTTTCTTCTCTATCCCAGATGGTTATCTATATTTAATGTGATATTTCTATTCTGTCACAAGCCTTTTAAAATTCAGCTCCATCACATTTTATTGCAAGAAGATGACTATGTTCTTGCTATTACAAATGAAAAAGACCATATTTCCAATTAATTTTATACTAGGTTTACAGAAAAGATTTCACTAAAGTAGCTATAGTTAAACAAATATTTAATTTAATTAACTTAATCAGCAGTGCTTTTATGCATTGATGAATCAGCAGATTCCACAATTGACATACAGCTTCTTTGAAACCCGTAAAAAATATCTAGCTTAACTTAATGAATTAAACTTTTTTTGAAGATTGTTGCTATTGAGATTTATCATCACAGCCTAAAGTTTCTTTTTTCCTTGGCTATTATAGAGTATTTCTTACATTTGACCAGAGATCATACTCATAGGAATGAAAATACCCATCAATATTTTTCTTAGCAGTCACAAAACTTATCAGATCTAAATATTTTTTATGTTTTCAAAATCATGGGAACCATTGGTCTACATAATTATTTTCATTTACAAGAATGCTTCTGTTCCATAAAATTCTTGAGACATCATTAGAAATGGAGGATGACTATTAGTGGCATGCAAAACACTTTCAAAATAAATTGAGATCATAATGCCCAACTTTGAATTCAAAAGAGTTGTTTCACATTTGGAACAGGCTATTTCAGTCTTTTGGGGAATATTTTGAGATCAAAAGAGAAATATTTCTAATTTTTAAATATAATATAGCCTTTTCAAAACAATACTTTTTAAATATGGAATATACTATGCACCCCAATAGCTTCAGTTCAGTTCCTGTTTGAAGGTTTACTATCTACAAAACAGACAAAGATAATGGCAGACAGCAATCTCATCAAATTGCTCTCTAATAACTGGGTGTTCTGAGTCTTGCTATGCCCACCATAGTAGCCATTTTGTGAACAGCCATGGATCCCAGCTAAGAAAAGCCCTAAAACATCTTCCAAAATTTCCAAATATGCTCACTTGCTAAATTCCCCAAAAGTCCTCCAGAGGCATGAAGAAACTTCAATGCATCATTCCTATAACAAGTAAACATTAGTTGTACAAACACCAAGGACAGTTACCTCCATACATTTTTGTCTACAACTCTTCTAAACAATGGCTTATAGAAATTGCTGATGATAACTTCTAAATGACATTGGTGTCCCAGTCTTGAGGTCAATAACAAATACCCTAGCCAAAGAAATATATCAGTTCCACCACCCCCCAACCAGCAGATTCTTCTGTTAGATGTCTCATGAATACGACTTGCAGATGTACACAATGGATGTTGTCATGAAGAATTTAATATGAGTTTTAGCCACAGCGACCAGCAGGGCCTTCTTCAAGCCATTTCCAGAAAGAAAAAGAAAAAAATTAAGCCACCACTCCCATAAACAGTTCACTAGGGAAATGCAAAAATCTCTGCAATGTAACAACTACAAAACTGTGTGCTTGTCATTGTTCCACAAGTTAAAATGTGACTACTGATATTAGGGAACCTATATACATGAAATTACCGGATATGTGCTGGAGTGGTCCCACAGCAGCCACCAACTATGTTGACCAAACCGTCTAAGGCAAGATCCTGGAGAAGAGAAAAAGCACCTTTCAGACACAAATGTCTGAGGAGCAGAGTCACAGCATGCAAAAGCTTTGCTAGAATTTTTACTTACATACATCCTTGCTAATTACCAATAAGTACAGTAAGGAAGCCAACAAGTACAGTACCATTTCTTTCAAGGACCCACTGAAGGCTTAAATTCCATCCTGGATGAAGATACTTGCATGTATCTTGTATCATGTAGAATGAGCCGAGGTGGCGCAGCAGTTAGGGTGCAGTACTGCAGGCCACTTTAGCTGACTGTGTTCAGCAGGTCAGCGGTTCAAATCTCACCGGCTCAAGGTTGACTCAGGCTTCCATCCTTCCGGGGTAGGTAAAATGAGGACCCAGATTGTTGGGGGCAATGTAAATATATATATACATTGCTTACTGGTGTACAACGCTTAGAGAGTGCTTGCACTTAAAACGGTATATAAGTCTCATAAATAAATAAATAAATGTAAACTATTCATTTTAAATTCTCTATATGTTTGCCTCCAGTTGATACTCAGAAACAGCCCAAAATATACCACTGAAAGTAAATTGACTGGGTCACATGAAACTCCTTGGGCACTGATCACCTTCTGACCTGTATGTTACCTAATGATACAACTTACACAATTTCATTGTGGTCAATACCAGAGTATCTTGAAATAGGAAAGCAAATTTGCAGATTTATATTTACATACCTAAGAATAACCCCCACTTGTCAGGGATATCTGTTGGGGAGGAGAGAGGAGAGTATCAAAAAGTCAAGATGGTGGCTATTACAGCAGTGCAGGGTATATAAAAGGGGCAGGGCTTCAATTACATTATTTGCACTCACCATCTTGATTTTTTGATACCCATCCTTGTAGACATACTTAAGATTTGTATGATTACTCATTAAAGGTCTCACACAATAATCCTAGGCATGTTTGCCAGCTGTTAGGTAACTAATATACTGCTGGGTTTAGTAACCATAAAGTAAGGAGAGGATTTCTTGACATTTTGCCAGCAACTGTGTCTGGCATGTTCATTTTTTTTAATAGTAATTTTATTATGCATTACAATTAAAAAGACGAAAGCCAATCCAGACTAAGAAAAAGAAAGGAAAAAAGTGCAAAAAGTGCAAAAGGAAGGAAAAAAGAATATAGAAATATAGAAAGAAATCCCCCTTCATTACAACAAATAAACAACATCTTCTCTCAAATTACAACAAATGATCTCTTCTTCTCATATCCAATCACTTATCTCTTAAAATCAGCAAAGGTCCATTAAGGGTTACCAGAAATACCAACAGATCTATTTTAACCTTGACTAACGAAGAGAAGGAGGAGGGGGGACATGATAGCAGTGTTCCAATATCTCAGGGGCTGCCACAAAGAAGAGGGAGTCAAGCTATTCTTCAAAGCACCTGAAGGCAGAACAAGAGGCAACGGATGGAAACTAACCAAAGAGAGAAGCAACCTAGGACTAAGGAGAAACTTCCTGACAGAACAATTAATAGTGGAACAACCTGCCCCCAAAAGCGGTGAATGCTCCAACATTGGAAGGTTTTAAAAAGAGACTGGACAGACTGGTACAGGGTTTCCTGCCTGAGTAGGGGTGGGACTAGATGACCTCCCAGGTCCCTTCCATCATATGATGATGGTGATTATTATTATTATTATTATTATTATTATTATTATTATTATTATTATTTAAACCAACTTTACATTCTTTTATTTTAAACAATCTAGGTCTTTAGTCCCTTCAACTAATGTCCTAGAACTTAATTTCTTTTCATTTTTTCTTTGTCCCTTCTCAGAAAATTCTTCAAAGCTTTAACAGTCTCTTTTGTAAATTCAGTACTGGAAGGTTGTCAGATCACTCTTCTGGGTTTCTTATTTGTACATCCCTTTTAATTATTAAGACATCAGCCAGTTTCAATGTAGCATTTGGTCTGGGCTGTCATTTCTTCATCTCCCAGTATTCTAAAGCTGCCAGAAACCACTCTTTTGTGGTCTCCTCACAAGGAGTAACTATTTGGAGCATTTGTGGGCAATCTCAAGCCTCTCCTTATCTAAAGAGGAACTGTGAAGAATTGGTCAATTTACCGGCTATTTATTCCACCACAGTCACTGTCTCCACTCTCAGCAGAGCTACAGTATCTTCACTTTGGTATTTCTTCCCCAGAAATGTCTGTAATTGGCATCTTCAGAGGCAAAGACCGACTTATCTGCTGTCTGTATAACTAAGTTGATTCTTCCTTAATTGAAGCCATAGGAAACTCGCTCTTTTGCCAAGCTTGGTTACCTGCTCTGGGCCACAAGATCACAGAGTCCACAACCAACAAACAAGAGAGACTCTGCCACAGCTCCAAACAAGGAAATGACGAGTACAAGCCTGCGCAAAAGCAGAATCAACCCAAAATCAATTCCCAAAAATGAGCAAATGAGAAAGCTGCCTAGATGTGAATCCAATTAGGATCAGCTGCTCAGAGTAACCAACCAGAATCCAACCTGCACTAGGAATCAATCAGGAATCAGCACTCCAAAAATGAAAATCAGAAGCTGAAAAAAAAAATGGCCAATCAGGAACTATTACCACCAAAACTATCGATCAAGATCAGATACAAACCAAGAATCAATCAGAGAGCAACTCTCACCAACCTGCAACAATCTAGATTGGCTATAGATCGATCAATTCCTGCTCAGTTGTCTGTGATCTGTTATGAAAACCACCTTGCAACTGAACATGCCAGTCTCAGTTGTTAGTGTAACATCAGGAAATCTGGTGTCTGGAACACAATCATTAAACCCTGTTGCCCAACAATGCCCACCGTGAAAGCTTTTACCATTAAACTATTATACTATTGAACTCTGAAAGCAGATAGCTTACAATAAGGTTTTTTTTTTTAAAAAAAAACCCTTACCAATTAACATATAAATCATTTTTTTCTATAACAAAAAATTCTCACAAGAAAATACTCTTGCCTTAATGTGCTTGCCAGTCACTTGAGGTGTTTCATCATAACCACCAAAGGTATTAGGAAGACCTGAAAAATATATTCAATTCTATAAATCTTTTATATTTATAAATGGAAAGAAAAATATCTTGAGTGCAGTCAATGCACTATAATATTGTGAACAAAATCCTGTAAGCATATGAATTATCTGAAGGCACTTATTGAAGTTTTTGCTTCAGAATAATGTACTGTAACAACAAACGTAGCACAAGCTGGCAAAGCACAAACCATCTTTTTAAAGGAAACAGTTCAATTTTGTCAACAGTTATTTCACAATTTCATTTTATCCCAAATGACCACAAATCTAAAAGTTGAAGTATATGCATACCACATTTGAAATTTCAAACCTCTAACTCTCTGATTTCACTGAAGCATGCCCATTTTGCCACAGACTAAAGCCACTTAATTTTAATGGTCACTGCTCATCTGTCACATGGTAAGACACCAAACAATGAAATATTTGTTTGGAAAAAAACACAAGGACCTAACAAAGCAGGTCCATTCACCCCAATTTTATAAATGGTTCATGTCTGACAGGTTGATAAGCTAATCAGCATAGTAATTCATTTTAATGCAGATAATGGCACCTGTACAAGATATATGTATCATGCTTCCATAACACCTATTGTTTCAACTGTTGTGAAAGGATTGAATTCACACAGATCTATACATACCTGCATTGGGATAACAAATGATGTAAGCAGTTGTACACTTTCCTATTGCTTCAATGAAGGGTCTCATTTCAACTGCTCCCAAAGCACAGTTTAGCCCAATGCTGCAAATACAAAAGAGAATCCAACAAAACCAAGTTTGTTTTAATCACAAAACCATACATTTGGAAGTAGTCGTTTAGGCAAATATGACCAATTCCTTCCCTATGCAGGAATCCAATTTAAAGCATTCCCAATAGATGATTGCTTTGAACTCATCCAGCAAAAGGGCACCTACTCATTACCATTTAAGTATCTCATGGTTGCTCTTCAGGCACAAGTGTGGTAAATTATCCATTTTCTACTGGAATGGGATCTAGATGTAGAAGTAGAAATACATAGCATGGCATGTAAAAAGGATTGTGGTGGATTAAAACCAGTGACCTCTAATCCAAGATGAGATTTACATAAATGGGAATATTTGGGGACCAGATGGGATATCCAAATATTTTGATAAATTATTGCAGCCTTATTGCTTTATTGTTTTGCTTTATGGGAATATGTTTAATTATTTCTATATATCACTTTGAGCTCCTTTCAGAGACGGAGTGATATAAAAATCAAATACAGTGGGAGGTAATACAAATGCTAGTACTTCTGCATAGTAGATTAAGCTCTTTTAGCAAAGAGATCAATTTCAAATAGGGAACATTCTGAAAATAAATATCTTCAAGTAGTGTCAACTCTACCATTTATTTACATAAAAGCTAAAACATAAAAAGATTAAAACAAACATTGCAAAGACACATGGGGAAGGTGGGGAGGTGAAATCTCATATAAACTTCCCAATTCAACTGTAATTTGTAATTTCAACCTTCAAAACTAGAAAAAGTTGCTTAAGATGGGCAGCCATATAAATCTTTTAAATAAGCAACTAGAATAAGAAAGATCATCATCAGTGATTAGCTTCCTAGGCAGCAGCTGCTTGCTGAAGTTGCCAGAGATTCATTATACATAAAGCTAATTTAGTAATTAGTCAGGAATAAAGGTGAGAATATCATCGAACTAATAAAAAAAAACAAGCCTGTAGATAGTGTTTCTCAACCTTGACAATTTTAAGGCATGTGGACTTCAACTCCCAGAATTGTGGGATTCTGGGAGTTGAAGTCCACATGCCTTAAAATTGTCAAGGTTGAGAAACACTGCTGTAGAAAATAAGCCTCCACCAAGCTCTGGATTCACATATGTCAACTGCAAAGAAGCCACATGATGACTCCCTGTAGTTGCTTCAATGGCTTCCTGAGGTTTTCTGGGCATGGTTATACGTGCCCAGTGATCACTTCCACCAAGAAAACTGAGCAGCTGCAATTCCTGTGCTCCACACAAGAACAAACCTTGCTTGATGATTTGCCTAGCTGTCCCCAACACATCTGTCTCTAGCTAGTGGTCCTCCAGAGGTGGGTGTCAACTCTCATAATTCCCCACTCAGCACAGGTACTGCTCAGAATTTTGGGAGTTGAAGTCTCAGTTGGAGGAAAAGCGATCCTAAATTATCAAATACAGTTTGTTCTAACAGAAATTAATCCTGACCACCTAAGAAGTTACCTATAGAAATTGGGCATCTCCCTTGGCAAGGAGCATGATTCTTTACAACTCTATAAAAACTGGGGGGAAACAGTAATCCTCCCTGAGTCTACAGCTGTAATGGTAAAAGCACAAGCAGGATCAGAGATTTTAGGATGACTGAAGAAAAGATGAGAGTAAAGCTTTCCCTCGTGTGAAAGTAAGTACAATTGAATTTACTGCTTCAGTTCTTATGAGGCGGTGATTCCCTGCACCTCCAGTTCAGATTAAGCTTTAACAATCTCTCAGCAGGCTGCTATTGCGAGAACATACTTATTGAAGAAGGATTCAGACAGATTGCAGTTAAGAGTTTTTCACTTAAAAAAGGGGGCTGTGGCCCTATTGCTATATAATTGTGCTTTACTTACTGCAATGCAAAAGGTAAGATGTATTTCACTGTAATACTGCATCTTCTAAAAAAATATTATAGTAACTGTTCTGTTTAAGCTGACAGTCTTATCAATGGACACTCTTGTAATACTGTATAAACTAAGCCATCTCGCTGACTTCTTACACTTTTTTCTGTAATCCATGGGGAGGTTTATGAAATCTTTGATTCAATTTTAGGCAGAGATTCTTCTGCTAAGAAGCAACAATATTTGATTCAGTCAGCAGTGAAGGCTGTATGAGCTCAGCTAAGCAACTTATAGTTCACTGCAAATGGCTACTGAGAGGTTGAGCTGCAGAGTAAATTATCCACAGTACTGCTTATACAGCTAGTCTTCACTTAACAACTGACCTGTGTTGCAACCAAAGTTACCATGGTGCTGAACAAGTAACTTTACAATCAGTTGTTGCATTTATGACTATCGTAGCACCCCATGGTCAAATGATCAAGATTCAGGCAATTTGCAATCAGCAGGTATTTATGATTATTGCAGTGTCTTGTAGTCATGTGACTTCTATCTGTCCACTTCACAGCCTGCTTCCAACAATGGAAAAGCTGGCAGTAAAATCTCACATCATGGTCATGCGATATCTCACTTAATGACCATAGGCAACTGGCTTAGCAAATGTGGTAGAGGTGAGATCATAAGTACATCATGGTTATGTAATGTTTCATTTAACGACCATGTTGCTTAGCAATGGAATTGCTAGTCCCAATATTAATTGTTCAGCAAGGACTGCCTGTACAATAAACCACCTAGGACAGCTGTCACAATCAAAAGAGAATAATTAGGCACAAGGAACATTCTATTATGCACTGGAGATCTGTAGCAGCCCAAGAGTATCATAAGACAAGTAGAATAGATTCAATATATCCTAGAAATTATTATTCCACAAGCAGGAAAGAAACTGAAGATGAAAAGAGATCAGATTTTAGCAAGATAACAATCTGATACATACTTTCAATCAACCATGAAGTATATATAACAGAAAAAGTAATGGCTTTTCATCGGCGTTCATTGACCCCAGACTTGAACAGTGCTGAGAAATCTCAAACGTGAAATCATACCCAGGGGGGTATAAGAGTACTTCTAAGCTAGAAGAGATTTGCAAGCAAAAATGATGGAACGCATTCAAAAGCAAGAATAGACTAACTGGCTAGAGGAAATAACTGAGAAGTTTCTTCTTGCAAAGGATGCCACCCAACTATTACAAAATAATTAGAAAGCTGTCCAAACTTCATTTGTATTCACTCTTCCTCATTCAGAATCTATAAACAACTGTATTCAAATCTGTAGAAAAATGGGATGTTTTGTACCATGCAAAGGATGCACAATCTTCTGCTGGTCACTTGAGCATTTATTGAAATATGCTATTAGACCAGAAATACCTCTGTTTTTGTATGCAGCTGTATATATGCATATGTAAAAAAAGTAAGAAATGTGGAATTATGCATATATTTAAGGATGGATATATATATATATATATACATACATATATATATATGTGTGTGTGTGTGTGTGTGTGTGTGTGTGTGTGTAGGTCTTTGGTTGTTCGGGTTTTCTCCTGCGTAAAATTGGAAGTGTCTTGGCAACGTTTCGACGAAGTCTCATTCGTCATCTTCAGGCTGGTGTTTTCAGCTTCGTGCTTTGAGCAGCAATATTGCTGCTCAAAGCACGAAGCTGAAAACACCAGCCTGAAGATGACGAATGGGACTTCGTCGAAACGTTGCCAAGACACTTCCAATTTTACGCGGGAGAAAACCCGAACAACCAAAGACCTACATATATATATATATATATATATATATATATATATATATATATATATATATATATATATATCCATCCTTAAATATATGCATAATTCCACATTTCTTACTTTTTTTCTACATGTTCCATATCGAAATAGCTAACATTTTTAAAACAAACTGGAGTTATTATAAAACTGGCCAACACCAACTAATTGTATAAAAGATCAATTATCTCTGCAATGCTGCACAAAGACATGCAATGATAGAATCGGAAATAGCAAGACTATATGTCTGCAAGTCATTCAAATAGTATAAATAAGCTGGCCTATGTCCTACTGACCCATTATTCAACAAGACTTGCAGCCAGAATAAAGTACAGCCAAAGATGCCTTCCTTATCAATCCATAAATAAATTAATTCCATTTAATTCTGTGAAATCATGACCAATTTATTAGTTTTTACACTTTTTAACTCGCCAGTCAGAGCTCCTTTTTCACTTTAGGTTCTTTGCCTCGTTACAGCATTCCATCTATCTTCCTACCAGCCTAATTTGTTGACCTCCCTGTACAGATTTTCTATTCTTCTTGCTTGCTCTTTTTTGATCAGTCATTTCCCCAAAACACAAAAACAGAGAGGAAGAACAGACTTCAGCCTATAACTGCTGCATTGCCTCTGTGTAATGAGATGAATTAACTGCAGTAGAGCTTCAGCATCAAGCATTTCCAAACTTTACCAGATGTGACAAATTTTGTCAACTGGGGACAAACACAGCAGCTGTTCTAATTTCTTCAGCTGATAAACCTAAAGTACTCGTCTGCTTGGCAGTATTTATTAACTATTTTCAAGCTGTAGGCAAAGACTGAAGGAGGAAAACTGCAGGTCTATTTGGAATCATATCCAATGCACAAACTATAGGGGACAAGGAAGAAAATCAACAAGCAAATCACGATTACACAAGTGCATAGAAAGTTGGTATATTGACCCTGAGCACTTACAAAACAATTTGGGGAGGGTGTGTGTATGCCAATCCCTTTCCAGCAGTCAAGAAACCATACTAGGAGAGAGGCCTGGTAGGATTTGATTTCTCCAGATAATTGGCTGCATTTTCCAATGGAGAAATGCATCCTTTGAAATTAATGATTTCTTTGAAAACAGCCAGTGATGTTAGATGATGGGTAATGTGAGCAGTGGCAGAAATTAACAACTGTGCAAGCATTTTATCAAAATCTATTGCAGCTGCAAATCTTATTGTAAAGCAAATCCAAGGTGTTTTCTCACCAAAGTGGCTGGCTGTGAGATATGCTGATGACAAATGCTTCCCCAGTCTGTCCAGAGAGAGTACGGCCACTTTTATCAACAATGGTCCCTGATACCTGTAAACCACAAGGTCAGTAGGGAGGTAGACAAAGTAGCAACATTAAAAACAGTGCAATAATAGATGCTAGAGTAAAATTAACTTTAATGCTTCTGTTAAAAACATCTGACTTGACACAAAATTGGTCTGGAAGTGAGTAGCTTCTTTTTCTATAGCAAATTTCTTCAAATCCCTTCCATGTATTTGGGGACTATAATATCCAGATTCCTTCTATGCATTGGGGGACTACAATATCCACAAACCCCAGCCACTCCTGGGCTGAAATTTCAGTTCACCTCAAAGGGAACTGACTGGGGAAGGCCGATCTATCCAAAAAAGCACAGGATAAAATTTTTTATCTGTATTCAATACTCAAAACCCAGTTGAATTTTAGTGATTTTGCTCAAATAGGATAGGGGTTTTTGGGGGGGGGGGAGTCCATTTTCTATAGCAGTATGAAATAAGTCCTTCTCCTCATCTATCTTTTATTATGCCTGATGAAACTTGACATTTCTTCCGAACACTGCAGGTCTTTTTTAATTGGGGTTATATTTCTAATCTGGTATAAAGTGTATATGTTCTCATTACCAAAAAAAAAAAAAACCCTATGAAAACCAGTTAAGATATCTATGGAAACAATAACATATAGCAGAACCAAAAGTAACAGCAATACCAGTTCAACAGACTATCCTCTGAATTATTGTACATATCAAGTTCTTCTCCATTAAGCTTACCTGTTGTGCCCTAAAAATACCACAAGCTTATAAAAGCAAAATGATTGGTTTTCCTTGCTATCTTTATGCAACAAATATCCTGTCAGCAAAATAATTTGGGGATCAAGTGCCAAGAGCCTGGGGAGAATATATATGTTGAATAGATACAGGCTCTTGGCACTGTCCCTCCTTTAATCAATGACGGATGGTCCCTGATGGGATTATCATCTCCCAGCTTCAGGTCACAAATTGCATAGGACAACCTATTGGGCATTATGACAATCCTCTCCTACAGCACATTGGTCAATCAAGGACAGCTGGAATGTAACTATCTCATAAAAAACATCCAACTATCCCTCTTGTACCAGGCAGACTGGCTGATCCCAGCAGGAGAAAGAGGTGCTGCCTGCTATCTATATGGAGCAGTGGAGAACAGGAAACTATCAATAAGATTTAGGAAGCTTTCGGCTACTATTGAAGTTCTCAGCTGGAACCGAGCACATTTAAAACAGCAAACATAAAGGAAGCAGCTGAGAAGAAAAGGCGTATTCCAAGACTCAGCAGCAGCTACCCTCTGAGTTAAGAGCACAGAACTGCACACTGAGCAATAATATTATTTATTTGTATTTTTAGCGTGCAGAGACTCTGGGCAGGAATTAAAATATTTTTGAACATGTAAAAGCACACAAACAAAATATGCCATATATTACAGTTGCTGAGCCCACAATTCAGCTTTTATCAGCTAATGAAGCCATAACTTAGTGTGAAAATTACTCAGACTTAAGGCTGGCATCTTCCAAGGGAAAATAATTAGCAGGCCAGGCAAGATTCTTATAATTTGGCACATTGGTAATATTATTGAGGGGACATTTTCAGATTGCTATGTGTGGCAGGTCATTCATTTATTATCATTAGAAAGCTATAAAGCACATACTAGAAAAAGCAAGCTAACACACAATATGTGAGGTTTCCAAAACACGGTGTTCTTGATTGTGTTAGCTACTGTAGAAAAAAGGGAATGTATTCTTTTTCAGAAAAACTGGATAATTCTAAGTTTAATTAGAATGTACTCACAAACAAGGGTCTCGGTTCATAATCTTCTTCAAATAACTTTTGGAGAGCAAAGAGAGCTGCCTGTCCAATGAAAATACCACAGTAAATTAATTTCCCTTACTCTATGAAATTCTCATTTCATAGATATGGAAAAGAAAGGGGACAAATTACCACTAATGAAAGTGTACAACTCAACCCTATTCCAAAATATGCATACAGACAGTCAAGTAAAATATGCAAACCACAGTGGAGCCTGCTGGACATTTGTAATCACAAGAAAGAGACTGACCTGTATCTTCCATTGAAGAATTTATTGCAGAATAGAGCCTGAGAGTCCATACAGAAACTGAATTGGGTCAGATGCCTTAATAAGACCTCAACTCAACTGAGCACCGTGCAGAGAACACATTGGTATACATTAAAAAAATTGCAATATATCCCAGACTTTATTTTAATCCCAAATTTAAGCTTCAGTCAGGAGTATGAACTTTACAGAGATCTTCAAGGCTCAGAGAAGAGAGGTCAAGGCATGTCCCACGTTATAAACTATATCTCTTCTGCAAACTAAAGATTCAGGTTTGCCTCTATTTGCTTCATTTTACAGTCTTAACTTTGTGCAAGAATTCCAGAAAACAGATAAAGATAATTGTGTCTCTTTTTCTCGTTGCATTTCTAAGATTTCTTTTAGTTAAGGGAAAAGTAATTTTTTAAAAAAAATCTCATGACACAGGGTTCCAAATCTGAATTGCTGACATCATAAACCATAGGACAACAGTACCCCCAAGCTTTAGTTGCTTTTAAAGGGAAGCCAACCTCTCATTTTACAGTAAATAAAAGGATTATCTGCCAGCACAGCCTGCCTATTATTAGCATATGCATATGACTTCCTTTTCAGATATTATTGGGAATGGGCATTATCATTATGAACAGTCAAAATTCTACTTAAAAACTCACCTTGGCATTGGCTGTATCAAATATGGTTTCAACCAGCATGATATCTGCTCCACCATCTAAAAGACCTTTGGCTTGTTCAGTGTAGGCATCTACCAATTCATCAAAAGCTAAAACACAGCAACGAATAGTTACAACAATGAAAAATGCACTTTCCAGTTTCAGCTGGAAAGATGGTTCTCACATGCTCCATACCTGCTAGAAATGAGTGAAGGTAAACCTGCATTGTAATTCCTTATTGTTTGAGATGATATGTGACAGCTGGGCTATCATATATTACTAAATGTTTGCTTGACTACTTAAACATACCTGGGGCTCTTTTAATGTGTCACTAATTATAAATTTATTAACTGTAACCAAACATGAAATAAAATTCAAAGTGAGAAAATCTTTAAAACTGTCGAATGTTTTGAATCAATATGGCAGAACTGTAATTAGAACTAAACTGACAGAAGCAGGTAAAACCAAATTAATAAATCATTTGCAGTTTTAAGATTATCAATGGAAATACTTACTAACATTCCGATAATCAGGACTTTCCACTGATGGGGAAACAGAAAGGGTCTTGTTTGTGGGGCCCATTGCCCCAGCAACGTATCTTTTACTTCCTTAACAAAGGAGAAAAGCACAAACATAATATCTGAATGACGAACTTTGGACTTGTATGACAAAGAAATGCAAAATATTAGACAATATCTGATCTTATGGTCTTCATTTGTATGTTGCAATGAAAAAACATGACCGCCCTCTAGAGATTAGATGATCCATTCTGCCAAAAAATGTCTTGCTAAAGAGACCACTATGTCTACCGATCTTCATATACTATAATAATGACCATTGTTTAAGGTTATAAATGAACAAAATCCTGAAGTGAACAGCAAAGATAAGTATGGGCAAACTGTGACCCCAGAATTGCATGTGTCCACTGAACTTCTTTTTTTAGCTCTTAAAATGGTACTGCCAAATTTTTTATTTCCTACTGTTTTTGCAATAAGAAGCCTATGAAAAGAATAGCATAATCCTAAAATAAACTTATCACCATTTTAAGGAGGAAAGCGCAAAAGCAGGAAAAACGTAAAAAAAATGTTGATTTTACACTTAAACATGGAAATCGTACTTATTTTGTGTTAAGACTTCACCTATTGCTGGCTGTGAAATTCTGGGAGTTGAAGTCCACATGTCTTAAAATTGTCAAGGTTGAGAAACACTGACCTATTTTGATATTGTTCCCATTCCAAATTACTGCTCTCTCATAGTAGCAATATTTCTATCTATACCAGAGGTCTCCAACCCCCAGGCTGTGGCCCACCTACTGGGCCAGGGCCCGTTTCAAATCGGGCCGCTCAAGTGACAGATGAGCACACGCGCAGCTCCATTTGTGTGAACAATGGGCACTCGGGCTCACACAAAAGTTCCATTTGCAAGAGTGGAGGGCGCTCACGCTCACGAGTGAAGCTCTATTTGCAAGAGCTGCACGCGCTCACGTGTGTGCCTACAACTCACACAAAACCATATCCTCTTCCCTCCCCACCAGGCTGCCAAGCAGGAAAGGTTGAGGACTGCTGCTCTATACTCATAGCAAGCATGTTGGGGGGGGGGGGTCTGAATGGGGAAGAACAGATTTCAGATGAATCTAGCAAGAGAGAGTGGCTTTAGATTTTATGGCCTCCTGGATCTGGTCATTTTCCATCTTTAGTTCTAGGTGGAGTTCCCTAGAATCATATAAGCAATTTGGAGGTTCTCCTGGACTCACAGCTCCTGTGTGAAGAACAGATATCACCATGACCAGAAAGGCCTTCAAGCTGGCCTTGAAGAGCTTCAATTGGTTCAGAATGCAGCAGCCTTCTAATTATCATATTACATCTTTGCTCCACAAACGGCATTTATTATTTCACACAATACTAAAAGCCATCAGAAAATTCAGCTTGGCATAAAAAATAATAAAGAAAGGTAGACTCAAAATATCAAGAACTACTTAAAATGGTTATTGGTAAAAATACAAAAATTAAAAAGTGCTATTAAAATTCAGGTAATTATATCTCAGCAAATTAGGCAATACTGCTCTAAGGACTCTTATGTGTTTTTCACTCTTCATCGAAGGAAAATTGTAATGTGATTTAAACCACAGCCAAAACCACATCAGCAAGCCTAGATAACTCACGATCCAAGTGCATATCAGTGTGTCAAGTTACTCACCCATCTCTGCAGTAACATCATCAGCTGCTTTTCGAGCTATCTGGGCTGATATTTTATTTAACCGATAAGCCTAATAACAGATTGGGGGGGTAAATGGTAGATACAAAAAAATTAATAATCTTCATTTGCGCTGCACTAAACTCTCAATTATAATTTTGCAGTCAAAAGATCTCATACAGAGGCTCCTTAACAGTCTTCAGACTGTAGAAGGATCAACTGGCAGGAACTAATCTTAGGAGCCAAAACGCACCAAAGCCACAATGAAATGGAACAGAGATTATGCCAGTTCACTGTAAACAAATGTTTACAGGAATTTCTACTTCTGAAATGAATCAAGGTGGGTGAGGACAAGACATGGGCAAAGGAGGGTTTACACATAGTGTTAAGCCAAAATGGGTTTTATATATTTCTGACATAGTGGGATAAGTGAGCCAGATCAAAGAACAAAGCAGATAGGAGGAAAAAAGCTGCTTCTTGGCTGCATTAGAAGAAGCAGAGAATTTGCAAACCCATGGGTTACTCATTTTACACTATAATTCACAATCACCTCCAAAAGAGCACTGTTACAAAAAATAAAAATAAGATAAAGTGAATTTATCTCAAGAATCTGGAAAATGATGTCAGCTAAAAACACAAGACAGGATTAAAAACAGGCTTGTGGAGATGATTCATTAAAAAACACTCATGTCTTGGCTGCTATTTAGATCAGACAACAAGATATGAAAGGTGGCACACTCTTGCAAAGATGCAAACATCTATCATTGCAGATATGGCATCTGTTTGCTTTTTTTCAAGAAGAAAAATGATTTAACAAAAAAAGAAGACGATCATCATTTCTTAAAGTCCTCACCCAGATAACAGCATTTTAAAGATTAGTTTACATTAACCTACTACAAAGCAACATTGTACAAGCATGAACCGTAGCGGGAAAGAACAAATATCCACAATAACGAAGTTAGAAATACAGATAGTCCTCGACTTTCAACAGTTCATTTAGTGATTGTTCAAATTTACAACGGCACTGATAAAAGTGACTTATGACTGTTTTTCACACTTATGACCTTTCCAGCATCCCCATGATCATGTGATCAAAATTCAGATGCTTGGCAACTGGTTCATATTTATGACCAGTGCTGTGTCCCAAGGTCATGTAATCACCTTTTGCGATCTTCTGACAAGCAAAGTCAATGAGAAAGCCAGCTTCCCTTAAAAACCGGGTTACTAGCTTATCAGCTGCAGTGTTTCACTTAACAACTGAGGCAAGAAGGGTCATAAAATGAGACAAAATTTACTTAACGACACAAATTTGGGCTCAATTGTGGTCGTAAATCGAGGACTACCTGTAACCAAGCAAAGCACTGCTGTTTTTTGCAATTAGGCTCTTTTGGCAAATGATCAAGTGAAGCAAGTTAGCAAATCCAAGCAGCTTGATCAAAGGTCAAAGGAAAACCCAAACTTGACAAGTAAGAAATCAAAAATTCTTACCAGATGTTCAAGGCTGTAATCAGCTTGTGCTATTTTAGTGCTACTAAAAGTATTTGTCTCAATGATATCAGCACCAGAAAGCAAGTATTCCTGTAAGAATAGAACAATTGAAATAGCAATAGCATTTAGACTTATATTCCGCTCTATAATGCTTTACAGCAGGGGTCCCAATTCCCAGGCCGCAGACCAACACTGGTCCAGGGCCCTCCAGGAACTGGGCCACGCAAGCAAACAAAGCCCTATCTGCGCATGCATGGGATGGAGACAGCATGTGAAACCATGCCCCCCCAATCCACAGAAAAACCGGTCCCTGGTGCCCAAAAGGTTGGGGGCTGCTACTTTACAATACTCCCTGAGTGGTTTACAAAGTCAGTATATTAATCTGGATCCTCACTTTACCAATCATGGAAGGATGGGAAAGCTGAGTCAACTTCAAGCCCTTTCAGGATCAAACTCCAGGCCCTGAAGCAGTTTGCCCTCTAACCACTGCGCCACCAGGGCTCATAGTCTATTTCAGTGGTCTTCAAATTTGGCCCTTTTATGACTTGTAGACTTCAACTCCCAGAATTCCTCAGCCAGTGTGCCTGGGAAACATGGTACAACCAGATATGCGCAGAGTTTGTTGAAAAAGGAACATTTTTTTAGAAGTAGTATAATCTAATCTTCCCTACAATGGATTTTAAGTCAACGGGGACTGTATCAGTATTTTTAAACAGAGTACCAGCTCCAAAGTGAAGAAGGCCTAGGAAAAAAGGGTCTTATGATTAGTCTTAAAATAACAATAAGCAAAGCAATATTTGGAGAAGGCCAACAGAGCAAAGTTTAATTTTTTTCAGGAATCATCCTAAATTGTCCTATTGTTGAGGCCATACTGGGAAACAGAATTTAGAGCCACCACCTGATGCTGCTTGAAGTCAGTAAACACACCCGTACGCTCAAATCTAGTGAGCTAGTGAGCTGAAGAAAACAAAACAAAGTTCATCTGTAATTAAATTATTCAACAGTCAGAAAGCAGAACTTGTAGTCAATGGCTACTGAATAGATGATTGCTTTAATCAAGTCCAAAGATACATTATCAATGAGCTGTCTACTAGTTTCTTGAATAGACTACAGAGTTAACAGTTTGCCTACCACTGTGAGTAAAGTAACTAGATATAAAATGAGACCTTGTCCCTGATCATTTTTAGTTCTGTTATTAATCTTTGAGATTAAGAGGAAAAGCTTTATAAATCCTCTCAACTGCAAGCTCAGCTTATGTTTTTTCATTATTTGAACAGCAGGAGAGGAAACTCTACAATATATTATACAATTAAATTATAACTGAAAATGGCAAAAGAAGCAATTCCTGTTCCATATTCATGTTGTTATACTGTACAAAGAAATGTAGTTATATTTCAGATTTGGAGGCTCCAATATGACTGTCTCAGTTTAAACTCTTGCATTTTTTTCCCTCAGCAGCAAAGAAAATAAATGAGGACAAAGGTAATTACAGACTGTTGTATTTTAATCAAAATGCTATCAGGAAGAATTCCCAATTTAGATTTTCAGTGAAAATGACTGATAACTAAATATATTTCTCTATGTATCCAGTCTTTTTAAAAATTAAGAAAATATCAATAATTTCAAGTGTTATTTCTTTTGAAATAACTTCTTAAGTTTATATGTATGTGTTTTAGTGTTATGTGCAAATGTACATTTATTCATTTACAACATTTTTAAGGCCACCCAGCTAATGATTTTGAGCAACTTACAACGTTAAAATCTGAAGAGAAAAATAAAAACACAACTTTCAATTTCCTACATGTGTATATAGAAGTATAGAAGTAAGGGTATGACTATAGGAATCAATGAATGAGAGACAGTGCGGTATAAAGGTTAAGATTTATTTATATTTTATTTGCACTGAGTGCTTTTGTACCGGAGATAAATTCCTTGTGTGTCTAATCATGCATGGCCAAATAAAGTATTCAATTCAATAAATTCATGCAAATAAATTGACTTTCTGATTAATTAACAAAAGGCTAAGATGTTGGATTAGAAGAGGGGTCAAGTCCTCTCTTTGGCGTAGAAACCAGTTATGTTACTTTAGATCAATTGCTCTCTCAGGCTAAGACTGGGAAGTTGTAAAACTAATTACCTGCACAGAATCTACGTAATTTTCAACAGAGGCCTTCATTCTGCACCAGACTGATTTGGGTTGTTATAATAGAAGCTGAAAACACCAGCCTGAAGATGACGAAAGGGACTTCGTCGAAACGTCGCCAAGACACTTCCAATTTTACGCGGGAGAAAACCCGAACAACCAAAGACCTACATACAAACACCCGCGAAAACCTCAGAAAACATATGTATGTATGTATGTATGTATGTATGTATGTATGTATGTATGTATGTATTCTCCTCACCCCTACAGCTGGTATCTGTTTTTCTCAATCTCGGGTCCTCTGGGAGGGTTTTGAGCAGTATCTTTTAACACGACACTCTTCTGACAGACAGCTCTGATGTTGTTCCTGAGACCTTTTGGAGCCACCCTCCCAGCTTAGGAGTCACAACCAAAGTGCTCGTAACATCACTGTTTTAGTCTTTATTTTCCACATTCTCTCTAGTTCTTCCTTCAGATACTGTTAAGTCTCCAGTTTCCCAGGCACCTTTTTCTTGATGTTCCTGTCACTTGGCATTGCTACATCTGTCACTACTGCTGTCTTTTGATCCTTGTCTACTATATATGTAATATATGCTACATCTATGGCAAAAACATCTGAAGCACATGCTCTTTCCTAGTCAAATAAAACCTAGAACATGAATTGGGGTTGCAAATATCTGTGCACATGGGAATGGGATGGCTGGGTGAGTTATGCAATAGTAAATATTGAAATACATTTGACTGGCATCTGAAAATGTATAAATAATGATTTTGATTCCACTAAAATTGCAATATATCTCATCACATGTCCTATTTATTAATCGGTGTGTCTTCTCATAGACAGAAGTTATCAGAGGACCATTTTACTGTAATCCCTCTGCTGGTGATTCACTGTCATATTAATGCATACAGAAGTCTCTTTTTTCAAGGAAAGTTATTTATCTTGCCTTAAGACATTATACAGGTATGTGAAGAATCCCCTTTACGTGGAACTTGCTGTGAGTAACTGCAGACTCATTTTAGCGCCCCCAACCCTGGGACACTGTAGACACAAACGCTAGCTGGAAAGACAGATACCCCTCTGAAGAACTCATACCAGCAATGCTGTTGGTTTGCTTTGGCTGAGAGGCCGTCTGAAAACTCTCTTGGCCAGATAACAGTGCAGCATATTCTGCCATGACAACTGGCCAAACAATTAACACACCCATCAGCCAGGTTCTAGTGCCAACCCAAAGATCTACTTTGGACTCCCTGGTGCTCCGCTGAAACACAACTGAGCACAAACAAAAAGGTCTGGATCACACCTGAAGCTTTCAATGCCATGCAATTCCCAAAGGATAAAGGCACTGAATGTTTTCAAAAAAACAGAAGCACCTTCACTTTCATGCTACATAAAGAATCCCCAAATAACATGAAGACTTTGTATTCCAAACTGGGAACCACCCTGGTATAATGATTAAAGTGCTGGCCTGGAAACCAGAAGACTGGGAGGTCTAGTCCCACCTTAAGCATGAATGTCAGCTGGGAGACGGGGGCCAATCACTCTCTCTCAGTCCAATTCATATCACAGGATTGTTATTATGGGAAAAAAGGAGGAAAGAACATTACCATATGCCTGGTGTCTTTGGTTGTACAAAATAAAAGGTGGGATGTAAATCTAATCAAGTCCTACACCCAACCACATCAAAACTTCCCTCTAGCTTGCCTTTCTCCATTCTAGATCATCACAGCCAATCTCCTGTCACCAAATCCCCAATTTCTTTTCAAATGGCCCTCTACCAACCATGACAGACATAATGAGTTATTCTAGTATGTGCACAAAGTAGCAGGAAAGCCTTTGAATCTAATAGTCTCAAGAACTATTTATTTAGTTCAATAGTGAAGTGAGAATCAGTGTCCCTGAAGACCTATCTGAGTTAAAAACAAGCTGATCTCATTTCAAACAGGTGCCCAAGACAGTTTCAAATTGCATACTATTTTGGAAGTCTGAAGTGGATGATTAAAGCCATTGCCGATACAGATTATAAGATTTTTTTTCTGGTGAACTGTGCAGGAAATATTTTTTCTAATACTTCTTAACCTTTTTTTTTTTTAACCTGGGACCTTAGAGTTTCATCTATTCACCAGACAGGTGAAAAGCTAAAAGTTACATGTTCTTAATGCTTTTCAGCCATTTATTTGCCTCTGAGGATCCACAGATGCAAATAATGAGGCAGTATGACAAAATAGGAATTAATTCATCGATGTATTTTTAAAAGTAAGAATAAAAAAAAATGAACATGATCCAGTGCCATTCAAATTAGTGAAAATGTTCCATTCCTACAATTTATTCTTTGTTGTCTTTTTCACTGAACAAATAAAAATGTGTACTAGTTATTCGGTAATCATCTTCATATGCCCCTCATCTGAAGAACTATTATTGAGGAAAGTGCCCATAGTTGTGCTCTATCCATACCAGTATTTCAGCAGTTTTTAAATTTTTATTCTATTTTGTTCTATTCTATTTCTATTCTTTAAACCAGAGGTCCCCAACCTTTTGGGCACCAGAGACCGGTTACGTGGAGAGAGGTTTTTCCATGGACCAGAGGGGATGTGGTTTTGTGTGCTGCCTGCATCCTGTGGATGGGGCTTTCCTTTGTACAGACCGGTTGCTGGCATGCCGTGGCCCAATACTGGTCCACAGACCGGGGGTTGGGATCCTCTGCTTTAAATTATGTAGACTTCAACCCCCAGAATTCCCCAGACAGAATTCTAGGAGTTAAGTTCACGCAGATTAAAGTGGCCATAGTTGAGAAACACTTATCTAGACCAGGGCTTTTCAACCATTGGTACACTTACCACAAGTGGTACTTTGGCACATGGCAGGTGGTACGTGACCTCCTAGACAAGTGTAGCAGGGGAGGGGAATAAGCTGAAGCGACACAAGCCTGAGGGAGAGGCAGCTGGAGCTGCAGGACTGTCGAGGCTGGCAGAAGCCCCAGACGCACTGCAGGGCTCCAGCTGATTGGCTCCAGCCGATTGGCGCTTCCATAGCTGGAGGTGAACTGAAGAGAAAAGGAAGGGGGAGGAGGAGAGGATATAAAAGTCGGTGGTTTTGGCTGTGAAGAAGCTGTGAAAGGAGAGCTCAGCAGGCAGGGAGGAAAAAGAGAAGGGAAGAAGCAGCTGTTGCTGAAAGAAAAAGTCCTCTGGTTCATTTTCTTCAGCCAGGAGAATGCAATCAGCACTGATGAAATGAAAAGCCGGGAGATGGGCATGTCATAAAGGAGGTTGGTTTATTTAGTTCTGGGTCAGGTGGCAACTTGATTGGGTTACCATAAGGATTTTTGTAGTTTTTACAGTGTTTTGTAATTCAGAGGCTTGGTTTGTGTGCTTTGGTTATTGGAATATTTTAGTCTGTTTCACAAAGGCTAGCAATGAGTCCAAAATGTTGGTTTAAACAAATGTAATTAGTTTTACCCCCTTATCTTGAGTTCGTCTATGGCTTTTAGCAAGTTTTCTTTGTAGGTAAAGAGGCTTAATTTAAGGCTATCACTTTTTGCAATTGTCGGAGCCTTTTAGGCTCCAGTTGCAACACTGTGACATGCCTGAGGCAGTTTAAAGAGGAAAAAAAACAGAGTTAATGTTTCTTTATTCTGAGAGGCTTTTGCGAGCCTTTCTTGCTTTGCACTTGATTCCTGTGTCTTTAGGGGTACAGTGAAGGGGCTGGGGTGTGTATGCATTCTTACTACATTGTGGAAAGAGAGGAGAGGGAGAAAGGAAGAACAGCCAACCAGTCATCTGGTAGTGGTGCATATTAATAAATATGGATAAATTCATCATACATTTGTCAGTGTAAAGGGAAAGTGATTCAGCAAAGGAATTGCCACCAAAGAAATTAAAACCAGTACTTTTTTCCTTTTTTTCTATAGTTTGTAACATTTTATTAGATTATAGAATAAAATACAAAAATACAAAAGCAAATAGTAGGACACAGTGGGGAGGAAAAAGGGGGGAAAGTGAGGGGGAGAAGGGGAAAAGAAAAGGCATTGACTTCTGACTTCCTGCTGCAGTAGAAGGAAGCATTAACATTGAACCTCAACTTTTTACTTTTCCATAATATTATAAACTAGCCATTTCTATAACAACAAATGAATCTAATCAGTAAAACCCAAAATCTCCCCCCCCTTTTTTTGTTATCAAGTTTTTGACAGCTTGCTAAGCACTGGTGGTACTCAAATACTGTCATGTCCTAAAAGTGGTACAATCTATGAAAAGGTTGAAAAGCCCTGATCTAGACCATGTGAATGTACCTGTAGCTCTCAAGAACTGTTATACATGTCAGAAGAATCAATAAATCCCTTCTAGCACAAGACTCATAAAACAAGCTGCCTGCTTACCTTGTGAATTTTGTAGATGATATCCGGCTGAGTTATGCTCAACAGGTCATTATTTCCCTTGAGTGGTTTCAGGTGATCCTTAAATTCTTGACCTCGAAATTCCTCTTCTCCTAAGGAATATTCCTGGATCATGGTCCCCATGCCTCCATCCAAAACCATAATACGCTCCCTCAGAATGGATTCTATTTCCTCTTTCAGGGTTTTTTTGGAAACTGCATTATGAAAATATTTGGAAAAAAATCTTTATTTAAAGCTATCAGCATCTCTTCTCGCAATCAATCCCAAGCTCTAAAGTATTGAGGATTATGGATATGCCATCCTGAATTGCTTTAGGAAAGCAAATATCAATATTATATAAATAAAATGGGGAATCAAATTCACTTAACAACCATCTTACTAACCTTTCCACTGCAGTGATTCAGTTAACAACTGTGGCAAGAAAGGTCATAAAATGGGGCAAAACTCACTGAACAAATTTCTCATTTAGCAACAGAAATTTTGGGCTCAATTGTGGTCATAAGCCAAGGACTACCTGTACCATCACTGGGAAGGGTAAACCAAATTAACTGCCCTTACTTGGTGGGGTGGAGTTTGTATGGCTGGGGATTTTTGCAGAATATATGCATAAAGCACCAGAGATATACAGATGTCATGGGCACACACAGGATTGCAGTCATAGCTGCTGACAGATAACACTAGCTGCAGTCAGAAAGATGTATTTAAGGGAAAGATGCTTTACTCCTACTGCCCAATCAGTGCATGAAACTAAGGAGGGAGTGGACAGCACAATTATAATTATGATGGATTTTTTCTTTTTATGCTATTGTAGGTTCAGAGGGAGAAATCACACATTAAGTGGTAGACCTTTATAATTGTACTGTAAGCATCACTCTGGGCTGCAGGCATGTGACTTCATATAGTACTGCCTTAAGTGAGAATTAAGTAACATTTCATATAGACAAAGTTTAGTGGCAAACGTAAAGACCACACCAAAACGTATACTGATAAACAGCATTATTCTATTATCATTAATCTAATGGGATTCCATCAAATTTCTTTTATGCCTGAAAATCGCCTTAAATTATAACTGAGAAAGTTCCTTAAAAAAACTATCGTTACCGATTTGCTCGAATCACGTAGAAAAATTACACGTGGTTTACAAAAACAAGTAGGTGGATGAGCCTTATCCAAAACAGAATACAGAGGAAGCTTGGGAGCCGGTTCACCGCGTGTTTCACTATTAGCTTCTTGCTATGTTTCCTTTGATTATCAACAACCTCGGCTTAGCCAGGTATTATTTAATGCACATGTTTCGTTACATCATTTTCTGAGGTCCAATTCAGCTACTTAAAGCGAGAAAGATGCAGCTGTTAACCAAAGGTGCCTCGAAAAGCAAATCAATATTTTTGATTCTTAATTTAATTCATCCGGGTTTCAAAAAGTTTTTGCTCTCCTTCAGAAGTTCAACGATACCCACCTCATCTACTTCCCTTTTGGATATTTATAGGGGGGGGGGACTAAAAACCCCAATTTGTCAAATGCACTGTATCTGAACGACTAAACTTAACTGAGTCTACTTTCTGAGTACAGCACACGTAGTAAATTTCCTGCTGACAGAGTAATCTAAGTAGGTACAGAAGAAAAAAAAAAAAAACTAAACAGCCCATTCAGGAGTACTATAGCGAAACACACTCATTCTGCGATTCCCAGACCAACATACAGCAAAGTTAGAAACTTTGCGCCCTGCAAGCCATCGGACCTCACAAACTGCCTGCTAGAAACACGCACCGTGCGATTCTTCGCTACCCCGCTGCTCAGCCAACTCATGAATCGTGGGCGACATCCTTTTTGAAACAGCCTTGCAAAATCTGAACGACTGAATTTCAACCCCCGGGTTAGAATGGCCGGAGACTATGGCAAGGAAAGCGCCTGCGTGCGCGTCACTAGCTGCGCAGACGCATAACATTCTTGTTGAATGTAAATACAGTTGTCAGTGTAGAAAAGTTACATTGATTTGAATGTTGCAACAGAAAAGGCACGGAAGTGATGTGTTGGAACTGTGTACCTTGGAACTGCTATGTCTGCGTTTAATTTTGCCAATTATTAAACGTGTTCCGTTTCCAGATTTCCGCTGTATTGCCAGAAATCATATCTCATATTGTTTATTTATGGACATATTTAACCAAATTTAACGGACAATGATGGAAATACACCTCGGGCTCCTGTGTGAGTTTGCAAAGCAAAAATACCATTTGGGAAGGGGATGAGAACTCAAAGGCTGGAGACTCCTTTTTGCTTTAATATTTTAGAGGGTAAGGCGTAAAGAAAGAAATTGAAATCCCTTCTGCGACCTCAGTCCCAATAGAAAGATGGTAGGGTTGCTTATTGCAATTGTTTAATCAGGTTAATCGCTTACTCTTGTAACTGCCCTAGTAACAGAAGTCTTCGGAGATGAATCTACAGCAGGGGTGTCCAACCTTGGCAGATTTAAAAACTTGTGAAGTTCAACTCCCAACATTCCCCAGCCAGCATGGTTGGCTGAGGAATTCTGGGAACTGAAGCCCACAAGTCAAAGGTATCAAGATTATACACCTGTGATCTACAAGTTTCAGGGAATCGTTTTCTCTGCAGCCAGATCCAAGTTTTCTTTGCAAGGTTTTCTCTGCACACCAAATTTGGTCACAATCAGTTCAATTTGGAGAAGTTCTTCTATTTGGTCATCCCGAATATTATAATTCTTCAACATTTCCAGCATTCCTTTCCTTTGGTAAAGACTAGAAAGGTTTATAAAAGTACTTTCCTTTTAAATTAAAAACTAAATGTGAGCAGTGTTTCTGAACCTTAGAAGGTTTAAGATGTATGGGCTTCAACTTCTGGAATTCTGGAAGTTGAAGTCCATAACATCTGAAAGTTGCCAAAGTTGAGAAATGCTGGTTTAGGGGAAAGAGTCTAAAGCTGGCTGTGGCTGTTTTTATTTCGTGTAACTTGGTTAAGTTCTAACTATGCCTTACTAAGAGCAGAATCTCAGACATTGTGCCACTATTGTAGGTGTATCATCTAGGTTACACAAAGAGGAATCAACTAAGTAAACACTGATTTTAAAAAGGGACCCACTGCAGTAAGTCAAGATTTTGTTAAGCATATTTTGTTTAATAAATGAGAATTCTCTGAGTTCAGACATTGCACTAGGCCACATTACAAGAAATCACATAATTAGTATAATGTCTGAATGCAGTCACTATAGACTTTTCCCATTATCCAGGGTACAAAAAAAGTCTACACAGCTCCTACATTATTTACCGACTATTAGAAGACAGTTCATTTTTATTCATTGTAAGCAAAGCACTGATACAATGCATGGAGAGAGATCTTGGAAAAAGATCCCTGACAGATCATCCTCAAACATCCAGCACTGTTAAGAATAAATAGGCAAAGGTGTTACCCTTGAGACTTGCACGTTCTGGTTATGTCTTCATACTACAGTCCAACTAACTTTCTGTTGCATTCATACTTCACTGAGACAGAATATGGATAATTTGTTTGGGGTTATTTGATAATGTGTGTGTTTGAGTATAGGAATAAATCAGTGGATCCAGTTCCCCCAAATGCCTCCTCGTTATCCTGGGAAGTCAAATATAGCACTAGGTGTTCCTTAAAACATCTGTAACTCTATTCAACGAAGCAGAATAACAGACATGCCTAAACTTTGTGCATCACAGAAGGTAGCATCATGTAGCCAATCCTGGAAAAAGCTAAACAGGATGAGAGCTAGTTAGTCATTGGATGGAAGATTACCAAACTATCTCAAACTGTAAGCTGAACTAGGAAGTAAAAATCTTTAGAAGGAGCCATGATAGACTACTTCCATGTTGATGCTATCACGCACTGAGCTAGTAAATTCAACTCAACCTGAACTTTCATGCAAATTCTAAAGCCCATATCAAGAGAGAATTAAACTGCAGAATTTTGTGTTTCATGTAGAACTGTTATATTGTTGGGTCTCAGACTGTGCCCCCCTCAAGGGGCTCCAAGCAGCTTAAAGAAGGGTTGCTTTTTTGTAAAGCCTGAAGCAAGTTTGCCCATGCTCAATTATTTTACTTTATTGTGCAGAAACATAAATTCATCTATTATTTTAGGAGATTGCAATACTGCAAACTTAAAGAACTTGCAGTAAAAACAAACTGAATCTGCATGAAGTTAAGCACATCAATATACTACATATACCCGTTAGCTGATGGAATGTAAGCAACAGCATATTGACTTGCAAAGTAATTTCTAGGTTAGATATCCTAATTTGCATAAAGCAATGGACTATGCCCCATCTGGTAATGATTTATAAGCATTAGGGTAGGCTTTTGCCTTATATCAGACATGTCAAACTCGCAACGTCACATGACGTCGAACAGTGTATCGAGATGGTTTTGTCATTGCCGGCAATTGGGTGGGTCGGCTTCCACGTGACGCGTCTGGCCTGTGGACTGGCAGTTTGACACCCCGCCTTATATCTTGACTTATCTTTTCTTTCACTCTCTCTTCTTACTCTTTTTCTGAAGTGCATAGTGTTACTTCCTCTGAAGCAAACTGTGTGATTTATTATGCATTCTACTGAAACCTATAACCCAGTATATTCCAATAATATCTTTTTTTAAATCACAAATCTGTTCTTTCAGGTAGTTGCCCCTGGGCACAACTTTCTGACAAATCAGCTGGATCAATGTCTTTGAGAGGAAGAAGAGCAGCAGCAAAAAGAATCATCTGCACTCTGATTAGAAAAAAACATAAATAAAAAAGATAGATGCCTCACTACATGTAAAGCAAATAGAGAAAAACTAAAAAAAAAATGAGGTGAGAATCCTCTGCCCAGAAGATATGCCCTTAATATTTAAAAGTGAATCAGTTTAATCTCAGAAACTGAATCAGTATTAAGGCTTGAAAAGCAGACTTTATTTTAAAGGCACATTTGAATAGTAGTAGATTGTACAGTTTTCTTTGCTTATTGTATGAATATTTACTTTTTTGCATTTGTTTCATGGGATTGTTAGGCTTCAGATAAAATAGATTTTCTACAAACTGTTGAAAGAACATAACTGGCAGGAAGCTGCTGCACGACGTACCTTAGACTGGTTGTAATAAAATGTCAATATTGTTAGAATTAACCAAGACCAATTACAACAGAATAATGAATATAGCAGAGAGCAGACACCATCCTAAAATATGGAACTCCCTCAAAATATCCAGGCTATTAACATGGTGCCCTTTCAAACTGGGCATTGATTTTAAGGTGAAGGCTATTATCACCATTAAGATGGTGCCCTTGTCATCAACCTCTTAGAATAATTCCAGAGGTTTCGTGATTTTATACCACTAGAATTAGAATTCCTGTGCAAGCTTCACACTGAAAACAACAAAACAATCTCATATGATTATTTGGCATGACCTGGGTTTTTATTTTCTCTTGTATATGCACAAGCATATTAAACCCCAATATCCATAGATGAAAGCGTTCCCGTGTTATGAAAGAAAAAGGAGTTGCATGGAGGGAGGTTGTGGAAAACCTGGATAAAATGTTCAGAATTCTTGAAAACATTTCATGTTTTGAAAATCAAAGATATGCTAGATTTGTTTTTGTTTTTTGTTTTTTTGTTTTTTTCAAAGGCATATTTTCTTTTGTTTTGTTTTTCCTGAGGCTTTCTAACTTGGCACTTTGGGATTATCCATTTTTAATTTAAAAAGGAACAACAACAATCTGATAAGGCAGGGGGGGCAGTGCAGCCTGTCACTGTATAAGCTTGTTCAAGTACATATAAACAACATAAAAACTCTTCATGCTGCACACTATGTGGGCATTGCTCCTTACTGAATGTTCCTGCTAAACTTGAGAAATTGTAGTGAGGTCAGCTTACTTATTTTTTTCAAGGAGCAAACTGGAATATATCTAGTTTCACTTGCCCACAGAGTCAGTCCCCAGTTACAGATCGCTTTCCCCATACAATGCTGATGAAAATGAGGTATAGTCCAGAGCTCCAGGAACAGCTCCTGGTCCCTTGTAGGCTGGCATTCGCTTGATGCAGTATTGAGCTTGTTCAGGTGGCAGTTCTCGGTTCAACTCTTCAGCAAGAATATATGGCTAGAAGGATTGAAAAGGAGGAAATGTGATGAGCTTTTTTCTGATACTTCAGAATCAAAACAAGCGGTGAACTCCCTTTGATGAGAACAAGGATGAGATTGGGCAGACACTTCAGTTATACAGATTAGCCTTCTCCAATCTGGTGTCCTCACTGTTTGCAAAATACAGAATACTTCAAGGGCACAAGCCTGGACAGAACTAGCACTGATCCAGAGTACCTTATTATGGAATTTATTTGTTTGTTTGTTTGTTTGTTTGTTTCATATGGCCATCCAACCTCAAACAAAGTAAAACTGGGTGGCATACAGAAAGAAACATAAAAATAAATACAACCTGAATAAAAACATTACATTAAAGGCCAACTAAAATAGTAAAAAATGACATGGCAATCAGACTAAAATATGCTACAACTAAATAATTGGGATTTAATTCAATTGGGCCCCAAAGCCTGGAGAAAGAATCAGCCATCATAAAAGACCTGCAAAGTCGGGACCAAATGTGTATGTATGTGTGTGTGTGTGTGTGTGTGTGTGTGTGTGTGTGTATATATATATATATATGTGTATATATATATATATATATATATATATATATATATATATATATATATATATATATATATATACATATACACAGGTTGCTAACAAAGAATAAAGAGAGAACTGGTATAGCTATTTCGAGTTCCTTTAATTCTCTTCAGCCAGACTTACTCTTCTGAGATTCGAACCTAAGCTGTCTGCATGTTAGGCAGTTGTTATAGCCCAGGTTCGAATCTCAGAAGAGTAAGTCTGGATGAAGAGAGTTAAAGGAACTCGAAATAGCTATACCAGTTCTCTCTTTATTCTTTGTTAGCAACCTAAAAATGTAAAATGATGTCGCAGTTGGCGACTTCTGCTTGTGGATGGCTCTAGATTGAGCTGATACAAGCAAAAGAAAAGAAAAGAAAGAAGATTTCTTTCTCCCATATTTGGGCTAACAGGGTGCACATTCAAGGTAATATATATATAGATAGATATATATATATATATATATATATATATATATATATATATATATATATATATATACACATATCAGTAAAAAAGGAAAGCGATCACCAGGAAGTAAAACACCAAGGTTTTAATAAATAAAATCAAGCTTTCGATGGCTAACATCTGCCATCATCGTCAGGATACAAGCCAGTCAGTGAGGAAACCTGCTTATAAGCATAGCCACACCTAAACTCTACGCATGGACCTTGTAACAGGTCCAAGCCAACTAATCCTTACTTCACTTACAGCCTTCAGTGATTCTTTCTTTTAGCTCTTACTTATATCCACCTAGCTTTCAATGGCTAGCACCTGCCATCACTGTCAGAATACAAGCTAGCTAGTGAGGAAACCTGCTTATAAGCATAGCCACACCTAAACTCTACGCATTGACCTTGTAACAGGTCCAGGCCGACTAATCCTTGCTTCACTTACAGCCTTCAGTGATTCTTTCTTATAGCTCTTACTTACATCCACACAACCACCCACTTCCTCCCTCCCTTTAGTTCCTGAGTCATATAGGCAACGTGTGTTTCTCAAAATTAAAGGGTCCTCTGCACTATTGAATTGATTCTTCTTTCTGTGTTCCTTGGGGCGTTTCTCTCCTCCACTCCTCCGGCACGCATCGCACTCATTTGCATTCTTCAATCCTGTCACTCCTTCAATCCCCCCACAATCCTTGCCACCAATCTCATCCACAATTTTATTTCCCCCCACTGAAGAATCAATTCAATAGTGCAGAGGACCCTTTAATTTTGAGAAACACACGTTGCCTATATGACTCAGGAACTAAAGGGAGGGAGGAAGTGGGTGGTTGTGTGGATGTAAGTAAGAGCTATAATAAAGAATCACTGAAGGCTGTAAGTGAAGCAAGGATTAGTCGGCCTGGACCTGTTACAAGGTCCATGCGTAGAGTTTAGGCGTGGCTATGCTTGTAAGCAGGTTTCCTCACTAGCTAGCTTGTATTCTGACAATGATGGCAGGTGCTAGCCATTGAAAGCTAGATGGATGTAAGTAAGAGCTAAAAGAAAGAATCACTGAAGGCTGTAAGTAAAGTAAGGATTAGTTGGCTTGGACCTGTTACAAGGTCCATGCGTAGAGTTTAGGTGTGGCTATGCTTATAAGCAGGTTTCCTCACTGACTGGCTTGTATCCGACGATGATGGCAGATGTTAGCCATCGAAAGCTTGATTTTATTTATTAAAACCTTGGTGTTTTACTTCCTGGTGATCGCTTTCCTTTTTTACTGAAATGTATGTACCCAGGAATCGCTATTCTTCAATTTTTAATGTAATTTTTAATATATATATATATATATGTCTTTGGTTGTTCGGGTTTTCTCCCGCGTAAAATTGGAAGTGTCTTGGTGACGTTTCGACGAAGTCCCATTCGTCATCTTCAGGCTGGTGCTTTCGGCTTCGTGCTTCTAGGAGCAATGTGTGATTGTAGCTGTTTCCTCCTTTTAACTGCCAGTGGGGGTATGAACTGATTGGATGAGAGCTTGGCTGTGTTCTGATTGGATGGAGGTGTGTTCTGATTGGCTAGGAGCTTGGCTGTGCTCTGATTGACTGGGGGGTTGGCTATGCTCTGATTGGCTGGGGGAGTGTTCTGTTTCGGTGGGGGCTTTGTTGTGCTCAGGTTAGTCTGAGTTGCAGGGGGGTTTAAACACACCTCCACACATCGAAACGTCGTCAAGACACTTCCAATTTTACGCGGGAGAAAACCCGAATAACCAAAGACCTACATATATATATACACACACACACACTAGATATGTTAAAGTATTTCATATATAACTTTAAGGCAGCTCTTTCCCACAGTTTATATCTACAACCTCTGTAGATTACTCTTTTCTGAACATTTGAAAATCTTTATTGCACATTATATGTGCATTATATGACACTGAAAAAGACCTCAGGCTGAAATAACTGTTTTGTGCAGGTATGCTTCAAAATTCTTTCAGCTTTATTCAAACAAAATCATGCAGGTCCCCACCCACAAAACTGCAGCAGATAGCACAAATATGTTTGGGGGTAAAAAAACAGAAAACTGGAGACTGTCATTGAATGACAATAACAAGTAGAAAATCTGTAGCCAACAAAAGTCCCAGTCTTACATCCTTATATTTATCTCCCTAAGATGCTCCAAGTGTCTTATTATATTTCTTTAGTAAAACAGAATTCCAAAAACTCAACCTTACTCCAGCCTAAAAGTTTCCATACAAATCTGTATAGTGTTTCAAAAAATTAGCATGCAAAGTTTAGGGGCTTTGATTAATTGGTGAAAACAATCCTGCTTCTAGCTATATTTTAAGTTTCTACTCTAGGTTACAGCTAGCTTACTTTGCATTTGGATACCCCCTTGTCTTGCAAGGGTAGGATTTGTAGAAACAATCACAGCAAATGGGAATCCTTTCACTAACCTTATCTGAGGCTAGGATTCTGAAAGAAGCAATAACTTGTTCAGCAGTATCAGTATCAGCAGTCTCTCTGGTCATGAAATCAATAAATGATTGAAAGGTAACCGTTCCCTGGCCGTTGGGGTCAACTAAGGACATGATTCGGGCAAACTCAGCTTCACCCTAAAATAAAATTAAAAATTAGTTATGAAAATCATAATGCATATTTTTAGAAAATTAATAAAATATTCAGCATCATGTGTAATCTGCCAAATATCACATTTTGCATGTTTTAAAGTATGCAAAAATATATTAACATTAAACATTCTTAAATCCATTGGAAGCATATGTTAGGTTGAATGTTCACTATGGATTTCATACTAATAGTAAAAGAAAAATATATAAAAGATAGGAAGGAATCCACTAAGATTTACTGCATTGGTTGCAACCTGGATAGTCAGGTGATCAAGACCTTGAACCAAATTGCTTCCATGCAGCCTCTCTAGAAATCCTGCAGTGTGGCTTGGTTTTTTGAGAAGCTCCAACAGATAGAGCATCATAAGAGATATCTAAAGCACTACTAGATGAAGTCAAACAGAAATTGGACCAGATATGAGTAAAAGCTCATATTCAGGCCTAGATTGTGGCAGAAATATCGTTATCAGGGGTCCTTGATGCTCTCTGAGCTTGGCTGTTTAGTTGCAGATGTTGTTACCCAAACTTATCCAAACTAGGTAACATCATCAGTGCTAGTAAGGAATAGAGTTTGTTGTCAATTTAGATTCTAGTGGCTTGCCCTGTCAGTGTTAGTGGGACTGGTATTGGAGGGTTTTTGGATAGGCTGTTTACCGTTACCTTGTTGTTTACCTTGGGTTGCAGAGATAAAACTGTCAATGTATTGCCTCCAACTTCTGAAGGCTACATACATCTACATAGGAAGGAACAAATTCAAGCTCTTCCTTGACAAGATTGAGTAAATGTGGATATTTGGGGTCCCTAGGTCTAACTCAGTCCTGCACTCTGGGACTTCATCTTTGCTCTTGGATGGGTTTGCACTTTCCCACTCAAGACTAGTGTGCAATTTGGAAGCCTTCCTAGACTCACAGCTACTACTCAACAAAGAGGCAGCAGCTATGATCACAAAGGTCCTTGTACAGGTTCACCTTATGTGCCAGTTGCATCCTTTTCTCAACCAGAAGTTTCTTTAGATCAGTGGTTCTCAACCTTTCTAATGCCGCGACCCCATAATACAGTTCCCCATGTTGTGGTGACCCCCAACCACTTATACATCACCGGGTGCCAGGGGCATGGCCAAAGAAAAGGGGGAAAAATGTGGACAGCCTTGTTCGGCGACCCCCGGGGAAATGGTCGTTCGACCCCAAATGGGGTCCCGACCCACAGGTTGAGAACCACTGCTTTAGATGGTCACTCACATTAGTCATCTCAAAGCTAGGCTAAACTATTACAAGAATGGCTGCTCTTGAAGATAATCTGGAAGTTACAGCTGGTTCAATATGAGCAGTAAGGGGTGTTTCTTATTGCACCCACATACCATCAGTGCTTTATGAGCTGCAATGGTTACCAGTTGACTTCCAGGTGCAGTTCAAAATTTACATGGAAAATAGAGCTTGGTTAATTGAAGGGGTACCTGTTCAATACAATTGGGCATAAAGTTGGATATGCTTTGAGTTCCTTTAGTTAAATTCTTTACCTTGTAGGACCAAGGAGGAAGGACTTCAGTGTTGTAGCACCTTCCCTTTGGAACAGTTCCCACCCTTCAGATGTTTTGTAAATCCATGAAAACTTCACTCTGTTCCCAGGCCTAGATTTAGGTCATTTGTAGAAATTCTAACAATTTTTGATTATTATTCATGAGTTTCTGTCTGGACAATCATAGTTTTCTATTTTATGTTTTAAAATTGCAAGTTAGCCAGAATATTTTGGAAGTCAGATGCCTTCAATGTCTGACAGATAAAACAGACAGATAGAAAAAAAATATTCCAATTTGAAATGTAATAGAACCTATATATGAATGCCATGATAAATGTGCACAATGTTTTAGTATGAATATATATAAACAGCTGTCTGCATAGGGTTCTAGCAATTAATAAGTCTAATTCTATACACACCCAAGAATAAAATCCACTGTGGAGAAGATAATTTATAATATCTAATGTACTAGGATTTTGAGTGGGCTGAACTTTAACCACAGGAATTTTACAATTACATCTATAATGGTCACTTTGTTAAAGTACATGTAATGATAAAGTAAGTGTTACTTTATGTAAGGGTTACTATGACAAATTAACTGCATCTTAAAATTCATACCAAATCATAACCCATTGAAATTAAGCAGGCCCTGAAATCTTCATGGTCCATCAGCCCATTTTTCTTCTGTTGGTAGGAATAAACAGCATGGAAGTTTCAAGGATCAGAATAAAGCCATCATAATTTCCGTAAAGATAGAATAGGTTCATCATCAGATGTATTATATGTTCATTCAAGACCAAGTTGAATCACCAAAAAACAGAAGAAAAGGACACGTTAGATTACATGAAACAGAAATAATGCTAGAAAGATGCTAATGAAATATAAACAAACAAAAATGTATGAGAAAGGTATAAAACACAGCATTTTTAGATAAGCCAAATTCAATTAGTAAGGCAGTTTTAAAGTAACGTTTTTTAAAAAGCTGCACAATGCAAAATAATAATAATAATAATAATAATAATAAGAATAAGAAGAAGAAGAAGAAGAAGAAGAAGAAGAAGAAGAAGAAGAAGAAGAAGAAGAAGAAGAAGAAGAAGAAGAAGAAGAAGAAGAAGAAGAAGATGCACTTCCAGATTCTAACATTTCACAAGGAGTGCAAGACTGTTAAATACTGTTTTATAAACCTGCTAAGCTAGAAGTTGAAAGTACAGGCTACTGGAGTCTGGAATTGGTATTGCAATGATATTTAGTTTTTGCATAATTTTACATATAACTCTGATAGGAAGGAGTCATTATGTGTTTCATCTTGTTTTTGTGAACACTAGAATTTCCAGTAAAGTGTATTCAATATTGTAGGTAATGCAAAGCATGATTATTGATTCTCTGTAATTGTGTTATACACTATAGGATTGCGGTGAACTGGAGATTTCTTCCATGAGAAAAAGCATATGTTTTATCTGAGTAAACAATGGTATGAAAGCTCACACCCATGTATACAATTCTTTCTAGTTATTGCCATCTGATTTAAATTGAATAACTTCAAAAAAAAACAAATCAGAAGAGAGGAATAATTAGTTTTACTGCACGTAAGTAAACCACTTTTCTCAGACTTGGCCTTAGTTTTATGGGCCATTACGGATTGTTGTTCACTAATTGAACTGTACGGTTATTATATTTTTTTGCCTAAACACATTGTCTGTTTAAAAACTCTCTTAGAAAAAAAGAGAATTCATTAGCTTAAAAGCAGTTTCATTTTAAAACTATAAAATAGAGCTAATCTATTAAGAACTATAGATTATTAATATATCAAGAGAACAGAAGACTGCTAAAAGATGTGGGTCTGATGGCTGAAAGTCAATTTATAATCAGACTAGTCATATGAACGTATTTTTAACATGAGATCTGCATTAACATTTTAAACCAGAAACACAGAAGCCAAGAGTCCAGGGCTCATAGAAGGACTAACATCCTGCTCACAAAATTATTGAACTGAGCCCAAGTTTGACCTTCTGTTGCCATCAAATTGTAATGTTTAAGGAGACAGAAGAAGCTGATGGAGCACATGGCAAATGATCATATGAAATGTATTTAATAGAACTCTTGGCCCTATGAGCTTATCTGCTCAAGAACTTGTTTCTTTGCCTCCCAAATCCTCCAACAAAAAAGCAGGAATCATGATGATGATCATCATCATCCTGTCTTGAGACTTAGAAGTAAAAAGTCAGGTCTTACCCCACAAGCTGCCACCACCACCACCACCACTACCACCATCGTCCCTGCCTCCCAAGCTCAGCAACCATTTTTAACTACCAGTTTTTCATAAAGTATTTTGCTTTAATGTGGGTTGGTGCAGAGCAATGGTGGCCAATCCTAGTTCAAGGCTGAATGTTGTCCTAGACTTTTTAACAAACATCTTTTTTGCATGTGCATATGCAATTACACTGGCTGAAATTTAGTTGCTAAATTTAGAAAAAAACTGTTTTCAGACTATTTGGCAAAAAAAAAAGTTTTAGAAAATTGTTAAAACAGAATTATTCAAGAGAGCAGTTTGATATCTGAATTCCATCTAGTTATTTATTTTTGTCATTTTTGTTTGTTTTTGGTTAGAATTTATATTTTTGATGTGATTTTGTGATTTTGATTATTTCCTTTGTACCATGGCTATTTTATTGCTGATTGATTGCAATAAGCTAAAATTGAATAAAATAAAATTATAGTTACAATTGCTACATTGAGATTCCATAGGCCTCCCACAAAGGCAAAAAAGTTAACCCCTTTCCTCTTCCAGTGACATCACTATTAAGTTCATTTAAAAAAAAAAAACCTAAACCTTTGAATTGTTTCCTAACCTTGGTATAGGGATTGCTTGTACATTTTTGTAAGCTAGATAGCCATGCCACCAAAATCATTAGACAAAATGTACACTTAAGCTATACAGTAAATTTTGGATCCAATTATTTTAGTTAACAATTAATTTCTGTATATTTAAATGTTAAGTAAAATTACATCAGCCTCAGCAATTTATTTATATAGCTGCCCGACTGGACTATGCACAACAGTAAAAAATAAAAAAGTACAAAATCAGCAATTACAGATATAAAAACATAGTACTAAATGTCCAAAAAATCAAAAATACAATCATAAATGGAGGGAGAATTAAAAAATGGTTCCCTCAAAAATGGTGTCATCTAGACAAGTCTCCAGTTCCATAGGAGGCCCAAGCCTGGTCACATAACCACATCTTGAGGACCTTTCAGAATATCAAACAAGATGGGAACAATCTAATTTCAGGGGGAAGGATGTTCTATAAGGCAGCCACCATAGTCAAGAAGGCACATCTCCTTGGACCCACCATATGTAGATCCCTAGCTGACAGTAGTCATGGCATGCCTTCTTTGCAAGATATAATGGGCTGATATAATTGGGGAGAGGTGGTCCCTCAGATATCCGGTCCCATGTCATGAAAGGCTTTAAAGTTAAAACCATCATCTTGAATTCAACCCAGAAGCAAACTGGCAATCAATGCAGCTCATGAGCAGAGGTGTAATGTGTGCAGTTCTACAAGTGCAGATAACTATCCACACCACTGCTTTCTGTACCAGTTGAAGCTTCAGAATACTCTTCAAGGCCAGCTCCATGTAGAGCAAATTGCAACAGTCCATCTGGAGGTGACAGGAGCATGAGTGTCTGTAAGCAGGGCATGCTGATCCAAGAACAGACACAACTGGTGCATAAGATAAAGCTGTACAAAGGTCCTCCTAGACACAACTCCTGCCTGCTCACCAAGCAGGAATTGTGAATCTAGGAGCACCCCAAGTTGCACAAGTCTTTCTGGGGTAGTACAACTCCATGAAGCGTCAAAGATGACATAGTCTTGGAATCAGTGGGCCCCCATAACCCAAAGCTACTCAGTCTTGCCATGATTCAGCTAAAGAATGTTGTTTTCCATCCAGATTCTCACAATCTCCAGGCACTAGGATAAACTAATCATGGTACTGCTTAATTTGCCTGAGGTAGGGATGTACAATTGGATATCATCAGCATAATAATGATACCTAACCCCATGGTGACAGATTAAAAAGTGGAGAAAGCACCAAACTCTGTGGCACCCCCACATAATAGGAGCCAAGGATGGGACATCTCCTCCCAGTCATCACTTGAGTTTAATTCCAATATATATACTCCTAGCAAGTATATCCCTGTTTCAGTCTTTACTTCTGCTGCAATTTCTATTGCCCATTTTAACAAACTATGAAGAAAATTTCTTCAACAATTTTCATTAATCTCAATTTCCATAGATACTTTGGAGAGAAGATATTTATATTACATCTTATCAAACAAGTTCTGATGTGTGATATTTTTACAGGGAAAAATATAAAATAGGTAATTGTTTTATGGTAGGTTAAAAGGTCACATACATTGACAAATATACTTTTTCTGATCATTTAATAGTTTATAAGCTATACTTTGTGCATTTTTTAAAAAAACAAACCTAATACTGAAATGAACTTTATGTCATTATCATGACACATTCAGTAATTTTAATGGTGTATTAGTTGTACTCCATAAAATTAGTCACATATTATTGGATGTTTACCCTCACCCCCCAAATTATGAAAATGTTTATTTTAGTTCCCATTTATCTTGTAACCTCCAAACAGAACTTCCTAGTGGCAGTAACTAAGTACAGAAGAAAAAATCACGTCACTTGTACAATAAGATCAATTCACTCAAGGCAGAGCTGAGCAACTGAGCATCACACACACACACACACACACACACACACACACACACACTGAAAGAAGATATAAAGAATCCCACTACCTAACTTAGTATTCTGGCCATGTCCAGGAAACCCACTTTTTCATCTGCACTTCTATACACATTCAGTGATGGGATTCAACTGGCTCGCACCACTTTGGCAGAACTGGTAGCTAATTTTTTGTTGCCCAGGCCCAGAATGGACTTCCAGAAACGGCATCCACACAGAGAACCGGTTGTTCACATATTTGAATCCCACCACTGCACACATTAGTACACATGTAGTATCCAAAGAACAAATGTTTGAGTGGTTCTTCGGTTGTGTGAATAGATTTGAATAATGGTTCCTTTTCCTTCAGGAATGGAAATATTCAGAGAAGAAAAGGAAAACTATGGCAAGCACTTAAGAAAAAGGAATACTGCAAGGACAATTGAGAGCAAAGTTGTGAGCCAGGACTTCTGGAATGCAGAAGTTGACTAATGGCCAGAAAAAGGAAGTGATCAAGAACAAGAATTCCATAGTGATCTGTGGTTGTCCTGAGATGGCCCATCACAAGCCCCATCTGAATTTTTCAAATTTCTATCCCATTCTGTATTATAATTTCGGAGTCTTGATTGTGTTCTATACTTTTGAAAAGGGAGCCGGGAGACATGCAAATATTTTTTCCAATTCCAATTGCACATTTAAAAGTAAATAAAATAAAATGGATAACCGCACCCTGTCAAAGTGATTAAATGATGCTCTGAATTCATTCATTTGCTGCTGAGTTATTCCTTTAGCATCTCTTGTAAGGATCTGGTTTTCAATTTCATTGATAGTTCGGGCAATGGTAGTCAGCAACAGCTCCCATCCAACCCGGATATGCTGCAGCAGAAAAAAAGAAGGGTAACCTTAGAACACCCCAAAGAACTAAAGTGCCAATGACTGCTTATGAATGGTATACTCTGGGAGTTACAGTCCAACTAGTCAGTGAGACTATAACAATGTAACAGAGTAATTCAAAAAACGTAATTTAAATTAAGTATAAATAAATTTAATTAAGGACAGTGAACAAGATTATGGGTCATGTCATCTTTTTATAATTTCTCCTTTCAATCATATTAAAAATGTAGAGGAATTCTTTCTTCGTGAGCATGAACAATGCTGGAGTTCTGGGTTGTCACCCAGATACAGAAGAAATAGGTATCCTACCTATTTTTGAAGCAAACATCTTGGCTATTCCAATTCACAAGGCAAAGTACTTCCCAAACTACATCTAAAGGACTGTATCCAGTTCAAAGCTATTACCTGGAAGCTTTTCACCAATTCCCTCTCATTTGGACCTGTCAAAGCCATGTCATTATCCTAAGTTTTGAGATTCAATCTTCAGCATCTTTTACAGTAAGTCCTTGAGGATTATTAAAGGTTGACTTATATTGCTTGCAGAGCCCTGCCTGGTGAGGGAAGATTGCTTGGAAAAATTTCTTTTAGGGTCTAGCACAGAAGTAGGCAACCTTGGCTCTTTTATGACTCATGGACTTCAACTCCCAGAATTCCTGAGCCAGTCATGCTGAGGGGAAAGAGAGGTTTCCAAGCTGAGCCATGCTGGCTCAGGAATTCTGGGAGTTGAAGTCCACGAGTCATAAAAGAGCCACAGTTGCCTACCCCTGGTCTAGCATTTGCCCTGACTTTCTTGTAGCTTCTAAAAACATTTTAAGATACTGATTCTGATTAACAACCATATAAGTGATGTGGACCTTTCATATTTAAGAGATGTATAAAACCATTGTCTGTTATTTACAAGCCACAGGAACCTAGTTCTCAGACCACAGTAACCCAAAAACAAAATGGCTAAATTATGACTTATATTTTATTTCTAATTATTCCAGAATCATTCTGACACATTAGGCTACAAGTTATCACCAGCCCTAGCTGCTCATTACCTGCTCATTATTATCTTCTACCATGCTCTCTGGGGTAATAGTGGGTTTCTGGCCAGACAGGATCCCAGAAATTTGCCCATCATAGTGTCTACCTTCAACAAATGATCTTTACTCATTGTATTTTTCATATTTAGTATCAATGGTGACATGATAAGGTTTCACTTATCACAGCAACTGCCTTTTCTACTGTTTCTCATCATAAATCTCTGCCTTGACAGAATTACAGTAGGATATTTTTAATGCTACTCTTTCTTATGGTATTTTATAAAAGTAGCCAAGTTCATTCATTTGTACAGTGTACAGTGGCCAGACATAAACAAGGTGATTTTGGTTTTACTTTTATATTCTTTTCCAATAGATAAAAGCTGATAGGAACCTATTTTATAAATCCTATTTATTATGATTATTTCCCAATATGAATTGACAGGGAAAGGAATGAGACCTAAATCCAAGAAATTGTTTGCTGGACTGCAATACTATCAAGAAAAGTAAGAGCAAATTCATGGTTTATTTTAAAAGTTGTTGACAATTTAGGACCAGAAGGGGATTTCCCAATTTTGCAGTGTAACTACATTTAAGTTTAGATACTGCCAAGGCATGCAATAAATTACTCTGATGAAGTTGATTAGTATTTGGATAAATGTTTTATAGCAGTGGTTCTCAACCTTTCTAATGCCACGACCCCATAATACAGTTCCCCATGTTGTGGCGACCCCCAATCGCTTATACATTACCGGGTGCCAGGGGCGTGGCCAAAGAAAAGGGGGGAAAATGGCGGACAGCCTTGTTTGGCGACCCCCGTGAAATGGTCATTCGACCCCAAATGGGGTCCCGACTCACAGGTTGAGAACCACTGTTTTATAGCAAAGTAATTTTAAAAAATCATGAGAGAGTTTCCTATAACTGAAGAATATTTTAGGTTTACACCACCTTTAGAACTGGTATAACAGCATGACTGTCAAGCTAAGTGGCAGCATCTAGCCAACCTTGATTGATCTCAAGAAGCTATGCAGTTGTACTTTTTATTATTACAATTGTAGCCATTTAAAAATAATTTTAAAAACTGGAAAGTATGTCCAACCTTCAGTGTAGTTGTGATTCTTTATAGATTCTCATGGTGCACTGAGGCAAGCTTGACTGGTCCCCAAAAGTTAAGCAGCATGAGGCATGGCTGAGTTTTGGCTGGGAGACTACCAGGAAATCTCAGAGTTATAGGCTTAGCATGCTGTGTAACCCTAGACATTGTAGCTTAGTGAATAAACCACCAATTAGGAAATCATGTTATGAATCAGATCTGGGTTAAACCCTGCTATTGTCAGGCTTGGCAAGACTGTTATTTTTCTACCTCAAAGATTTTCCACCTGAAACCTCTTAAACCTTCTCCAAAGTTTTATAGAAAGGCTCGGTGCTATTGTGCCACTCTTGCAAGATTCATGGGACGTGGACCAGGCAACAGAGCTTCTCAGAGGCGGTTCCCCGCTTTATGAAAGACTCTTCCTGGAAGTATAAATAGCCCAATCCTGCTTATTGTTTGTGAACAAGTTAGAGCTAAAGTGCTCATGTGGGCTTTTGACTCTTAGTTATTCTAAGGAATCATGTTCATGTAGTTTGGTTTTATTTATGTTCTCCCTCTTATATTTAATCTTTTATGTTATTGTTATATGCTAAACGTCAATCAGGACTGGGGTAGATAAATGCTGGTAAAATAAAATGATGTTTTAGGATTGAATGAAAAAGTTTGTGATATTTTAAAAACTACACTGAAAGACAAAAGTCCCCAGTATCAATGTGAAATACATGCTGCAGCAAGACTGCACATATAAAATTAATTAAAGACCAGATTTACCTCCATTGTGTAATTGGTATGCTTATTATCAAAGACCAAAGCTTCCTGTATCAGTTGATAGTCTCCTTCTAGTTTGTCAATATTATGCTTGTAATTAATGATATTGTGCTCCTGCTGTTTTAACTGGGTCATCTGGTCCTCTAATGGCCCTGCAATATCCACCGAGGTTCGGCCAATTTCCTGCCATAGAGAGAAAAAGAAGAGAAAGAGAAAAAACTTTCCTTATTTTGCAAAATGTTTTGACTTATGTTAAGAGAGCAGCAAATACACACATACACACACAAAAGGACAGGCAATTTCTACAGGGATAGAATTTGCTTAGAATTTCTGATCTAGAGCTTCTGCAGATCTTGGTTGTACTCACCTCCATCTTGCTCTGGATCCAGGGTCCAATGACGTTGGCCTGAGCGGCAAACTGACGGCGCAAGCGTTCATTTGTGTGCTGACGGGAAAGCTCCTCCTGCAGTGATTGATCTCTTACAGGCACAAGTTGTTTGACCTGCCAGTGTGCAAAGTTAAATTAGTCTGTAGCCTATATCTGCTTTTATTTTTATTACTTAACAACATTTTGAAAAAACTGTTCTAAAAATACACATTTTAATCAATATTAACTGCAGGTGCTTTAGACTTCCTCTAAAGCACGCGTGTCAAACTCGCCATGTCACATGACTTTTTTTGCATTGCCAGAGGTGGGGTGGGTGCGGCCTCCATATGATGCAACCGGCCCACGGGCTGGCAGGATACTCAGATGTTATGAGAACATCTGTGAAACAGATGGAGCCAAAATGTTCCTCTTTTACTGGAAAGGGAGACCATGTGGCACAGTTATGACAGAACATGAACACAGGTTATTAAAGTTCAGGTTTACACAATAAATAGTTAAATTAGATAGAACTAGCAGTGAATGAAATCAATGATTTAAATCCAGTCCAGAATTCTTTCTTCTTCAAGATAGCAACTTAGGAGGCATTAGACATATCTCTAAACTAGCTTCAAATTCAAGGAGATCCAAACCTAAATTTCTCTTCCAAGACTAGATCTTCCTGACTTTAGAAACCCTTATATTTAAAGGACTGAAGCTAACAAAGAAACCAAAAGGGATTCGGGAATAATGAGTCATATTCTTGACAGCAAGTAGTGCATTAGGCAAAACTTTGGCTATGTTTGCACATTTCCTTATGGATAATTTAGTAATTGTTTATCAAATAAACTAATTTTCTTGGTTTGTCAGACACACTGAGCCATAAACTAATCACACAGGCTATAATCCCAAATCATGATCCAGACTAATGCCAAACAGGTTTCATTCATCAAAATAAGCTGGGCTGATAATTTTTAGAAATTATGTGAAGTTATGCACACTAGCATATGTTGCATAATGAAATACCCCAAGAAAAGAATTCCTTAAGGCCATTTAATTACAAAGTCTGAAAGTCCTATATCCCAAATAATAACTTATGAACTCAGTGGTGGGAGATCATGCGATAATGCCAAGAAGAATAGAAAAGTCGCTAAAGGCAAACATCTTATCTATATTTACTTTTGAGGGAGTCATCTTAAATTCAGAGCCACTTTTCTTTTGGGTTGATGTAATATTTAACTGCATCATTATTGGGGGTTTTTTTAATGCAGAAAACAGTTTTGCTACAATCCAGAGTGTTTAATTTGGCTAAGTGTGGAGTATAGCTCTGATTTCATTTGTTTTTGCCAATACAGTTGTAATGTATATCAGTGCAGACTGATTCATTTATCTCTACCAATGCATCTCTTTCTACCACAAAACCATTATATCTATCATAATGCATTAGGAACTCTTCCACATCGTATCAATTTTCTTATACCTCTATTAGACAATTTAAAAGATTACAGAGGGTTTTTAAAAAGAAAAAAGAAAAGAGAAAACAGAGTAGCCCTATCCTAACTAATTTTTAAAAACAGCCAATTATGA